CGACGATGCAGAGCAATTCAAAATGGAGAAAAAACGCGGGGATAGGGGGGTGATGGGCGGAAGTCCTTGGGCTGCGGTTATAGGTGGCTCAGGCAGTTCCAGCAGCAAATAAACAACAATAACACACTCAACCAGCGATGCCCACTTTTCCACATTTCCACCCGCCCAGTAATTTCCACACTTGTGCTGACACATTGAAAGGGCTTTGGGTTTTATTTATGAATTGAGAAATTGACATCCTGAGTGCGGGGAGGGGAGTGGGTTGCTGAGGAGGCTTAGGCACACGGTTCTCGATTTTTATTGCCGCCAAACAAGAGGCTTAGGCAAAGGCATCAGCACCACCACCACAGCCATCATCATCATCCGAATCCACATCAAATGAACAAAACTGAATGAAATGAGCCACGAAACATTGGTGTGTGGCACTTGCTGTTTGTCCCAACCCTCTGAAAAAAAAAACCGGGATAAATCGAGCGTGAAATATTCCAGCTCGTTCATGAGGATTGGGATTCGGAGGGGAGGGAGGATGGTAAATCCATTGTTGTGCTTGCCACTTGTTGGCAGGTTGGAGATCCTGAAACAAAATTTGCGGCTGCAGTTGTGCAATTCGCTCGGTGCCTGCTGTGATTTTTCCCATTGTCCTGGCAGTCCTGGGGTGGTTTGCTCGCTGATTCTCGACGTCCTTGTCCATCAAATTGAGCGTCACTCAAGTATTCAAGTGCCTGTATGTGTATCTCTCACGACCGGAGTCCTGCCTTGTTTTCTGCGCTTCAGATACTTCAAAGATTTAATAATGACATATAAGAAGTGAAGCTATTAAACCTGCCATCCCTCGGCCCGAACTTCTTATACGGCCTCAAGTGTTTGCCTTTGCCATCTAGCAGGTGCCACCGTGCATCGATCCAGGATGCGGCTTCTCCTGCACAAATTAGTGGGAGCTCTCATTTCATTGATGTACACTTGGGAAAAGTTAAATAATTTTGTTTATAAGGAAAGTAATACTCAATTTGGCGATTAAATAAAAGATTTTTTGTAAGATGCAGATCGATTTACATTCCTAAAAATTGCTTTCACGTATAGCAAATATTATAAATAAGTCTTATGCTAAACTTACTATTTGATTACCATGATATTATTGATTTTTAAATATAATTTTTTTAATTTGCATACATTATTAAATATTCTTTGTTAGTTGGTGTCAAATATTGATTTTTATAAAAGTTGCATTTGCATTTAGACAAAAAAAAAGTTATAAAATCAATCAATTGAACAAACAAAATTCTCCAAACAAAAATGGTTTTTTTAATTATTCGAAAAAAACTAGAATTATTAATAATTTAGAAAAATCTTTTTAACTGAAATACCGTGGTCACCTTAAACAAAACAACTAAAAACGTGTACACAATACTACTTTGAAGTAAGATACAACTAAATACATATACCATATGCTACCTAAAAATGGCACCTTTGTGGTAAATTCAATCGTCGATACCGTAAAGAATGCACCAAAAGTGCCGACTTTTCAAAAATCGCTTGATTCTAGATAAATTGTTGTTAGAGTAAACAAGGCTAAAAAAAAGAGCAAATTGACTTAATTTTTAATTATTTCGTAAGGATTAGGAGAGCCATTTCTGTCTGCACAGAAATTCACGGCTTCTGGGCGTTATTGTAAAGTGGACTTGGCCAACTTTTTAATAAACTTGGGCAGCGGTCTATCACAAGAATCTGCATGCTTATTTCCTACTCTATAGCTTTGAAGATCTCGTCATTCATACATGCAGACAGAGGGCCATGGGTAGCATAACTAGACTTTTGATCCCGATCAAGATTATATAGATTTGATAGGTTCGTAAACGCTTCGTTCTATCTGTTTTTAAAGAATTGTTCCAAATATTTGAACACAAAAATGTAGAAATACTGCAAATATTTATGCAATTTGACTTATTTAAATATATATTTAGTTAATAATTTAAGATATGCTTCTGAATATTATTTCCTCAGTGCAGCGCTTCGAAGGCGGGACATCGTTTGGGGCTGGCAACTGTCGCCTTTGTTTGGGTCGAAATAAGTGATTGTCCTTGCCGAATCCTTGCAGTCAAAGCAATTCAAGTGTCAAATCTTTTATTTGCCTTTTGCAGATTTCGCAATAAAAATTTGTATTGTCAAAAGTCTGCGCTCATCCAAGCCAAAGACCAATCCCAAATCCGAATCCGTAGTCAGAGCACCACCCTCCCCGTTTCAGCGCTCCGCTTCATCCGCTTGGCATATCCTTTGGTCGTTTGTTTGTGTGCAATAAATTTGCTGACAAAAGAGGGATTATTGCTGGATCATGCCGCTGTTGCTGCAGCTCAGTATGAGTACGGAGGATATATTTTCATAGACCTGAAGCTGGAGCTGAGCAGGATGTGCTCCTGGTGGCTGGTTCCTGTCAGCGTGCATTCCTCGGCGTTATTGTTTGGCCATAAGTTAATTGTTCCCCTGCGAAAGCTTGAATGCACCACATCCTTACGCTCAACTGGCCGCCAGAGTCCTTCGTCCGGACTCATGCTGTGCTTAAGCGCTGATTAACCGTAGTCTGACAGGGGACATGGATACGGCTATGACCACGGATTGGCGAATTGGGGGAGTGGAGGTGCGCATAGTTGGAAACGTTTAATTACCATGGAAACTATTGAGCATCCGGATAAGTAATGAAAAGTGGATTGAAAGAGCAAATATTTTTGATATATAGAATCTTCTGAGGGGATTAAGTGGGCAGATGAGAAGAGAAAAATGGCACAATGACTGGTGAGAATCGATAGATTATCCTCGACATTATAAAAAATGTATAAAAAACGGATCATATCTTTGATACTTAAAACGATTATAAGTGGTATTGTTTGTCTGAAAAATTACTATTGTTAATCGCACCAGTTCATATAAATTAAAAATAAATTTTAAAAACTTACTGTACTCTTGATCAATTTAAAAAATTCATAATATCTAATTGTTAATTTAAATTTGTATTTTTTTGGTATCATAATGTCACCCCCATATTTATTACTAGATAAACTGTTATAAACAAAGTATTTCTAGAATTCACTTAAAATATCTGAAATGAAGTTTTATAAAAATGAAAATAATTTTTCATCTTTAATTGAGTTTAATATGAAAATTCTAACATTCTTACCATTTTTTTTATAGAAAGAAGAGTTAATACTAGAAATATAACTAACATCCACTGCGCTTAAATATATTACTGACCATTAGGCAGAAACGAGTTACCTGATAATATATTTCTATATTTTCTGTGTGCTCGGGGGAAGTTGATTACATTTTCAGCTGAACTACTTCGGTTAAAAGCCATAAAATTTTCTGTTTGCTCATAAAAAAGACAAAGGAAAGTCGCAATAAATTTTCCGCATCTAAATTGCTCGTCGGACAGATCCGAAAAGTCCCCATATATGTATCCCCTCCTATTTATCCCCCTTGCCAACACTACTAAGCCGGGATAAAGATACATACCGAATGCCGATGCCACGCCCCTAAAAATCTGGCCAAAAAATCATTGATTCGTAAGTGTAACAGTGTGGAAAAGGGGACGACGGTATTGGGGATTGGGGTGGCAAAGCTAAAATAGAATAATGAAAACGATGCCAAGAGTGAAAGAAGCGATATCAATATTGTCCTGGATGCGAAGATGGCGGCCATTATTGTGTTTGTGTCTGTTCTCGTGTCTATGTGTGAGTGTGTGTCTTTGTGTGGGTAACTTCCGCAGAACTGGAAAACTAATTTGAACAAAGTACAACAAATAAAAGTGACTACTGAATGTTTAATTTGAAAAGGGAAGGCTCCAAACACTGAATGCCGAACAACAGCAACAACAACAGCAATGTCTAACAACTGGAGAACAAAAACAGCGAAAATGAAAAAGAGAAATAATACAAAACTCACTTGGATACAAGTACAAATGCAGCAAACACATGTACACTATACCCCTTACCCTTTCTCGCTTTTGTATCCCCTTTGTGTTTAGAGGATGTTGGCAAAAATGGCGCATTCAATTCCCTCTCACTCTAACATCCAAAAAGTACACAGAAAAGAAAACAAATCATATAAATGTTTGATATGGAAGACAAATTTTTGCACGAAAGATTGCCACTTGGTTAGGTCCAATGGATGTTAATTTTTTCAGCTTAATAAGCAGGTTTCAAAGAGGATTTTATTTCCACGAGATGGTCTCAATCTTCAGCATTATTTGATTTTACTTAGCAATAGCTAGCTTAATTCGCTGCGCACTAGTTGGGAATTATTGGGCCGCAGAAGCAAAAAATTCTCAATATCGAATTTGATTATTTATCTTTATCCATTGTCTGATATCTGGTCCAAAACTAAGTTTTCTTTCTGTGCATAGGGAGAGAAAGCAGGAATGAGAATGCGAAACCGAGAGAAACCAAGAAACGTCGACATACGGTTAGAAAAACATTCGCACATAAAAATGCTAACATTTGAAGCATAACATTTGGGGCGGGGAAGGGAGAAAAAGAGGGAGCGGAATAAAGTGGGGGAGAGGGGAAGGACGCCTGCCTCCATGTGGCTGACATAATGAAACATTATTAAGAGCCACGACGTCAAAGCGGCAAAAGGTATCTAAATTTGCGCAAAATGTTTATCCCCCCCACCCCGCGAGTTTGGCTTCTGCAGTCGCTGCCAATTTGCCGTCGCTTGGAGAGGAAAACACAAATATCACATTTACAGGAGGCACTCCACCATTTTGTGCCACACAAATGCAGTGCGAAAGAGTGGGATGGCAAGAGCGAGGGCGCCATAGATTGGTTCGGAGGATATCGTCCCATCCCCCGCCAGAAAGAGAGGCCTGGCTGCGCTCTCTTTCTCTCTCTCTCTGCCCAGATGCTGCCTGCGTCGACGGCGACGTTGGCAGTAGAATCACAGTTATTCGAGATACGAAAACACAGCAGCGGCGACACAAAAGCTCAGGGAAACGTCGGCGGCAGCGGCAATGGCAGCGGTTTTTCATAAATAAATGTTTGAGTTATGTAGAAAAACATTTTGGGCGAGAGGATTTTCGTTTTCGTTGCGATTCAGTTAACATTTGGCCAGCGGATTCCGCCTTCAACGGACACGACGACGGACGCGCTAGCCAACTTTCCACTCCACTGCTGGCCATATGTACAGTTATCCCCAGGACCCAAGCGGAAACGGTGACAGTGAACGGTTAACGGTGAAGGATAACAGTAGCGGAAGCGAAAAATTCAAGTTTAAATGCCAGTGCAAATGCCAAGTGAAGCTAGTGAAGAAACGCCAAAACGAACACAGTTCCTGAGCAAAATAGTCAAACCAAAAATAACAGTGTTGCGTCCTCTAATAAATTAAGTAAATCCAGTACTTCAACTCAAACAGACTACAGTGATTCCCTGCAAACATGCACACCAGCACGGATCCCATGCACACTCTGCACGACAGTGTCTCCCTTTCGCCGCCGCTGCTCAAGAGCTCTAGAGGCGGCTCCTCCGTCGGCGGTGGAATAGGATGCAGTGCATCTTCGCGAGCCGCCGCCGCAGATGCCATGTCCATGGGGTGCGACGACAGCGACATTGAGCCGTCGGCCATCGGAGGAAGTGGTGCCGGCGGCGGAGACGGCTCCGGATCCAGCGGCGGTCCGCTGGTGAAGCCACCTTACTCCTACATCGCCCTCATCACCATGGCCATTCTGCAGTCGCCACATAAGAAGCTCACGCTCAGCGGGATCTGTGACTTCATCATGTCGCGGTAAGTGATCCCTAAAATCCTTTATCTCTTGGTTACAAAGTTTTGCATTAAGGTTGCCTAGCCGTTGTGACTTATAAAATTTAATGGGCCACAATATATTTATATATGATTTAGATCTTATGATTTATTTGAATAAAATATAGTTTATTGTAAACTACCTGGTTTTTTCTTAGACTTTGTTTTATATTCGAAAATTATTATTCCATTTGCAAGATTAATTGTCTAAACACTGTAAGCTTTAAAAATTAGACTTCAGGATTGCACATATGCAATGTTATAAAACTTATTTGTTGATTTTTTGCCAACAAAAATGACATTAAACGGAGATAATACTAATTTTGCAAGTTAAATACATTCAAAAGCTTAAACGGAAACAAGTCTGGCAGTAAACATGGAATATCAACTCCTCTTTATGGTTAAAAACATATGGTCTGGGATAAATAAACGTAAAATTGAAAATAAGTGAAGCCCTGTCTAGGCAGAATTGAAGATTTAATAATATTTATAAAGAATTTTAAAGACTAATGACAACTGTTAGGAAAGTTTTTCCCAAGGCGTTCGGCGTCGGCGTTAATATTCAGTTTTCGGACTTAACAAATATATATTTGGTTAGTTTGGTTGGGACTATTTCAATACAAACATCTCAAAATAATACTATGCATAAATGAAGAAGAAATTTTAATTATTTATTTAATTTATTTGTAGATTTCCTTACTACAAGGATAAATTTCCAGCCTGGCAGAACTCGATCCGGCACAATCTCAGCCTAAACGACTGCTTCATAAAGGTGCCCCGTGAGCCTGGAAATCCGGGCAAAGGCAACTTCTGGACGCTGGACCCGCTGGCGGAGGACATGTTCGATAACGGGAGCTTCCTGCGGCGCCGCAAGCGCTACAAACGAGCTCCCACCATGCAACGCTTCTCCTTTCCGGCGGTTTTCGGGACACTATCTCCCTTTTGGATCCGTAAACCCGTGCCACTCGTTCCGGTGCACTTCAATGTGCCTAACTTCAATGGAAGCAGGGATTTCGATGTGGTCCACAACCCAGCGGATGTCTTTGATTCAGCTCTAAGGGCGGATAAGAAGTTTAACTTCTTTGCAAATGCGGAGGCTTCATTTTACCAGGGAAGTCAGTCGGGTGACAAATTCGACCGACTGCCCTTCATCAATCGCGGACGAGGCGTGGATGCTCTGGATGCACTGCCGCATAGCAGTGGCTCCGGCGGTGGAGGAGGAGGAGGATCCGAGGGCAGCCGCGCCACCAAGTACAAAAGCCCCTACGCCTTCGATGTGGCGACTGTGGCCAGTGCTGCGGGAATTTCCAGTCACAGGGATTACGCACATCGGGTTTCGGGCGGTGGTTACATGGATCTCAATGTGTACAACGACGATGCGGACACAGAGGCAGATGCGGAAGCCGAGGGAGATGACGACTCCTGCGAGGACAAGATCGACGTGGAGAGCGGCAATGAGCAGGAGGACTCACACATCTCGGATTCGGTGGATAGCGCCTGTACGAATCGCCTGGATGCACCGCCGGATGCACTGATCTTTGAGCCTGCGGAGGCATCCAACAGCTCGCCACCGGGAATGGGAATCGGCTCCAGTCCAAGGAGACGGTTCGAAAGTGAGCCGCTGGTCCTGAGGACCAGCAAGCAGACCAGCGCCAAGGACTTCCGCATCGAGACGCTGATTGGCCACCACCTGCATCACCGCGCCAGCCAGGAGGAGGCCAGCGACTAGGTGGGATTCGACCAACCCATCCGGAGCTTCCCCCAAAACCGATTGGCTTGTGTACAGTCCATCGAACGGTGATTTCAGTTTCGATCTAAGCACGTTTTAACACTCCACCCCCACAAATCCAATCCGAGCAGCAAGTAGTGATCAGTAGGTGTATCTGTAGGATGTAGGAGCCAGCACTCGAGTTTTTAAATGCGACCAAATCAAAGCCAACGCTATAGTTGCCAGTCCACTTACGTACTTTACATATATATCGGCGCGTATATCTATGTAAATCTGATGCATTGCACATTTATAGCATACTTTTAACGTGAATTCTAGAGATCTAGATCCTAGGCCTATATCTACCATACAAGTACTATTCATGTGTAAGTGTGCGTGTGTGTGCGTGTAACTGTAACACATCCAAGCAAGAGGAACACTATTAACTATAAATTAGACTAAGATTTTTGCTGATGTTATTGAAAATTGAATAAACAACAACATAACAATAGTTTACAATGATTAGGAAGGATGTTCCATGAAAAGCGATATTAATTAAATGGTAAGTACTTCTTTAAGGTAAATTTTATTGGTTGTGAGATTGTTAAAGGTAATGCTACTTTTTTAAACCAATTTTTGACAGAAAAAAGAAAAACACGATAAATTTTTTCTCAATTTATTCGGTGTTAATATATAAAAAACCTTAGATATAAGGGTTATTTTACAAATCTGTATAAATTAAATAACAATTGTAAAGGTGTTTTGCAGTATGGAAAAGTTATGTTAATTTTAAAAGACTACATTTTTAAGTTGAATTTATGTTTAGTTTTTATGTTCTTAGTTAGTTATAATTTATTTAATTCGGAAAATATATATTTTAATTTTTCTTGTGTGACAAAAAAGCTCTTGATTTTTAAATCTGGCGCCCAAAAGCCAAAAAAGACATAGCAACGGTGCTTGGAAATCAGTTCAGCTCTAGCGCCTGCGCACTGGACGCCACTCAGCTGATATGGCGCAAGTCGAAGAGGCCGATGAAGGACAGCTCTACCAAAAAAGCTCGACTCTCGGGACGCGTCAAAGTCTTCCAGTGTTAAAACATTAAAAGCTGCGCCTGGAAGCGGGACAACAGAGTGCCGTAGAAGATACCAACACTAACTATTGGTATCCGAACGGCAGAACTCACGCGCTACGCCGAGAGTACGAACTCCTTTTTGGCACAGTTCGCCCCCGCGGACTAAAGTTGCAAGGACCCCACAGCACACACTATCGCACGTATATATATGGCTGCAAAAAGTCGATTTTTCGCTAACAAAAAGTGCTGTATGTGGGCAAAACTTTAAATGGCCCGGGTCATAAAAGGAGATTGCAATAGTTGCAACTGGCAGCGCGAGATGTCCTGCCACTCCGCCACGGAGATGCTGCTGCCCAGGTGCTGAGTTCATCGAGGCGAGAAAAGTTTTGTACCAGTCAGTGCCCGTATCCTAAAAAGAAAAACCATCCCCCTGCTGCTGCTGTGATGAGATTGGTGATAATGAGTGCGAGCAAAGGCCCCCATGTCTCCATTTAAGCCCGTAAAAACAACGATAAGCATTTACGTCCAACCAACCAGATAAGTATTAAGAGCCACGCACCACGGAGACGGTTGAATTAGCCTCAGCGAACCGGAGGAGCAGGACCCGGAGTTTCCGGACCAGGTCGCAAAGAAGACAGTCCACATGGCGGGCTGGCGAGGACGGGGTCTGTGTGCGACGCTGCTGGCGGTGCTGACGCTACTCTCGGGTGAGCTCTTCCCAGAAATAGGCCGATGGGACCCCAAAGTTATCCCCTATCCGTATTCCCCCCGCAGTCACCCACTCCGTGCGCATCACCAACCTGCGGGTGCCGCGCACCTACACGCTGTTGCGTGACCACGAACCCGATCCTCTGGTCCTCGACTGTGAGGTGGAGATCGGGCCGCGGGAGCAGGGATTCGTCCTCAAGTGGCTGTTCAACAACCACTCCATCTACCAATGGATACCCTCGGTCAAGGGGTTCGCCATGGTGAGTCACTCAGGGGGCAGCAAATTAATTAACATTAATCGAGTGGTGTCTTTGTCTTGTTCTTGCGATTGTAGGGCTTCATGAAGTCGAAGATAGACACCAAAATATTCACTATGGAGGGCAGTCCCGGTGTTATATCGATAAAGAATCCCGACTGGAACATGACGGGGGAGTATACGTGTGCGGTGCAGACCTTCGAGTCTACGGATAAGCGGAGTGCCCGCTTGCAAATAATCGGTGGGTGTCACGACCGCAGCTAAAAGGATCGGCGGTGAAAGATGTGCGGCGAAGGGTGGGAGATTGGGGAGGGTGAGAGGTCTAAGGTGGTGGCTCTGGCGGGTGACCTGCCCACCGGCTCACCTACCCACCTGCCTACCTAACCACCTGCCCACTTGCCCTCCCCCATCTTGACTTGGGCCCGTGTGTTTGCATAGGTGTTTGGGTCGGTGTTTACACAGGGAGACAAAATTATGATTTATGTACTCTAAAGCCATTTACAAAAGTCAAGAAAGCATTGCATAAAAAAGCTCTCTTTTATTATTTTTCACCATTAGCCTGTTGATACAGTTAAGCTTCTTTCTTTTTTAAGTTTTGTTGGGTCACCCGTTTTTATATCCTTAAAAGGCAGTCTAATGACTTATCTGATAGTACTTAAAGCTTACAATACAAACGACTAGAAGTTAGTATTACCTTGTAACTTAAACTAAACTTAAATATTGCCAGTATTGGTTATTTCTCACCTAATTCCTTTTGATTGCACATCATCCCTATATATAGTATAGAAAAATCAGTGTGTTATCTTCATAAATGAAAGATGATTTTTTTTCTTTCAACAACATTTAAAGCTAGCACAACTTTACTTTTCCATGAAATTCAACCATCAGACACTTCAAGAATTGCAAGTCCGTAAACTATACCATATCACACATCCATAGCTAAACATTTATTTATTTTGGTTTATAAGTAAGGAATCACGCTGTGAGATAGTTTTCGATGTTGTTTCAGGTGTTGTAGGTCAATTGCTCATGTTTAGCTTATCGAGTTAAGGCATGCTCAATTAAGTTAAATCCTTTCGAGCCGGGGGTTGACTCTTTTCTTCCGGTGCAGGTGTGTTGGGCCCTGTCTGTTGGGCACGTGTGATTCGCTTTCATATTTGCATGCGTGTCATGTGGCAGTCTCTGCGGTGTCCGGAACCGCCGCTTGTTTGCGCTGTTTTGTGCTTTTCTTTGGTACACGGTTTTGTTTTGTTTTGTTTCGTTGTTTAGTTTGACACTTGATTAATTCTCACGACCTTTTGTTTTTTGGCTCCTGTCTGCCGGCTCATAGTTCCTGAGTCGGATTTCATGCTGGAAGCGCGGATGAGCGGCTCGCGTCTGGATGTGGACGTAATGTGTGCAGTCCAGCACGTCTTTCCGCAGCCCATGCTGTCGGTCATGTAAGATGAGCACGGCCATTGTGGCTGGTGAAATTGAATAACCCCAGGATTTCATCTTTCCATCCGCAGGTTTGACACCCACATACTGGACTCGGTGCTGACTCAGTTGGACCAGGACCCCAGTGGCCTCTACAGCATGACCGTACGCACCCGCATTCCTAGAGATCAACTCGAGTCCCCCACCCCGATCACCTGTGCGTTCATTTTGATTGGTACCAACTACACCAAGCGCCGGGAGACTATTTTCTATGGTAAGTTCAGGATAGCAGGGGCTGCAGAACATAAGTTATTTATGTTATTTGTAATTATCTAAATAACTTATTATCCGTGCATCAACGAAATAATCATTTTAAGGATTCCGACTTGTCGTTATAAAAGTTCTTGCCTACTAAAAATTAAGTTACAATTTCAAATATTTATAAATGTATAGGGTCATTATCACGCTTAATATAACCAGTAAACATATCGTTTATTATTAAATTTGTCAGAAAATGTATACAAAAAGTTTTAAACTCACAATATTTTTATGTGTATAAAATTTGTTGCCTTCTTTATTTTAATAAATTATAACTAGCATTGGGGCCTCCGTTTTCATAAAATATAACAAGGTCAAGTCTGCCAATTATGATCTCCTTTAAAAAAATCTATAGCCCTGTTTTATAGATAAATGTATTTTATAAAATCATCCAGATTGACTAAATTTGTGGTATTTAATCTATTCACAGATAAGGCCTCAACTATACAACGCAAATGGACAACGGTCGCCGTAGTCATGTCCATCGCATCCTTAGCTCTAAGCAGTTAGTTTGGTAGTGTCCTTTGATGTAGGCTACATTTGTCTTTAAGTTTGGTCTAGAAACTTTGATAATCTTTAATTTTTAATAGACTTTTAACGGATAAACGTAATTTTTTGCGGTATTTTTAAAAAAGCGCTTATTTTGTACATGCATGTAATTGTAAGGATAACAAAATACAAAACAAAAACAAACACCACAATGCGTAAGCAAACGAACCCATAAAACAAGAACAAAAAGACAACAGTAACTCACATAACAAGAAATTCTTGTATTCATATATTTACCACATAAATAAAATATATATTATAGTTATATATAATGTATAGGTCTAATTGAGTACAGAAACGCTAATAAAACAAAAAATGAAACATTAAAAGTGCATTAAACCAACCGCCTTCGTCGTTGTTTTTCTTTGCTAATAAATTAAAATTTTAAAATTGTATTTTTATTGTAAAATTACGAAATCAAGCCTGAATTCAATTACGTAATAAATAAATCATAGCAGGACCAATTGTTGTAGTTTTCTGGCATTCTGGGTTGATTCAAATGAGATAAGTTCAAAACAACTTATTTTGTACAGCAAAGACTTGGATTTTTGGATTCGAATAACAATTCAATAAATAATGTGTTTTTATATCGGTCCACAGTCAGATTTTATTTTGTTTATATTTGACTATCCCATTAGTACGCCAAATAATATGCAATGGTTGTTCACGAACTGATCGGAAAATATAAGTTAATGTTGGATGTGCAATAAATCCACTAAAAATGGCACTATCTATGAGATCGTAAATAAGTCTTACATAATGAGAAAAATGTAATATTAATAATAATACTACAGATTGCATTTAAATTTTTGTCTTCTTTTAATGTCACATCGGAATTATCATAATTGAGTAAAGATCTAAATATATTGCGGATACTCCGCAATCGAGACTGGCTGTGAATGCAACCCTGGGCGCGTTCCTGCGCACACGCTTCCAGCAGGCAAATTTTCCAGGCCTTCCAATATGCCTATGAGTATGCAGTGAAAATGACAGCAGTGGCAGAGGAGCCATCAACACATCATCGTAGACAGCGAAAACGTTGACGCCAGCGCCAGACGAAAGCCAAGGTTTCTGCCCCCCAGTTAGCCCAATTGATTGGATAATCCCAGCAGATCGCAAAACTTGAGGACAGCGCTGAAATAGCTAAAAATCTCCGCCGGGCAGCATGTCCTAGTGAACCCCTCGACGGGTGCGAAGCGAGAAGGACACCTGGAGGAGCACGATGGCCTCCGGCGATGGCGACACCATCAACACCATCGACATGGACAGCTCCTCAGCGTCGCAGGCCAAACTGGCGGAGCCCAGCAATGGTAACTATAGCTATAGCCACTGTCACCTCATTTTCCCCAGCGCCCAAATAAAAAAAAATCAATGACTGGCAAATGGAAGTGCCCCTGGCGCATGTGTCTCGCGTGAGGGAAGAAGCGTGAATGTGAATCCACCCCCGCACTTGTCAGACGACGGACTTCCATCGGTTCATATTTATATTTTCGGATTGATAACAAAAGAAAGTCGGGGCTGGGCGGCCAGGGGCCTGTCCAAGTTCAAGTTGCGGTGATTGACCAGGCGACTGCGTCATGGCCTGAATTAAACATGACTCCTAATAATAAACTCTGCCCGCTTTTCCTTAGCCTCCACCGACCATGTGGGAAACTCATCGCCCGAGGTAAGTACATCCGGCATGCCCCCGAGGTCACTCCAATCCAAACTAATCGGGTCAATCAATTAATACCTCCCAATCAACCAGCTGGGCAACCGACCGATGCGAGCGGCCAGCAAGGCGGACAAGGAGCGCAAGATTGGCCACAGACGCGTCGGCGAGGGCGGCGAGATTACATACAAGAAGATACAAACGTCGCAGATCATGGGCTCTATTCAACTGGGAATCCAGCACACTGTAAGATTTAGTACAAATTGTAGACAATTATTTGGAAGTGCAACAAAAATAGCAAGAGATACGAAATGTCTGAAAAAGTATCACTCAAAATATTTTGAGCCCATAAATTTGTGCACCCTTTATAATAAGAAAACATCTTAAAAGTATCTATTTCCTTAATTTTAGGTTCAATATGTTTATTTTATAATCAGGTGATTCACAACCACTTTAGGTTTCCATGCCATTTTCGATTTTTAGGATATATATTTAAGGAGTTATCCTGGGTGTCAGAAAAACTGAAACAACATAAATTATTTATCTAAGCCTCTTCAGATTAAAAATAAACTAGGCCATAGGTTCCCAAAATTAATTTTTTTACAAAATATGTACTATTTCAATAAATTTAGCTTAAACATAATTTGATAAATAATTAAGATTGTTTAATATTTTGAAATGATTGATTGTTGATAGCCTCTTAATGTTTAAATCATTAGCTTAACTTAGAAAAGGCGAGGAACTGTGTTTTAATAGAAAATCTCAATACTTTCAAAACTACCAATTACCCACGGTCTTATAATTGTTTCTATTGACTATATAAGGCTTTTCACTTTAAAAATTCATCACATCTTAATAGATTTCCTTACAAAAATCAGGTCTTTATAATCAACCTTTAAATATCGCAGGTCGGCAGCCTAGCCTCGAAGCCCAAGCGTGATCTACTTATGATGGACTTCTGGGAAATCGAGAGCATCACCTTTCCGCCAGAGGGTTCTAGCCTTACACCTGCCCACCACTACAGCGAGTTCAGATACAAGATCTACGCGCCTATTGCTTTTCGCTACTTTCGGGATCTGTTCGGCATCCAGCCAGATGATTTTATGGTATGCGAATATCGTGATGAAAATACGCAGAAACTAATGGATAACCTTTGCAGATGTCCATGTGCACGTGCCCGCTTCGGGAACTGTCCAATCCTGGTGCTTCCGGCTCTATATTCTACCTGACAACCGACGACGAGTTCATCATCAAAACGGTGCAACATAAAGAGGGCGAATTCTTACAGAAACTACTGCCTGGGTGGGTGTGATGTTCTTACCATTTTTAGCAGACAAATTATTTAAATGTAATCCCTATTACAGTTACTATATGAATCTTAATCAAAATCCGCGCACTCTATTGCCAAAGTTCTTCGGATTGTACTGCCTGCAGACAAGCAACGCCAAAAACATTCGCCTGGTGGTTATGAACAATCTGCTGCCCTCATCCGTAAGGATGCACCTGAAATACGACTTAAAGGGCTCCACGTTCAAGCGCAAGGCCAACAAGGCGGAGCGTGCCAAGAAGTCGCCCACGTATAAGGACCTCGATTTCATGGAGCAGCATCCGAACGGCATATTCTTGGAGGCTGAGACCTACTCCGCACTGATCAAGACCATTCAGCGCGACTGTACGGTACTGGAGTCCTTCAAGATCATGGACTACTCCCTGCTTCTCGGCGTTCACAACCTGGACGTGGCACTAAGGGAGAAGCAGAGCGAGCAAAGGAAACCGCTGAGAGCTCCGCTGGCCGAGGACTCCGACGTGGATGTGGACGATCCGCTGGACGCGCTGGATGCCGACGGCAAGGATCGCGATGCGGCCACGGGCATCAGCAGAAATAAGTGAGTATCTCAACATTCGGGTAATATAGAAGAAATCTAAAGAGCTAACCCAGTGCGGCATATAGGTCCGTGAATCGTCAGCGATTGGTGGCCCATTCCACGGCCATGGAGAGCATTCAGGCGGAGAGTGAACCCATCGACGACGAGGAGGATGTGCCGTGAGTATTACAGTTTCCCTTATATATTTTCTCGTGATCTGATATGATCATTTAACCCAATTACAGACCCGGTGGAATTCCGGCGAGGAGTGAGAAAGGCGAACGCCTGCTGCTCTACATTGGAATTATCGACATTCTGCAATCCTACAGGCTGAAAAAGAAACTGGAGCACACTTTCAAAAGCATCATACACGATGGGGTAAGATTAGTAGATCAAAATTTCTTATTATAATAGAGGCTTTAATTAATATATATAATTTTCCCTTTAATATTATTAATAAGATTTTTATATTAAATAATTTCAAATTTAAATAATTTTAGAATTATTACTCTGTATACATAAACTTAGCTGATGTCCCCTAATATTGAATCTTTCAGGAAACCGTATCGGTCTGCCGGCCCTCGTTCTATGCTCAAAGATTCCAAAACTTCATGGCCAAGACCGTGTTCCGCAAGATACCCTCCCGTAAGTGGGCCGGGCGTGGAAGTCGGGCTAAGTACTCGTACTGTAAGGCATTTTTGTGTGCAGTTGGCCGAGTTATGCAAGCACTCAGTTCCGGTTCCAAACATTTTTGCGTAGATACTTAGCCAAAAACACATACACACCGTTTACATTCACACACCGAACACCATTAGACACTCGTAGCTTGCTAATTTTGGTTGATCAATTGATGTGCAGCAAAAATGCAATATGGTACACTTGGCCTGAGTAGACGCCGATCCAAAGAGATCTCTCGATATCGAATCAATTACCACCAACCGCTCTGTTCTCTGCTTTCTTTTTGACCATGTCTCGAATGCAATCACCCCACACTTACGTACGCATATAGTGGATCTCCCAGAGATCAAAGGGAATCACAGAAAATTTCGTACCTTGGTAACCAGCTACATAGGTAAACAAACTAATGATCGATGTCTCTTATTTTTTGATTATCTCTCACTTAAATTTTTCTTACACCTTCTTTAATGAGTATTTAATGGAGTTTAATAACGATATTTTGTATTTACCACTTGGTTTAATATGATTTCGAAACGGACGCCAAAGCATGCCTCTCAATCTCACGTTAGTAGCCCTCACATCCCCGGCATCCCTGGCATCCCGGCGCAACCGTACTGCTCTTGGCTTCTTCGCATAGTTGCTTTGGAAGTGCTATGCTTTTTGAACCCTATTTTCCTATTACAACTTCTTGAAGCCATCTGTAACTAATTTCCGATTTTGCCTGACTTTTGCAGCGCTTAAGCATTCGCCTTCGAAGAGAAAAAGCCTTTCCAAGGCTATACAGCGCTCCATCGACAGCGACAACGAGGTGGTCACGAGGCGTAAGTATTGTTTCTTGAGAATAAAAGTATAGCTATAAGCAGGGACTGTACATTAAACGCCTTAAAATGTAAATTATGGCTACAGTTAACTATTTTATGCTAAGGAATTCTCGAAAATTGTAGTATACTCTTCTAATTTAGACTTTTCGTATTAAGTTTAAGATACTTCAACTTGATTCTTAATTCGAATGTGGCTATTCCTCTGTTTTATTCTCAGCGGTTCATGCCTCGCACTCGCACAGCAGTGGCAAGATTCACCAGCCATCCAAGCCGCCCACCACGGAGCCAACGCCAGCGGGAGCAGCAGGAGGAGCCGGAGGAGGAGTAGCTGCCCATGGTCCAGCTATTGGCAGTGCCACCAGCGAGCGGGCACCTCCGCCCGTCAAGCAGCGGACTCCGGCGGCCAGCAATCTGAAGACACGGGTGCCACCGCCAGTACCACCGCGCGGTTCTCCACGGCGCAAGGATGCCCAGGATCGGACGACACCAGGTACAGAACCGCACACCACTAATCCCAGTCCGGCACCAGCACACATACACACCCTTCAGGTGCCAACGAACGAGGTCATGCCTCGATTCGGAGATCGTCGTTCGCCCAGCAACGTCCAGGATTGGCTGGAACTCCACGACCTTTTCGATGCTCCGGACAATGGTCTACGTGCTCCAACTGCTCCTCTTCCAGAGCCTACAGTTGCGCTGCTTAGGAGCTCCTCGCTGAGGCGCCGAGACTCCCTGCACTCCGCCTACTCCACGGCTCGATCGGAGAGCAGCTTCCGGCGCCAACCGCCACGACTGCTCAACCATGTGGACATTTTTCAGCGGCAGAACAGCTTTGTGGCGCGCAGCGAGCGATCATCAGTGGGCTCCATTGTTCGGAACTTTCCGCCAATAAGAGCGGAGAGCTACCGTACCGGACGGTCCCGATCCTCGGGCAGTATTCCCAGCCACCGTTCGCCAAGGCGTGGAGTTCAGGAGAAGCTGGAGCGTCAACAGAGGCGGAAGCGCTACTTTCACTACGTGGATATGGCTCTCGGTGGCGATGATTGCGACAACCAGCAGGAGGAGGACAATCTGCTGCAGTCGGTCAGTGCGTTTCTGGAGGTGAAGCGGGAGCTGGAGGCGACTCATCGCCCTAAAAGACCGCTGCCCAAGCTCACGGATCCTCTGCCAGCCGAACAGCTGACCAAGGATCCTCCTCCACAGCAGACGAGGCGGGCAAAGAGACGGGCGCCGAAGGCAGCGCCTTCCACGATTCCAGAGAGCGAGGGCACCCAAGGATCAACGGGACGTGGACTGGGACGGGAGTAGCTCCTCGCTTGCACCTAGCTTTTTCCACCACACAAATCCACAACCCTTTATTAGAATTCTACAACATTTCTACTACTGTATACTTCTGCCACTCATTCCGTTGTATGTTCTGCTCTGATCATTGTATTGCTAGGCACAACGCCCTCATGCAGCTCGACTCCTCCCCCCGCCTTTGACGACATCTCCGAGGACAGCTCGAACAAGAACAGCACCTCGTCGATAGGGCGCCGGTCCCATCATCATCACCACCATCATCAGCAGTCGCAGCAGCACCAGCAGTCTTACTACCTGGATCGCAAGATGAACATTGGACCCGCCTATCGAGGCTCCTACAAGGAGGACATCGTGAGGTATGAGCTGAATTTCTGGAAAAATAAAAATACCTTACACAATATTCATTCATTTATCCAAGATTCTAATAAGATAACACACCGTTTTTATGGCCAAAACCCCTTATTAACACAATACCTATTTTTTTTTTATTTATTTTAAACTATATAACTTATAGTTAAAATTTTCTTTAAAATTTAGAGTAACAACTATTATTTTTACCACCTTAGCGTCTCCGAGGTTCATTTGGATACATTGCTGGCGGTGGACACTTCGTCGAGCAGCCAGTACGGGTCCCGCGGAGGATTGGCCTGGACACCGCCCGCTTCAGGTGAGGGCTCCACTCCCACATGGACAGAGGGCACACCCAGTTTTACGGACTCCAGTTCGAGTGGTGATCTCGGTAATTGGCACTTGAGATTTGCTTTGAAATCGCTTTTTGTGTTTCTATATCTATCTGTATATGTGTATTCGTTCACGCTTGCAATCGTAGACAACTTCTCGCCCATAAACTCATCTAAAATCGATCGACACAAGCCGACGGTGGAAGATGCCATCAACTCTCTGTCCGCGGGAATGGTAAATATCGGAGGTGGCCAACTCTAGATACGATCCCAAACACACACAGATACTTCCCGACCCGCAGCACCCACTACACCTGCTCAGAGATAACATACTCATACCCCAGAGATAGTAGCACACGCCCATGTAAAATCGTACATTATTAGACTTTTCCAAATTGCAATCCATTTTCCGTTTGGGTGTTCTTCACTCCCCATTTCCTCTTTGCATTCCACTGATTCATACCTTTTCTATTGCATTCTTATAGATCAACTAACATAGCATGTGATGACGGAACACAAGACACACCAAACCAGATATATCACGATGTGGACAGAGTCCGAGCAAAATATGCCTCATACTCTTACATACTGATTATGCTTGCGTGTTCAGGCGCTATTGTATAGCTAGGATATAATCAAAAGGCGCCCCACGTAGAACAGATTCCCATAACATGCCCACGCCCTCGACCACACCCACACCTGCCCATCCTTTCCAGCGGACATCGGGTGAAAACTATCCAGCAAATACATAACTCAACTCTGCAAATGATATTATACACAAAAGCATACTCCCCATATACAGAACTAAAGAAGCATAAAGCAATTAAGTGGCAAATCAAATATGAGTAAAGTGCGCAGGATGGCATCCAGTTGGAGATCCGAGCTCCGCAATCCCGTTCCCCTATACATTTAGTGTACGGTGTAAAGAGTTCGTTATGCGTTCTATCAGATAATATGAAAATATACAATACACTGAAATTATATAAATAAACGTTTTTGCGATACTTTCGATCTCCGATATATCCACTTAAGTACGTATTATGTATACCTATGTATAATCAGCAATCGCGATATTACAATATTATTGTAAAATATTTCAATTTACAAGCCGGACAAACCAAGAGCAAAATTATATACATATTATTCATCTGTATTTATTAACGATAATTGTAACGCGCTTAGGTTTACTCAACACAAAAACAGAACGGAACAGGACTTACATAAGATATTACATACACCAACGGACGGACACGGACTGTGGACAACTTTCGACTCATACATGATGAAAGAATTGATTATTTATTAATTAGTTGAATGTTATTTAACTTATATGCATTATTCTAAAGATTACTGAAATCCAAATGTAATTACAATAAATTAAATTGCAAGGTTGAAATTCTGCCGTGTTCCCTTGAATGCGAATTTGCTAGACTAAAACAAACGTACGTTAAAAACAATCGACTAGTACAGCTTCTGCAGGTCGTTAAGCGATTTGTTCAGGAAGTCGTTGGTCCAGTCGTTCTCTGGGCTGTCGAGATGGTTATCGAAGTCCACCAAATCGCGCATGGCGCCGCGTTTCAGCAGCAGCGATACGCCCTCCAACGTTTGAGTCGACTGCGACAGCGTGAACTTGGCCTTTGACCACCGGGCGCCAGATTCTCCAACACAGCTGTACACCTGGACGGCGGCTCGGTCGTGCTGCAGGGTCATCAACTTGTTGTCCACCACCGCGAAGCAGGCGTTCTTGAAGTTCTCCTGGATCTTGTCCGCAATTTTGGCGGCAGGGGTCTTGTCGATCTGGTTGTCGTAGAAGTTCTCCGGTGCAGTATAGTAGCCGCCGATCACCAGTCCCTCGCGCTCGGCATACGCATCGATCTGAAAGCAGTAAAGAAGTAAATATGGGATATCAAAAACCATATTGACGAATTCTTTGTTATTTCCATACAAACTGAGTCACTTTTACAATTTCGGTTTCGACTTATCTTGCAGCTTTAATAATATTATAAGTGCCGATACAGATATTAATAAGTTTCGTAAAGCATAGTTAATTGGGAAAATATAATACTTATTTTACTATAGGTTCCTAAAATCATTTTTTTTTGTTTTTGACTCAATTCTTTGTATAGGGTACAAAAAAGCTTAAAAGTTAAACAATTCAAATTAAATGGCATGAAAATATATTTATTATTACATTATTATTAATGAAATAAAATGGGTTTCGAATAAAACCTATTTTTATTTTACGTTTTTTTAATTAGTTAAATATGCCTATTCCCAAAATTCGGTATTGATTGGGTCAATACTCATGGAGATCTATAATTTGTAAGTAGCTCTATTCAGGTAATTTAGCGTACAAGCGGGTTTTTTACGAAACTACTTTTTTTAAATAACAGATTTTAAATGTTCGATTTAATAAAAATGAACTACTTTTTTAAAATAATAATTTTGTTTCACAAAAATGCTCGATTTAATAATAATAATGGGGTATAAGATAATTTCAAAAACATATTCGCATAATATTTTATCTTTAACTTATCAATATTATTGATGGGAAAGGCAAATAAAATTAAAACTAAAGTAGAATGAAACACAACTACACGTAAGTTCACCAATGTACTTAGGAAAAGTAAATGATTTGTATTCATTCAACACTAAAATAATTTGCTACTTTATAACTTAAGCTTTCTTATTTTGTTTTAAAATGGATTAAAAATCATTGAACGTCGAGATTTACAAATTTAGACTTAGAAAAATGTTTGAGATAGTAGACTTAATAGCTTTGCAACTATAATGTTCAGCATCAACATCGCTGCCCGAATCCGAGTGGTTTGGTACTTTTTGACCGGCGATTGGCAATTACCTGCATGAGGGCAACTTCTGCCATGGGGGTGACATGGAGGCACTGATGGAAAAGAGGAATTGCATCCACGATTTCCACCAGGGTGCCCTTTGAGGTCTTCTCGGCCAGCAAGAGTCCGTTGACCGCCTGGTGCGGGTACTTGGCCGCGTGGAATATCAACTTGGTATAGGCTCGCTCTGAAATCTTGTAGTCGCACATTTTCTCTGATTATTATCTCAATTTACTAAGCAAAAAATTAAACATGAATTGGAATTCGACAATTAAGCAGTGTGACCGCACCTCTGCCGTTAAATAAAACCACGTAACCTTCGAAACATACCATTTGTGGAACGACAAAATACTAAATAGATTCCACAAGGTCGGATGATGTTTTATGAATTTAAATTTCATTTCACTTAGGTAAAAGGATTGCAAAAATGGTTTACTATATAATAAAAATTCGATTTGATTTATTTTCATTTTTAAATACCGAAATAAACAGTTTTGGAAGCTTTAAAAATTCTAAGATAAACAAGAACTTAAACAGATTTTAAGATTGAAATGTGTTGCCTATTGGCTACTGACTATTTTAAAATATTATGATTTAAGTCAACGTTTCAAGGTTCTGCGATCTGGGCACATTTTTGGTTGGCGCGAAATTTAACTCCGATTTCAATATGATTTATTACTCAAACTAATATTTAATACTAACGTGGATGATGGAAAACATAACTAAATATGTGTAACATTTTATTTCTTAACTGTCCGTCTGCGTCTCGCTCTTGCTTTGCTCTTTTTCTGTTTTTTTTTTATATATTGTAACAAAAAAATATTTAGCAGTTCAGCTGAATGTCCGATGGAAGGCCACCCCTGGTCTTCCCTCTAGATCCTTTGACTCCGCCAATTTACACTGATGGGAAAACTACGTCTGGCTTTCGTTTAGTATTGCCTTGATGTCGTCAGCATCCAGGGTCTCGTACTTGAGCAGCGCCTCCGCAAGCGCCTTGTGCTCCTTGGTGTGTTTCCTCAATATGGCCTTCGCCCGTTCGTAGCTGTCGCCGAGGATGCGTTTGATCTCCGCGTCCACGGCCTCGATGGTGTTGGGTCCCAGGGTGTCGCCGGTGCCCAGACCCTTCGACGCCTCAATGGTGCGGAGACCCACTTTGTCCGACATTCCCCAATCCCTAACCATATGTGTGGCAATCGAGGTGGCCTGCTTGAGATCGCTGCTGGCTCCCGATGTTATTTTGTCCGTTCCAAAGACAAGTTCCTCAGCAGCACGGCCGCCCATCATCGTGTCCATCATGGCCAGCAGCTGCGCCTTTGTGACGTGGTAGCGCTCCTTCTCAGGGATGTAAGCTGTGTGGCCAAGTGACGGGCCGCGAGGCATAATGGTCACCTTGTGAAGAGGATGCGATTCCTTGGTGTAAAAGGCCACAATCGCGTGACCGCCTTCGTGGTAAGCGGTTATGGTGTTGGCTTCCTCGTCTGGAAGGCGAGCCTTCCTCTCGGGGCCCATAAGTACCTTGTCGCGTGCCGTCTCCAAGTGTTTCATGCTCACCGTTTCGGCTCCGTCAATAGCGGCCCTGTAAAAATTTTGAAATTAAAGAATTACGTTATTTACTCTAATCAAATTATTTATCTTGAAACTGAAATAAAGAAAATATGGTAAATCTTGTTTTATAAGATTCCTGGCTTAAAGCATTTTTTAAATCTGAATAGCTTGTCTACATGGAGCAAAATTTCCCACCTTAGAGCCGCCTGGTTTATCATGTTCTCTAGGTCTGCTCCCGTAAATCCGGAGGTACCTCGCGCGAGTAAATCCAAATCAATTTCGTCATGCAGAATCTTTGTCAGATATAGGGACAGAATCTCCTTGCGACCGGTGAAATCGGGTGTAGACACCATTACCTCCACATCAAAGCGACCAGGTCGCAGCAGAGCCTGATCCAAATCGTCACGACGGTTGGTGGCGCCCAGGACGATGACACCGGCATTCTGATGGAAGCCATCCATTTCGGAGAGCAGTTGATTGATGGTCTGATTGGCATATGGATGCAGCACAGAGTTGGTTCGCTTGGCGCCAACCGAGTCGATTTCATCAATGAAGATCACACACGGGGCGCGGGCCTTTGCCGCCTCTGTAAATTGTATTCATGTTAAGTTGAATTCTAACGCAGATGGAGATCCACTTACTAAACAAGTCTCTCACTCGTCTGGCGCCCTGGCCTACGAGCACTTCGTCGAACTCCGGGCCAGCAGCATGGAAGAAAGGAACTTTTGCTTCACCGGCGACAGCTCGGGCCAGCAGGGTTTTGCCAGTGCCCGGGGGGCCAACCAGGAGCACTCCCTTTGGAAGTTTGCCACCCAAATTGGAGAACTTCTCGGGACTCTTCAGGAACTCAACGACCTCCTTCAGCTCCTGCTTGGCCTCGTCGCACCCCTTGACATCCTCAAAGGTGACGTTAATCTCCTCCGGATCCACCTCCACCTGGTTGCCCAGCTGGATGCTGCTGAAAGAAAGGCAAATCAGACCAAGAGCAATAAAATTGACATGGAGGCTCACCGAAAGACGGATCCATTGGAGGTGGTGAAGAAGCTCAGGAATATTCCAAGGAAAACGACGACTACGACGAGTGTCTGTAAAGTCTGCGTGACAATTACTAGGAATTACTTAAAAGACTGAAGACAACGGCCTTCTATGGTCTTCCAAGTTTTAAGGGCAGACTTGGAATGAATATGAAATCGTACCTTCAGATACTTCATTGTTTTTCCTGATTTTGGAGAATCTTCGGCGTTGGCGGCGGCTAGGTATCCCTCGGCAAAGGCAATCTTCAGGTTCTCCTAGTAGAAAATAATCAGTACAACTGGAGAGTTTGTCGGACTGCAATCATACCGAATTATTGTATCCATGATCATCGGACTTGGCCAGCAGCCGTCTCAGCTTTTCAGCCTGGAAAGGTGTCTCTCCCTCCAGCCGCTGGGGAGAGTTGGCCAGCGCATTCTTTAGCCGGGAGGTCATTGTCGGATTGCGCTTCTGTTCCGCCTCAATGGAGCGATCCGTCTTAAAGCCACGTATGTGTTTTCTATAAGGGAGAGCTGAGTTCAGACATAATTAGTAAATTGGTTCCGTACACTCACAGCTGATGTTGGGAGAAAAGCGGACCCAGAAGACCTGGCGTTTTGGTTGGAATCATTTTGCTAAAAGTACGAAAAAAGATTAACCTGAGCCTTTAGAAGGGATTGAAGGTAAATAGACTTACACATTGGCGCCTGTGAGCTGAGCACCTGCTGTTCCGGTAAGCGAAACTTCGAACTGATAATTTTGCAGCTGGACACGACCGATCGGTGTGGCCGGCTCCTCTAGCGTGACTCGGACATCCCTCATGGCGGGCAGCATGCTGGTTACCTTGGCTAGCACCTCATTTACTAGCTGCCGGTCGAGAATGCCGTTCAGTCGCGCCGCCTTCTCCACCATGCCCTGTAAGCTGGCACCCGAGCGACTGAGCAGGTTCCTCAGGTCCAGCACGAGGTCATGACTCCGGGTGGACTTGGAGAAGCGCGTCGCACTAGCGCTCCCGTGCAGCTTGGTTCGATTCACAGAGTAGTAGTGCGGCTTTCTGCTAAAGTTGCCTAGGTACAGGTAGGGCTGTCATCGCATTCGAAATCCCCCGATGCCAGCAAATGAGTGGAGAGTGAAACAGAGAGAGCAGTCAGGTGGGCGGATCAATGGGATGCCGCAGGCGGGACTTACCACGGAGTGTGTGGTGGTGGAGAACATTGCCAAAAGTACAAATTTCAATTAATTACAATAACAGGCTCAGAATCGCGGCCAGCAGACGACACAGCTGTAACTTTACTTGACAGCGAAAATGTCATAATCTCGTCGCGTCGGGCGCGTTGCATCCCTGGTTCTGGTGGTGCGCGACTTTCCACCCTCAGCACGCGTTCCCAGTGGTTTCTTACGGACAATTTTGAAAAGTCTATCTGAGTGACTTTGATTTTTAGCTTGATTTAATTTTCAATTTGGTGTAGAGCTCAAAAATTGCTAATGGCACAGTCAATGGTTGACGCTTGTTTTTGTTGTTGTTTGACTGAAATATTTTTTTCTATATACTAAAATATACACTTTGGATACATCATAAACGTTTAGAAGGTCTCAAAGGACAATACTTTTATTAAATACTTGGCATATAAATAAATTTACAAAAAAAAATACCCATACAAAAATATATACATATCTTACAAAACTTTGCCTGCCTACTTTGTTTAAACGATTTTACGTGCCCTTTTTAAATAGCTATATTTTAATAATTTTTTCAGCTAAAAGCCTATTTACACAGGCGAAGTTTTTGCAACAGCGAACAAATTCCGCAACAGCCGCTATTTCTTTAATAATGCATTAAAAAGAGAAGAAAAATGTAACTACAACAAACTGTTCAGGATACAATTTTAGCATTATTATTTTAAAGAAGAGTTTTATTCAGAAATATTGGAGGAAAATTGTCACCACTATAACTACTATCAGCCCGAGCAGGGTAGACCCAAGGAATACATCTTCCTTTAACGGATGATGTGATGATCACCATTCCCTCATCCATTTATTCCTGCTGGTTAGGTCGCTTTGCGCCCCACAGATTAATTTTTTTATTGTTCTGCATATTTATTTATCTTTGATAAAATAAAAATGATATTTGATTTTTTAAAAACATTCAAACTCTGGCCGTTACAACAGCTGACTTTAATTAAAAATAAATATCCTTTTAAGAATCCCAAAAGACACAAATAAAAATCATTTATATGGTTTAAAAATAATGGCGCTGTTACGGAATTTGGTCGCTGTTGCAGAAATGATACCTGTGTGAATAGGCTTTGAACTCACGAAACTATCGCCAAGATCGACCATCACACGCATGTAAGTGGTCACAGGGCTGTTTCGCCGGCGACCAGGGTTGGCAAAAAAGCTGCACCGGTCGGTGGTCCGTATATATTTCACAAATTCTGGATTAAATTGTGTCAGCATGGACTTGCCGCTGAACGATGGCTCTCAGCAACCGCCGCAACACACCCCCCACCCACTGGTGAGTAGGAAAGAGTCCTTTAGCCCCTGCTACAGCTGTGTTTAAACTTTTTTAGGCGGACTATCAGTTCTCCGCGGAGGAAGTGAAGGCGTTACGTGAGTGCAATACGGAGTCATTCTTCCAGCGCAGTCTGCCCTTCGGCACCGGACTCGGCCTGTTGGCGTACTTTGGCGTCAAAAACGGCTATCTGCAAGGACATGGGAAGTACGGAGCCGTTCCAAAGGTCGTGATGGGCGTCATTCTGGGCTACTTTGTCGGCAAATTCAGCTACCAACAGAAGTGTGCAGAAAAGATTATGCGTCTGCCCAACTCTCACTTGGGCGAACTGCTGCGTCAGCGTAGGCAGGGCGGCGGCGTCATAAGCTCCATAACACCGGACGAGAATCTGGGCAGGGCCTTCACACTGGCCCCCTTTTCGCCCAGCTCGGCGGACGTGTACAGCGATGAGGCCTATCAGCCGGCCAGGAGCACTGCCCTCAACCTGGACACGGAGTCGCGCCCAACCATGTCCGGCCTGGACGACATCTATCGGCCCACTCTGGACTGTAGGCTCATATAAACCTTAGGCTTCAAGTAGTGTTTAAATATACCTCTTATTTTCAACAGCTGCTTCGATGTTAGACACGGATCTGCCCTTGGAACCAGCCAAGCCGGGTCAGTCGTACGAAGACCTGCGACGAAGGAACCGTGAGGAGCACTCGAAGCACCAGCAAAGTCCCTACTCGCGGCCCTACGAACCACCAGCTCCCGTTCAGCAGCGACCCGTGGAGCCAGCCGCTGGCAGAAAGAATCAATACGGCGACTCCTGGACAGACTGAGCTGGCACATTAGGCATTGTTATTTTGTTGGACATAAAACGCGCATAAAGTTCTGTGTACAGACGATGTCTATTTACAATTGTGTAGGGGCTTCAATGTGAAATTACTTTCTGGCCTGATCGTAGTTGTCTTTGTACCACTCCACCGACTTTTCGATGGCCGTTTCAAAGTTAGTAAATGCGTAGTTAGGAAGGAGAGAGCGAAGCTTGGCATTGGACGCTGTCTTCTTGTACTGTCCATCCGCCTTACTCGTATCACAGACCAATTTTCCCTGGAATAGGACCAGTTATGAAGTTATATATCCCAAAAATACTAATTTTTAGCTCACCTTAAAGTTAAATGCTTTGGCTATGGCCTTAGCCACTTCGTAGATGGTCACCTCCTGAGCCTCATCTACACTTAGAATGATAGGCTCTACGCTGTCATACTCCCGGAGCACCCAGATCATAAGCTCGGCCAAGTCCAGTGAGTACACAAACTGACGAAGGGGCTTTCCGCTTCCAAAGACTGTGAATACTTTTTCGCTCTCTGGCACTTCTGGCTGCTCCTTTATCAGCTGGTACATCCGATTAATCATGCCCGGAATTACATGGCTTACCTCGGGCTTGTAGTTGTCGTGCGGACCGAAAATGTTGCACGGAATCACGGAGCTGTAAAGCCGGTCGTATTTGTCGTGGTAGGCGTGGTTCTGCACGTCTATCAGTCGCTTAGCATATGAGTAGCCATAATTAGACGGGTGCGGTGGCCCATTGTGCACCATGGTCTCATCTATTGGATAGCTGGTGTTGTCCGGAAAAATACAGGTGGATAGACAAGATACGACCTTGCTGCAGCCCTGTTCGTGCGCCGTTTGCAGGACATTGTCGTTAATGAGCAAGTTGTTGCGCTGCACGGAATTATAATGAAATTGGATTTCGGATTATGATTGTACTTTACAACTAACCAGGAAGTCTAGGTTATTGTTCATGTTGTGGAACAGACCGCCGACCATGGCTGCCAGGTGGATAACATGCGAAGGCCTCTCCCGGGCGAAGAGTGCCTGCGTGGCTGCCAGATTTCTGTGGAAACCTTTGTTTACGGTTCTTCTCGCTCGGTGGTTGTTATTAACTCACGTCAAATCGGCGTCTTTCGAGCCGGCAAAGTACCATTGCTCATCAGCTGGAGCCTGCTCCTTAATTACCGCTTCTAAGGCTTTGCCTACAAGGCCAGTTCCACCTGTGACCAGCACTTTTTTCATTTTGTTTTGTGCGATTCCACGGATAAACCAACTATTTATTGTTAACTTCTTTAACACCAAGTGTGACCAGGAGTTTAAAATGCCGGTTACCAAGCAGTAATGCTCATAGCTTTTCAGCTATATTTTAGCGGGAATTATCAGGTGTGAAATGTCGGTTGATATGTACATACAAATTTCAACCCAATTTCAACCGAAGAGATTTTTGTGCAACCTCCGAATAAAACTATTTATGGGGAGATTCCTAAAACTGTTTAGGACTTGCTCTAGATTTGCGTCATGAATTGACTGAACTCTAAAACTAATGGAATTAAATTCCCAATTAATACCTAGGTACGTACTTAAATACAATTTTGTTATGGTTTGTACCTTACCTATTTAAAAAAACAAATCGCTACTTTTAACTTACCTTGAGAAAAAGCTGATTTATGTACTGAACATTTTTATTTTTCTTTAATTTGCTACAACATTACTAAAACATTAATTTTTCTATTTCCCATATTGAAAATTGTAGATAGAACAATTAAAATGTATATGTTGGTTATATGTTTCATTTAAAATATTTGCTTTAAGAGATACAAATAAAATGAAAAGCGATTTTAGTTAAACATGGATTGAATTAAAACGAAAAATAAATGTATCCTTTCAAAGTTATGTAGTTCCCTTTTTGAACGGACCAGCTGATAAATATTGTGCATCAAATATTGTAACAAGAAAACAAAGTTTTAAATGCTTTCCTATTATTAGGTACTCTTTTCACAGTTTTAGCTACATTTACAGCAGGTTATAGCTACTTATTTTATCCTGACAGCTCTGATTTTGATGTGTGTCTGTGCACTCACTGGTAACACTGCGAAGAAGAATTGCAGACGCGATTTTGTTTATGCGGTGTCGGAAATGCGAAAAACAATTTAAATGGATATGGAAACGCAAGTTATAGATACAGTCAATGAGTTTTTGGTAACACCGAACATATGAAAACTTTGAAAACCACCTGTTGATTAACTTTTTGTTTTGATAATCCAGAAGGTGGATTCCATTGACGAGGCGTTTGTGAGCGTCATTGTTTTCAAACCAAACGGGGAGCAGGAGAGAGCCACCAGTTTCGCCAATGATTTGGGTAAGTGAACCCACTCATTAAGATTTCAACCAGTAATAAGTATCTATTTTAGTTACCGTTTTTGGGAACGTGGCACAGGAGAACCGGGAGCAGGTACTGCGGGTGTATCTGCTACGGGCGGCCAGCGCCTCCGGTTACCACATCAAGGTGCTGATGGCGGCATTGGCAAAACTAGTGGACGCACACGTGATCACTGCCAGGATGCTGTGCGACAAGGTGCTGATGTGCGAAAAACTGGATTTCGAGCACCGGACCTTCTGGATCGAGAGCTTCCGGCTGATCAAACGCGTGATCGCCCAGGTGGACTACAAGGGCGTGCGCGAGATTATGAAGGTGTGCCGCGACAAGGCGCAGTGGTTTCCGCTCAACGTGAACGTCACCTACATGCCACAACTTTTGGCCGTCGAGGATATCCTGCGCTTCATCTTCGACCGCAACAATTGCCTGCTACCCGCCTATTTCATTGCCAACGAGATTATGCGCCCGTTTCCCTACCATTGGAAACTGAACAGGCTGATGACCGACTTTGTGGAGGAGTTCCGCACTACAGCACAAATGGTTTCCATTATCGGGCACGCCAGTATGCTACCTATCGTGGAGCACTTCGGCTATGCCGATCACATGATGAATTCCTGGAGACTGGACCACAACACCCTAAAGTTTAACTTTAAAGGCAGCCTGCCCTACGAGCCAGAGCTTCTTGAGGAGCAAAAGCCCCTGCTCCGCTACGTTTTGGAGCAGCCGTACTCGAGGGAGATGGTCTCACAGATGCTGAACCTGCAAAAGCACCAAAAGCAGCGTTATAATGCCCTGGAAGAGCAGCTTGTTAACCTGATCGTCCAGGCCATGGAAATGACTGAGGCAAATGACGCCACTGCGGGCAGTGGGTTCAACGCCTCAGACGAACAAATCACACCGTACGAGTGGGTTTGGCTTCACCTTTCTTCGCAGCTCATCTACTTTGTGCTCTTCCAGTTTGTGAGCTTTATGCACATTGTGTTGGCTCTTCACGAGAAGGTAGTCTCCATATAATTCAATGTTTTATGATCCCTTTTAATTGATTTTTGGTTACCTATAGCTTTCAAAGTTGGAGCTTAGGAAGGGTCGTGACCAGCTTATGTGGATCCTCTTGCAGTTCATATCTGGAAGCATCCAAAAGAATCCTGTAGGATAATAATTACTGGATTTAATCAAATGGTATATATTTATAATGCATTTTCGTTGTAGATTACCAATTTCCTGCCCGTGTTCAGGTTGTTTGACCTCCTCTATCCGGAACTGGAGCCACTCAAGTTGCCAGACATTAACAAATCTTCTATGGTTCGCCATATGGCTCCCATTTGCGTGTGGATCCACCTGATGAAGAAAGCGCGAGTGGAGAATATGAACATTACTCGACCGCTGCCCATAGCGCTCAAAAACCATTACGAGTAATATCTCAATGCTTTCCTGATTATTTTTTTCAAATATTTATTGGTTTATACACAGCTTTTTGCAGCACCTGGTCACGCCCAACACCATGATGAACATGACCCTGGGAAACGACTTTCGCATCATTCTAATCTGCAATGCATATTCTACGAATCAGGAGTACTTTGGGCGACCCATGGGCTTGTTGCTGGATGCTCTTAATGGCTCTTCGAAGTCACCAAATGGCGCCCAGATACCAGCTGTAACTTTTTCGGTCACAGTTCTAGACAGTCTGACAGTGCACAGCAAAATGTCGCTAATCCACAGCTTTGTGACTCAGATGCTAAAACAGGCCCAAACCAAAGGACAAGTTCCAGCTGCGGCGCTATTAGAGACTTATGCCAGACTTTTGGTTTATACTGAAATCGAGTCCCTGGGCATTAAGGGATTCCTGAGTGAGTGTAGCCTGTAATCATGGTCAAACACAATTTGTGTTCACAGTTATATGTATTCCCATGCAGGCCAACTTATGCCAACTGTGTTTAAAAACCATGCCTGGGCTATGCTGCACACCCTGATGGAGATGTTTTCCTACCGGCTGCATCATGTGCCCACCCACTACAGGGTGCAACTGCTATCTCTGCTTCATTCTTTGTCCTCCGTGCCCCAAACAAACAAGATGCAGCTCAATCTTTGGTGAGTTACAACTATATATTTCAGGTATGTAGATTTAGCTAAGACTTATTTTCTCTCCAGCTTTGAATCTACTGCTCTGCGCCTGATAACCAGCATTGGATCTGCGGAGTTTCAGCCACAATTTTCGCGGTACTTTAACGATAAGTCTCCCGGAGCAGTGGCGTCTAATGAGAGCGAGGAACTTAACCGTGTTCTCATCCTAACACTCGCCCGCTCCATGCATGTACACGGCGGCGGCGATGAAATGCAGGGGTGGTGCAAAGACTTCCTGTCCAACATTATTCAGCACACGCCGCACTCGTGGCCTATTCACTCTCTGGCCTGTTTCCCACCCGCTTTAAATGAGTACTTTACCCAAAACAACCAACCGCCGGAGAACAAGCAACAGCTAAAGAAGGCCGTGGAAGAGGAGTACCGCACATGGACATCCATGACAAATGAGAACGACATCATTGCGCACTTCCTTCGACCAACTACAAACCCCTTGTTCCTTTGCCTGCTTTTCAAAATAATTTGGGAGACGGAGAACATAAGCCCAGTTGCTTACAAGTGCGTAACGAAGGGATAACGATGTTATCTTTTCCGCTAATACTGTTATTAACTGTTTACTTTTAGAATCCTGGAGGGCATTAGTGCGCGAGCCTTATCCACTCACTTGCGCAAGTTTTGTGACTATCTGGTGGCCGAAGTGGCTAGCTCCTCGGATGGTCGTGATTTTATTCACAAGTGCGTTGACACGATTAACAATATGATCTGGAAGTTCAACGTAGTGACCATCGATAGAGTTGTTCTTTGCTTGGCCCTGCGAACACACGAAGGCAACGAGGCCCAAGTCTGTTTTCTTATCATCCAGCTGCTCTTGCTAAAAGCCAGCGAGCTGAGGAATCGAGTTCAGGAGTTTTGCAAGGACAACAACCCTGATCATTGGAAGCAAAGCAATTGGTAAGTGTTCAATTTTTAAAAAAGTGAATATATTTTCATTATCTTATTTAGGCAGGACAAGCATCTCTCCTTCCACCAAAAATATCCGGAGAAGTTCGCACTAGACGAGTCTGCCTCGCAGATTCCACTTCCCGTATACTTCAGCAATGTCTGTCTAAGATTTCTGCCTGTTTTGGATGTGGTGGTGCACAGATTCATCGAGCTTACCATCACGAATGTTCACCAGATACTGGGATTTATTTTGGATCATCTGAGCATCCTCTACAAGTTCCACGGTGCGTAAGAAGCTCATCTAAAGATTCTCAAAACTAAAATTTACGAATTGCAGATCGCCCCATAACGTATCTCTACAACACCCTTCATTATTATGAGCGAATTTTACGAGATCGTCCGGCGCTGAAGAAAAAACTGGTAGGAGTTTTTCTAAATATTATTTTTCATCTGGGTAATATACTGTTTTTTAAGGTGGGTGCAATTACTAGCGCTTTTACCGAGATTCGTCCGCCGAACTGGAGTGTTAGTGATCCTTATAAGGCGTTCCTGCTTAACCAGGACTCGCTATGGACCCCTGAATTAAGTTACTATATGAGCTTGATCAGACGCCTGGCAGACAGTAAGTTGGATATGCGTGTGGTGCGCAATATTCCAATATTCACTTTCCTTTATGTTGCAGCCATCAGTGGGAAGAATGTTTTCTATTCCACCGACTGGCGTTTTAATGAGTTCCCAAATGCCCCAACTCATGCGCTCTATGTGACCTGTGTGGAACTGCTGGGTCTACCCGTGGCACCCACTTTGGTGGCCAACAATCTCATTGACGTAATAGTCAACGGATATGCGGTCATTCCGCAGAAGGATATACACAGCTACATAAATGCCGTAGGCATTGTTTTGGCCGCTTTGCCAGAGCCCTACTGGAGTGGCATCTATGATCGCTTACAGGATATGCTCAACACACCCAATATGCTTAATTGGACCTACAGATTTAATGCATTCGAGTTGTTTAACTTTAAGACGGTGCGCGAGGCGATGCTGGAGAAGACGTATGCCGTAGTGTTGGCCGTGGCTCACTCGGTGTTTCACCACATGGGGGCTTTTAAGCTGGCGGCGATGACCAGATACCTCAAGGATAAGCTAAAGCCCTGCGTGCGAACCGAGCAGCAATTGTTGTACCTATGCCACGTATTTGGACCCTTTCTGCAGCGAATAGAATTGGAGAAACCGAACGCCGTGGCCGGCATTGCCGTGTTGCTTTACGAGATTCTGGAAATTGTGGACAAGCAGCATGGACCGAAACCATTGCAGTACATGGACCAAATATGCGATTTCCTGTAAGCCAATTGAGAGAAATTAATTAATAGAAAATAAGCTAATATCTTTCTATCACTTTCAGATATCACATTAAATATATACATGTGGGTAACATTATCAAAAACGAATCGGAGGCTATTATTAAGCGTTTACGACCCCTGCTACAGATGCGCCTGAGGTTTATAACACATCTCAATTTGGAGGATATTCATTCTGAGAAGATGTAAGAATAAATTGAAATAAAAGTGAGCTTAGAATTAATCAGACTCCATCTAATTTTAGCGCCGACAACGCCAACAACAATGCATTAACAAGTCAAACGCAATCCCCCCTGCAATCCCAGCACCAAACGCAGCCGCAGCAACAACATCAGCAACAACAACAGCAGCAGCAGCAACAACAACAACAGCAACAACAACAACAGCAGCAACAACAACAGCAGCAACAACAACAGCAGCAGCAACAACAACAACAGCAGCAGCAACAACAGCAGCAAATGCAAATGCAACAGCAGCAGGTGAATGCGGTACAAACAACAAGTGTTCCATTGGGCAGTGGTGGCAACCTGCAACAACTCAATCAGCAGCAGCAACAAATGTACATGCAACACATGCAGCAGCAACAGCATCAGCACATGCAAAACATGCGACACAATTAGACCTAAACTTTTTTTATTTAAGTACAAGCAGACATAGAAACATAAGCTTAATTTAAAGTTAGTATAATCTTATTATTTACCCCATTATTGTATTAATCGTCGTGTAATTGTGTATGTTTAATTTTCATGTGTTGTGTGAACCATTCTCAGATATAAATTAAGAACATTTTTAAAAAAATATCTTTTAATAATATTATCAGTGGGCTTCACAACTTTTAGTCCATCTCTTCCTGCTAATTTCTTCAATCAAAAGCTTACATTAATGAGTCATTTGTGGAGTCTGTGATTCTGGCTGAGAACTCGCCTGAACTTAAAGCTCGTCGCTGCTCAGTTGTGGTAGTAAATCTGGTCAACCTCCAGTGCCGTTCTCAGTTGTGCCCTCAAAGCGTTCGGCAATGGATGCGTTTCCCGGCATTAAGTGGCTGTTGCTGTTTGTTTCAGTCGCTGTAGTGGCCGAATACTGCGACAATGGCACGGGCGAGTGCAAAGACTTGACTCCTTCCGACTGCCCAGTGATATTCTACAACCAGCACCTGATTGGATCTGAAGTCAAGTACTGCGACGAGTTCAACGATATTGTCTGTTGTCCCATCCCGTTGGATCATCAAAACCTGAAACCAGTCGAAGAGACAAGGCCTTTTGAGAAGCGTGAGCGGTTTTCACAATGATTCCCTTTTGTTATTATTTTATTTTTAATTTGTCTTAGAATGCAAGCAGTACAACGAGGGCAGAGCGGCCTGTCGCTCCACGCCCTTTATTGTGGGCGGCACAAAGGCGTCTGGTCGGGAGTTCCCCTTTATGGCGCTGATCGGCACCAGGCGGGGTAACAAGTCCGAACCCAATTGGGACTGCGGTGGAGCTGTAGTGCATCCCAGATTTGTGCTGACTGCAGCTCATTGCCTTGAAACGGATGAGTAAGTGGCCCTAAGTTCTCCAAGCCTAAATCTCTAAAATTTTTTAAATAAAATAATAATTACTCCGAATTCCAGAACTAAGGCCGAACGATTAGATCCAAACTTCGATTCGCCCAAATTTGTAGTTCGACTGGGGGATTTGGACTATAACAGCACCACTGACGATGCCCAGGTCCAGGACTTTCGGGTGGTAAACTACGTGGTGCACCCGGGCTATGATACTGAGGACGAAGAGCTGGGTTTTAAGAACGACATTGCCCTTGTGGAACTCGATCGGGAGGCTGTGTTTAATGACCATGTGGCGGCCGTATGCCTGCCGCCCACCAGCGGCAACGATAACGAACATGTGACAGCCGCCGGCTGGGGATTCACCAAGGACGGTGTAAAATCCTCTCACCTTCTGAAGGTCAGTCTGCAGCGGTTCACGGACGAGGTGTGCCAGGAACGCCTGCGTTTCACCATCGAGACGCGCACCCAGTTTTGTGCAGGATCAATGACCAGCGAAGCGGACACCTGCAACGGCGACTCCGGCGGACCTATCTTCGTGCAGCATCCGCTTTATCCTTGTCTTAAGCAAGTGCTCGGGATCGTGTCCTATGGATTGGTTTGTGGTTCCCAAGGACTCCCGAGTGTCTACACCAAGGTACACCTTTTCACTGACTGGATCGAGAGCATTGTGTGGGGCAACTAAATCCGGAATAAATCTTGCCAATTAATCGGCAGAACCACCTGAATTAAATTGAGATATACTTAAAATACAACTTAACTTTTAAATATTATTCTTTACCTAAGCAATGAGCTAATATTGTCGATATATGTATATATATATATAATATATGTATATATATATATAATATATGTATATATATATATAATATATGTATATATATATATAATATATGTATATATATATATATATACATATATATCTGTACGTTACATTTGGAACTATCCTTCAACCTTAATTAAGGAACATAATTAGAGGGAAACAATTTTTAATCCAAGTTCAGCATGATAGGTCAGATCAAAACAAAACTCTTGTTCATATGATATATAATTCTTATCAGCTAATAATACAACAAAATCATCACATCATAAAAGTATTACAAATAAGAAATTGGGCTAATGGCTTATTAATTTGTTTTTTGTAAATTTCTTTAAAAACAATATCTGTTTATCTATAAACGATCTGTCGATTATTGTATTGTATTCATCGAGAAGTGCACCAGGTAGAAGGAATCGTTATCAACCCTATAAAGCATATGGCAAAATGCAGCGCAAAATCGACATAACTTTAAGCGAGGAAGAGCGAACAAATTGGTTTTTAAAGGTCAAAGACAAGTTTTTTATTCTGAACCTTATTTAATGATACAAAATGTAAGCTAATAAAATGTTGAATTTTATGTTCTTATGGTCCATCTAATGATATATGTATATATACCTCCTGAGTGTAAAGCCAATTTTACTCAATACATATACAGTATTACTGCATGTTCGAGTTTAGAATCGAAAACTGAACTTAATTGGACTTTGGATTTACGGATATTTATCGGTGATTGCTTCTAAAAATGTATAACCTACATTATATTTATTTAACCTAATTTATATTTAAGGTTGCAGTTTAAACAAATTATTGGAAATCAGATGATACAATTTTCGTACTATTTGTTCGCTCCATGTTTTAATATAAGCCATAGTAAGCCAGCAAACGTATTAAAAATATTCGAGTATACTTTCACAATACCTCAACTAAAAGTATTTCATATTTGTGATTATTATATATTATTATATATTCTGATTATTATCGCTTGAGTTAATTGCCCAGCTTATAAATATAAACATTAAAATTATTAGAGTCATTGGTTGTGCAGTTCAACACTCAATAAGATATGGTGGTGTTCAAGTTATTATCCCTGGTCCTTCTAATTGTGATTTTACTAGGATTTAAAGTAAGGAGAAATGGATATGATGGGAAACCACAAATTAATAAATCACTTTCTTAAGGTCAACTGCAGTTTCGAATTCACCAACATAATATGTACGTCCTTGGACAAGGAATTTTTGGATATCGATGAATGCTTTCTGAAATCAAAAAATCGGACTTACAAATATATGTCCTTCGGCGCTAAATTTCACCAGTTGCCGTTTAATGATTTAATGGTACCTAGTTTTTCTATTTTTTTTTTTAATTAATCGATTAGTTATTGCTGACATATTTCAGGTAAGTTTTAGGGTGTTAAAGAGGCTAAATGGGTATAAGCCATTTCTCTTTAACATGACGGTCGACATTTGTCAGTACTTCAAGGGAAAGCGTAATCCAACGATTCAATTTTTCTATGAATTATTTATCTCCTATTCGAACCTGAACCACTCTTGTCCATACAATGTACGTACTTATTATTCTCATTTGATTTTTGATAATAACCTAGTTATTGCAGCACGACATATTTGTGAAGGAGCTTCCCATTCAATTTCTAAATCATAAGTTAACAAATGTTCTGCCAGTTCCGGAAGGCGATTACCTTGTCCATTCTATTTACACGATTCGGGCTAAGCCGCGGGTGGAACTCAAAGTTTTTTTTAGAATATACTAGGAGGTTGCTCACAGAAAGTAAGCAAAGGATTGATTTTTGCAGATAGCTGAAGATTTTATGTGACTCTTTTACTGGAAAGTATCCAGTACTCCACTGTATATGTATTCAAAAATTTAATCAAAGGACAGAATAAAATAATGGTTTAAAGCTTACTTTAACTGAAAAATGATACAGTTTACATCTCTCTCTTATTTTGTGTTCGGCTATTTTGTGTTTTAATGTTTTAATGTTGTGGTTTTAATATTTTTGTCAAAATATTTTTTAAAGGTTTTTGAAATAGTCGGCTTTGAATCACTAAACTATGTGGAAAAATTTGTCCTTAGGATATTTTGAACTTTATTGAAGTAGTAGCAGAACGAGATTTTTCTATTCACTGATGTTACTTAACACTAAGCAACATAAAAAATTACTAAGGTGGCAGTTTATATTCAAAACCTATTGTAAGTATTTTAACATTGAATATTGTGGTTTTAAACAGTTATATTGGTCGAGAAACACAACCCAAGTAAACGCTTATAATTTGGAAACGATTTTATCTGCAGATTACTTATTTATTGTTTAGCCCTTTTAAAGGTTCTAAAAGCGAATAATTAATAGGATGTTCTTTATTTCAGTTATAGTCGACCTGTGCTATTTTTGGTTATGTTTAAAATTTGAGTACTGTACATATCTGCAAGCCTCCTAGAAGACACTTTATTCACAGCTAGATGTGATCAGTTAATAGATCTCATAGGGTATATTTATTTGCCACACTTGCGACGTCAGATGGTAGCCCTGTTCAAGCTGAAGCCGCTCTTTGACGTTGCCAGATCCGAAGGAAAACAATTCAAGAGAGAGCTTCTCGGAGAGTGTTCAGGTGTGAGTAGAGAGCTCGCCTCACCTGCAAGCCGATTCGATCTTCAGTTTCGATCGAGACGCACTTGAGTGCGGACGTGTGGTGCGCTTGGACTTGCGATTTCCTGCTGTGTATTGCGGTGTCGTCGCTTCGTCGTGTCTTCCGGAGCGTGGATCCCCTGGATTTTTGCGGTCGTTGTGCAAGTGCGCGGCAGTCACGTACAGCCGTTGCAGCAAATACAAAAAATATAGAAACAGACAACCAAAAAAACCGCCAGAAGTATCCAAATCAATTGTGGCAAATATTGTACTTTCGATGCGCGCTCGTTGATTGATTAACACATCACCTCCTACACACACTCCAAGTACCCAGTACTCACTTAACTGTGGGGTGCAATCCACTGGAATTGGAATTGCGCGGTGTGCATCATCAGCGAAGAACGTTAAGAAACGCTGAAAGTGCCGCGACTGCATTGTTTTGACTTTGATCGTGTGTCGTGGTCTCCGCCCCTCGACCCCCTACCCCAGCCCCTAACCGAAGCGCGTGCGTGCTGTAACTTTTGATTAGCTCAGGAGTCGGTCTTGGATTTCGATTCGGATTCCGATTCGGATCTTCTAGTGCGCCTGCGTTTTTCGTAACTTATCGCCGCCCACATCTCGCCCTGGCATTCGCCGCCGTCGTTGCGGTTCGTTCTCCTTCTTCAGGTGAGCCTACGAGGAACATTAAATACATTAACAAAAATATATATTTTTGAGTAGGTCTTTACTTGAGTGGTTTCGAATATAAGTGTTAAAAAATCTTTAATAACCTTCAAGCTTGCCAATTCGGTACCAAATCTGACACATACACTTGATACATACAATTTATCATAAAATATAAAGTTTTACTTTTAAAAATACTTTATAAATGTTACCCTATATGGGTACTATATTTGAAACTAGTTGTAATTTCGGTGGATTACGAGTAAGTTTGTATCTTGACTCTTTTAAGGAAATTACACCAGAAGTATTCAAAAAAGATATATATTTCTGGCATAATCGAAATAATGAATCTATATTAGTTTTTATACAAAAACATGTTTTAAAAAAACTTATTCTTAATTGATAAATTGATCAATGACGTCAAGTAATTATTTATTTTTAGATATCGCAAAACGGTTCGAATTTTAAATAAAACAGCCTATTTATTTGTAAAATAATATTATTTTGCTGTGTAATTTTTGTTTGGGTGTAAGACCATGTACTATATGTACATATGTGGGACATGTAGGAAGACCAAGAAAAGGAAGCAGAAGGAATGCTTGCTGAATTGGCAATGCAAACGGGCGCTCATTTCGGAATTCCCTGCACATGCCGCAGCGGAAGATGGAAAAAAGTGAAATTCGCCACGAAACCTTTGTAATTATAGACACACACGATACGCACACACAGTGCCAGGCATAATTTATTGCATATTAGCGTTTGGCAGCTGACAGCTGCTTTTGGGATTGTTCTCCGGAGATCGATGTGGGCCGCCAGAACCGAAGCTGTGGCAGATGAGATCACTTCTAAAAACGGAGGTCGGGCGAATCAGCTAAGAATGGCCGAAACGCCAAAATCGCGTATGCGTTCTGTAAGTCCATTAATCACAGCCAAATAAAAATAAATGTCGAACTCGCTCTGAGTCACCTGTATTCCGGGGACCTACTCCGTTGGCGACTTCTTAGCTTTCATTAGTCTTCCCTATCCAGCAGCGGAATCTAATTAATTCTTCTTTGTTTTCATCACCTCGATAACTGTTTGTCTCCGTTCCATTTAAGCCGCTTAGCTAAGATACCGGCTAATGGATATCCCTCTAAGCCGATCAGACAAGAATTTAGGTACCTACATAGAAAAAATATAATGTTAACTGTATTAATCTGTATTTTTAAATAATATATGTTTTGGATGGTTTTTTTTTTAAACACCCAAATTAAAGCTGGAGCAATAATACACTTCTTCACCAATAACCATTTTTTATAGGGAACTGATATTTTAATATATGTAGATACAGAAATTTTAATATAACATATAATGCATTATTTCTTGTTTATTGTAATCTTAGAATATTGATTGGCAATAAATATCTTATATATAAACAAGAAAGGAAAGCTAACTTCGGGCGGAGCCGAAGTTGATATACCCTTGCAGAATACTCTGTAAATTATATTCTCCAAAATTATTCATATGATGCATTCTTAATACTCATAAAAAATCCCAACTTCCTAACTTTAAAAACACCAAAGTTATGGCATTTCCAATCGTTCAGTTATATGGCAACTATAGGATATAGTCGGCCGATCCTTATGAAATTTGATAGGTCGGATTGATTGGCCAAAAATAAAACTCATAGAAAATCCCAACTTCCTAACTTAACAAACACCAAAGTTATGGCATTTCCGATCAATCAGTTATATGGCGGCTATAGGATATAGTCGGCCGATCCTTATGATATTTGGTAGGTCGGATTGATTGGCCAAATATAAAACCCATAGAAAATCCCAGCTTCCAAACTTTACAAACACCAAAGTTATGGCATTTCCGATCAATCAGTTATATGGCATTTAAACTATATATAAATAAAAAATCCCAACTTCCTAACTTTAAAAACACCAAAGTTATGGCATTTCCAATCGTTCAGTTATGTGGCAGCTATAGGATATAGTCGGCCGATCCTTATGAAATTTGGTAGGTCAGATTGATTGGCCAAAAATAAAACCCATAGAAAATCCCAACTTCCTAACTTAACAAACACCAAAGTTATGGCATTTCCGATTAATCAGTTATATGGCGGCTATAGGATATAGTCGGCCGATCCTTATGAAATTTGGTAGGTCAGATTGATTGGCCAAATATAAGACCCATAGAAAATCCCAACTTCCTAACTTTAAAAACACCAAAGTTATGGCATTTCCAATCGTTCAGTTATATGGCAGCTATAGGATATAGTCGGCCGATCCTTATGAAATTTGGTAGGTCAGATTGATTGGCCAAAAATAAAACCCATAGAAAATCCCAACTTCCTAACTTAACAAACACCAAAGTTATGACATTTCCGATTAATCAGTTATATGGCGGCTATAGGATATAGTCGGCCGATCCTTATGAAATTTGGTAGGTCAGATTGATTGGCCAAATATAAGACCCATAGAAAATCCCAACTTCCTAACTTTACATACACCAAAGTAATGGCAATTCCGATCAATCAGTTATATGGCAGCTATAGGATATAGTCGGCCGATCCCGGCCGTTCCGACTTATATACTGCGTGCAAAGGAAAGAAGGGTGTGTGCAAAGTTTCAATTCGATATCTTTAAAACTGAGAGACTAGTTTGCGTAGAAACAGACAGACGGACAGACGGACAGACGGACAGACGGACATGGCTATATCAACTCAGGAGGTGATCCTGATCAAGAATATATATACTTTATAGGGTCGGAGATGTCTCCTTCACTGCGTTGCACACTTTTGACCAAAATTATAATACCCTCTGCAAGGGTATAAAAAATGCTACAATAAAAAAATTAACAACATACATCAACTTTTGGAATATGGAGGCATAAAAAAGTATCACATCAATTATTTTTCTGAATACTATCGATTTGACCAAACGACGAGTCATGCCAAGATTAGACCGCCGCAGAAACAGAAACCTAGGCAGAAGTGACCTTGAGGGTAATAACTCCCGCGAATCGCGGCTCTCTTAGTCATGCCCGGAATGCAGCCGAACAGCATTGGCAGCTGCAAAGGCCAAAACCGGATGGCATCCACCAACATCTAACATCTAACGTCTAACACTGGCACATGAGCTCGTGCGAGTCTGTGTGAGATTGTGGCAGGCTGCCCACACCACGCAGGTTCTCCCTGAGCCTCAGCCCCCATATTACTTTAGGGGTATTATAAAAGTATTTACTGCCACTCACATAAAGCTCTATTATTAACATACTTACACGCAGCGAATTCCAGCGCCTTATAAACAAAAAATACCAATAAGCCCCGAAAAATAACATCTTAAAACAAAAAGCCATCGGCCAAAACAAAATAAAAAAGTGAGAATGCGCGAGGGCAAACGAAACCAGAATCAGAATCTGATCCGTCGTCGTCGGGCAGGTTTGTCTAATGGTCGATTCGGGGGGTGGGGTCCATTCGGCTAAGCAAACTGGTTGGTAACATATACACGGCTCAGGTGGGGGGACCTTGGAGCGCATCTTGACTCTTCAGAAGTAATTTGAACTGTCAAAGTCGGACAAAAACCAATTTGTAATATGTGCACTTGTTCAGACCGAACCTGAACAATCTCGGCCATACTAATACGTATATTCCAGTTTTATAACGAATATTTCGCATTCATTTGCCAAATTGTTTATAATGGCAGTTAGTTGAGTTTTTGATTGTTTTTATTATACTGTTTACGCTGTCCACGCCGAGATGCTGCGCGTTCGTTGCCTAAGTCTTTTGTATTGGGCCCATATGTATTGGCATTTGAGCCGCGTTCATTTCAATGCCGCGGCTTTGTAGGTAACCCGTGTAAATGGACATAATCGTACATCGGATTACGCAAAAGACCGTAACAAAACTAAACAAACACAGCGATCATACAGCTTGCTTTAACTCACTTCGAATGCGTAAGGCGTCCGCGGACTGACCTTAGATTTTTATGGAAATCACTGGACAATTGCTCTCGCTCCGAAAAACGCTTGGCCAGCACGCCCCAAATGACACACAAACGCGTCTGCCAAATCATTTTTATTTTTGCGAAAGTTATTCTCCCGATCGGCCAACAAAAGAGAGTTAAAAAGCATTTGCCGTTAACGACTTTCGGGCACATTTTGTAAAGATTATATACGGGTATTTATGTAAAGCTCGGACAGGTTTCTGCAACTCATTAATAAATTAACAGGTGGATGCGACTGCGATTGTGATCGGGGATGTCATTGCGATCGTCTGACGCCAATCGCTGAGATGAATTTGCACAAAAGTCGAGCCGGGAGAAGGTACGGGAGAATATACCGCGAACGTTTTAATGTTTATAAATACGATTTGCGCCTTAATCGAATACATTTTTATAGCCAAAGTAACGTCGCGAACGTGAGATCCGCTACTGTGAAAATCGAATGATTGACAATTGAAACGAAAATTTGCTGGACTCTTATTACTATAACAAAGAATTTATTAGTGCTAATAAAGAATAAATCACAACATGACTTAAGAAGGAATTACTTTAATAATCGAAACCAAATTTTGGCTCAGGCTTAAAGTACTAAGATGTATCTTCATAAATAAATACTTTACATAAAAGAATAATACATTTTTTTCTGAATATGAATAGATTTTTTTTTAAATACTAGAAATGTTCAACATTTAATAACCGAGTTGGAAGTAATCTCTGATATGACTGGCTTTATGGGTAAATACACCTAAGTGAGGGGCAAACAAAATCAAACAAAATAAAGCTGTCAGTAATTTTCCTGCTCCTCTTAACCTGCCTGCCTTCTAATACCAAAAGCCCACTCAGCCGCAACGGCCATCATTTAATCTCGATGCTGTCTGTATGAAATATGATCTTATAGACAAAGTTTACTACGGCTGCGAGTACAAGTACTTTGGATGGCTCTCGCCAGTTTAGAGATCAAGTTTAACGGCCATAAAGCGACAGCAAATATACGATTGTTTGCTTGTTCGCTTGTTAGTCGAGGCTTAACCCTTGGATTCACCCTGACCCCAAAGGTGACCCTCCATACCAAACCCGTGTAGCTCGTTCTTGTGAAAGTTAAAGAAATCAAGAGCCAAACGACGAATTAATTTAATTTCGGAAATACTTATGCCGAAAGCGAAAGACCCCTGGAGCCAAACTGGCTGCACCAGTTCCACGGGATTACTCGGTTCCACTATGCAAATCAACGGAAATTAGCCGCAATGTCAATAGATCGGAAACGTGGGGGCATAAGATATATTTTAAAAAGCCAAATATGGAATCATTTGTCATCTCAGTGATGGCTTAATTTTCATAATTGATAGAAAACCATCGAAAGTGATTGTTTACTTTGTGTGTGTTTACTTTTCCTCAGTTGCATTCCAAGGCATCCAACTCGAAATCGAAGGTGAAATAGAAAATAAACACAATTCAATGAAAAACTTCGATTCGGACGAGGAAACTTTCACTGCGAACCGAAGATGTCATCGGCGCTCTGATGTGTGGACTCCGCCAATGGAATTGATTAACGAGCATTAGCACTTTTCATAGCCGGGAGCTGACATTGGTTGCTCCTTCTCTCAATAAAACGAAGGCAACAACTCTAGAAATCGGTTAATTATGTATTGCGAACGTAAACTAGAAACACATATAAATATCTGAAAAAAATGTTTGTATTAATTTATGCAATAATTTTTTTCACTGTACACTTACGTCTTGGCCGGGCGGTAATTATAATGAGCCAACTTGGCACACATGTTTGTCAATCACATATTATCGACGATTCCCCGTCCAAGTTCGGTGGCGGATTCGTGGTGCGTGACATTAAAGTTGAGAAATTTCGCGCAAATAGAAATCCAAACACGAAATGTTTAAGTCAAACAGCATAAAAAGCAGCACTCGCATAACCATCATGACGAGCTGATTTTCGCACCACACATCAGCCGCAGATCTGTTTGGCTTGAATCGAGTAGCCAGTCACATGGACCGTTAGCAGCCGCCGGCCAAAATCCACACATTACCCATACGCCGGGTGGTGCGAAAAGACGAACGGCTCGAACAGTTCGTCAAAAAGGCCCGATTAGAAAGTCAGTGTGCTGCGCCAGCCCGCTAATCAATTTCTGGATAGTTTCCTCTATTTTTAAAAATTGGTTTGTTTTTGCGACCTTTTACTTTACAGAGCGATCTAGTGTTTTGAGGTCAAGTGTCTTACATTTGGAGTAAATCTAAGATGCGACATTAAGACAACACACACAATAGAAGCAAATAATAAATAAATTCAATAAAATACAAAATGTGACGCACAATTATGGCTAAAAGCATATGATTTTGTATTGTTATTTTAAAGCCTGTTCACCACATTAAATTACACTTGGGATTACATTTAAATAGGATTACTAAAACGTGCCCATCTTTTATTTTAATAAAAATATAATACAAATTTAAATAGATTCCTAAAAAATGGCTTCTAAGCTATCTAATGTTATCAATGAAATGCAGTACACTTTTCTCATATTAAAACTCAAATAACTGAATGTTGTGCAATTACTGGTTTAATGTTGTCTATACTAACATAAATTAACGCCTAGAAGCCTGCATCAAACCCCTGTTGTCCTGTGTAATTATCAAAAAGTGTGAATTTTCTTTAAATAAAAAATCGTTAAAAAATGTATATGAATCTTTGTGAGTTTTTATAAGCATTAACTCATTGTTTTTACCTGTCGATTGTAACAAATCTGTGCGATGTTTTCTTCCTCGTTAGCCTCTCCCTTAGCCGCTAAGTGGTTACACAATCGCCAATGGCCAACTCGGTCCCATTTAAAATCAATTTCAGCTCTTTTACTTAACAATTTTGTACTTATCTAGCCGTGTTGCTGGCTGCCTGCCATGTTATTCTCTAATTTGGCTGGCTGAAAATGGAGCGCGCGCGCATAATTCCAGTAAGGTATTTTGGTCAAGAGTGTGCCGCGGATCGGGCTCTAATTTCGGGGCTTTTGGGAGCGGCCATAGGCGATACACTTGCCGCCCCAGAGTCCGACTTTGCCCGGGTCCGATAGCATCGATTTATAGTCGATCCATTAATAGTTGACTATATTTTGTTTTGGGGCCAGTAACCGGTTTCCGGTGCCTGGCTACAAAAAACTCACACAAAGAGGCTGAGGCCGACTCAGTCACAGATACAAATATAGATACAGATACATGTATCGCGGCTGGCGTATTTTGAAAATCGTATCTGAAGCTCAACATGAATGAGCTTTTCGAATATTTCGTAACCAGTTGGACTGCATTTTTTCCACTCGATGTCGCCGTGAATCGAACATGAGTAGCGTGGCCAAATGTTTATGTCCGCAGCTCTGGCTGGCCATAATCGATATGTCGTAGAAACCGAGTCAAGTGTTCTTTTCATTCAGCGTGTTTCGCGTCGAATCGAGTTGAACACTTTAATTTAATGGCGTGTGAATTGCATTCGAAACTGTTTCGCTCTAGCATTTGCTATGTGGCCAGGCGGTCCGTTAATTACATCTCAGTTCTAATTAGTGGAAATGCAAAGCACTCGAGAGGCAATTCAATTAAAGTAATTGCTCACCTGAGCCTCTTAAGTCAGCTTTAACTTCCACTCCAGACTCGAATCGTTTTCCCTTAGTCAGTTGGGTAATGAACCTCGGTTTTGGCCAACTCATGACAGCCCGACCAGCCAGTTGACTCGGCATCACGCAGACTTATTTCAAAGAATGGCTCCGAGCCCGGAGTTTCCCACTTTTCTTGGCAACTGCGTCTCCAGCTGGGCGCCATTAGATTACTTGTGGTCGGTTTGTGCCCCAAATGTGGGCATATTGGATTGCACAAAAAAGGCAGATCACTTTCAACATTTTATTAGGTCCAACTTTTACTTGTTAAGGGCAGATTTCTTAATTGTAAGATTAAATTTCACGGGTTAATAAACAGAAAAAAGTTAGAGAAGAGAGTGGGAATTTATTGAAATCAAAATATACTTAAAATTGGGAAACTCTACCTGGGTAAAATGTTATTTCTACGGTACCCAAAAATATGTTTGGAAATTAGTAATTTATTTTCAATAAAATAAATATTATTATAGAAATTCTTTAAAAACATTCCAGTTAAATCTGCGTTCGCAAAATCGAAATGAAATCGTAAAAAAGCTTTAATCTTCATTTTGAAGATTAAAAAACATTAAAAAACCATTAATTATTAATAAAAACATAGAAAATACGATTTATTTGAGGAATCCAATTTGCAATTAAAATTTCAGCCCATAGTTCTAACCCAGTTGCGGAGACTGCTCCAGATACTGGTTTAATGCGACTCCATTTGTTTGTGTGCCCCGTCTTAATTAACATTTTTTACATGCTTTTCGATTTTGTTTTGCTTTGGCGACTTCAATGTCAAGCCAAGTGGTCGTCACAGTCGATGTTGCTGATGTTGTTACCATTGTTAATGCTGCTCTCAATGCCAGACAGTTGCTATTGCTGGTCAGCACCGGAGCCGGAGTAATCAAAACCAAACGAGGCGGTCACCCAGAGCGGCAGCTGCCGCCTCGGAAGTCGCTGCGGCTACCGTTATGGCTTATAAAAATGTTTATATATCTTATATAGATATTTCTATTTCTGGGGGTCTGGCATTGGACAATGACTCGGTGATTACCGCTCTGGGTGCTCGCTGCCCACCTGGGATGTCACTGGAAAAAGTGGAGCACGGCGGAATGGAGTGGTGGTCAAAACGTATCTGCCCGTTCCCATTCGCGTGAAACGCTGAGATTTTGGCCAATCAGCCAAACCCCGAGACCAACTAACACCAATTGTCGTCGATTTATCTTTGGGGCAAGAAAACAGAGATTTCATGCTGCATGCAATTTGCTTGTCAAAACTGTGGCACCATTTTCCATATCCAAACAATTGGCCCCGGCCGTGCCACATTTTTACGCCCATTTCAACGCCATTTGTTGTCGTTTAGTCCGGGGGCTAGGCCAGAAAAAAAACCAAAACCCAGAGCAGGTAGCTTGGGCCCCTGATTTATGTCGTTTCATTAGACAAGCTTTTTGCCGGACTTCGGGGCTAGACACTCGTCTAATTGCCCAAGTATCTAAGTATCTCATAGTTTGGACTTCGACTCGTTGGGGGGCAGCTGTCATTGGCTTTGATTAGTTTGTTGAACGCGGCAAGACCTTCGATTTCACTCAGCTGCGAAGGCGTTGGACATGGCATGTGTACGACTATATAGTAATTCCGATCGAGCATTGAACCGCGCTTCGGGAGGATCGCTTCGATGTATCTGCCTGTCACACTGAAAACCCGCAAAAAATAAAAGAGAAACGTATCTTTCGACACTTTCTGAAAAAGAAACTTTAATGGACTTGTGGGAAATTTCCTTGTCATTGTTTGGCCAATGCAATAAATCATTTTCACAGATCCATCTGACAGATACTCTAGGCCCCAAAAAATGATGCAATTCTCGGCTAATAAATATTTCTATAAATTGCCTTCTTTCAGAGTCAACCGTTAGCCGCTGAGATGTGCGTCCAATTTGTGGCGAAATTAATTATATAATTTCCGAACACTGCCAAAATCCCCGTGAAAATCAATTGCTCAAAAGAAGAGAAAGAGAAGCGCTTGAATAGACACGCCACGCGGTGCTAATGCGAAAGGAGACTCCCCGACAATCGCCAGAAATTGTAAAGAAATAAATTATAAAATACAAAATGTCTATAAACAATACAAGACATTCGCCATTCGGATTCGCTTGGAGCACAAGCGCCCTGCTGGTGCTCGCCGCCTGGTGCTGCTACCTCGGATACTTCGGATCGGAGGCCCATGTGGCCCTCACCTATCCACCTGCCCGCAAATACGATCTGGACTTTCTGGACAATGCGCGGACGAAGGCGCCTTGTGGCATGCCCAAAGGTGAGTGTTCTTTGGGGGCTCTGGTTTGTTGGGAAAGTGACCTGGATTTTGGAAAGCCAAAAACGGTTGAAGACTACACAAAGAAATATTAAGCAAATTCGTAGCAATTGGTTTTTTCTTTTTGCCAAAAAGGAACCTTTTTAGCGAGTTATTTTTATTGTGGCGACATTTCTTACCCCTAATAAAGTGACATTAATCGCACCACATTTCTAATAATTTTTAAAAATAGCTTCAAACGTGTTAATTATGTTAAACATTCAGAAATGCGACTCGATTTTGAGCGGTACAGATATTTGTCGCATTCATTATTTCTAATCTCCTATATTTATCACTTTATCAGAGGTACAACAAATATTTTGATTTCCAAATAACATTTCACATTGAAAGCTAAGATGAATCTTTTGAATGAGTCTTATGGTAATTTTCCCCTGTGCAAAAGCATTTCCCCAGCTTGATTTCTTTCGTGGGAAATACAGCTGCTGGAACAGGAGCAATAGTTGGCCTAGCTCTACTGAAATTGCATTTCCCAATTGCCGATTGTTGGCCAACTTTGGTTAGCTTACTCAGTTCGTCTGCCAGGCACGCTTTGAATATAATATTATGGCTTATTATGGCTGGTTATGTGCGCTTTGTTTGCCGACTGTAATTGGTCAAGCACGTTCAATTCACACATACATTCATAGGAATACAGTGTGTTTCATAAGCTTAGAGGAGACCTAAATGATAAATAGGAAATTATGTGCATCATCCATCTTAAAACATTAAAATTATTAATATATCCCATTTTGTTTGATTGTCTTTAAAACATAAACCAAACAAAAGGTCTTATTTTTTCCCATTCCATTCTTATTCTTATTAAACTAAGCCTCAGTTAAAATAGCTCTGACGAATTGAGCTTTGCGTTTATTGGCATTGAGTCACCGTATGCATTCATCAAAACAGATTGTTCAAATGTTTACTTACCAAATATTATTTTATGAAGCATATAAAAATCTTCCAGACTATTCACAGTTTTTTATTTTATTACATTCAGAACAATACATGCGCCAATAAAACTTTGTTCAATTAGGTTATTCGTTCGACATTTATTGGCACAAAAGAGATTGAGTTATCCTAGCGATTCTACAGAATTCTTTATCTCAGACTCTATGCGAAAGTCAATTCAAATTAATTTAGTAATTTGGTTGAAGGAGATTTTTAGGAATTGGATTTACTATCTACGGGTAAATCATACTAGCCTTATAGAAGTTTTGGAGCTAAGTTTGACTGCCACCATAAGACTTATAAAAAGTTTAACAAACAATTGCATTTCAAAACTGTAGTTGGCGAAGTTCAAGTCATAAAATCCACATTATGCACACTTCGAAACCTTGAATATATGGAAATAAAATCGATTTATGTCATTCAAGTGGGGCTGCTAATGACTTACACCTGTGAAACGCACTGCATGTCGGTTAAATGTATTCATAATTCAGAGACGTGCATTTTGCAGCTGAAAAACTTTTGCTTTTGCACTCGCTTGCATAATATGCATATGCTTATGCTTCGTTGTTATTGTTATGTGTGGCATCTTGCTCAATGCTACTTGCCGCGTTGTTATTGTTGCCTCGGCAGCAAAGTGTTACCAATTAATTTGCATATCGCGAGCGAGAGAAGCAACTCGACCGCCATTCACTTGTTCGTTCGCAGGTGTGTGAGTGGGGATGGGGATGTGGATCCACTGCCAAAGAAATTGGGTCACACAAATTATGAGCATTACGATTATGATATTCGTTGGATCTCTTGTGAGCGCCTGGTAAAATGCACTTTCGAAAATAAATAAAAATAACACCTTTGCGCTGGCTCTTCAGTTTTGACATTTGATTGCGCTGATTCAAGACGGACTAAGTGCTTTTTTTTTGTGGGATAGTCCCATCGATACTGTTTGCATATCAATTATAGACACTCGCTGCCGACAATTGCCTTGAGATGGTTGGTAATTGGCAACTGGCAACTGGCAACAGGCACACGTGTGCCGCATCAAAATGCCAAATCAATTTCCATGGATATGTCCATAAAGTATCGCACACACTCGAATAATGTACTGAGTGTGCAACCCGTTGAACGACATTTTTGTGCGCAGCACTTTTGACCATATTTTTATTTTCATTTTCGTTTGCCGTTTCATTTCGCTTTGTTTTTGCCTGGTTTCTTAATTATATACGCGCGCGAACATTGCGTATACGCAACGTGGGCAACGGTGGCACGTTTAACCCATTTTGGGGCATGACAACTTTTGCCTTCGCCTGCGGCTGCTGTTTTCTGTTTTCTGTTTGCTGTTTGCCGCTCGCTGCAGCTTGCCAAACGCGTCTCGAGTTGGCCAAAAGCAGGTCTGAGCCATGGCAACTGCAACTGCAACTGCGGTTTGGGGCTGCTGCTGCTCCAGCTCACTGGCTGCCTTGATGATGATGTATGCGCCGACGAGAGGCAAAGTGGAATGCAACATGCTGCAAGTGAAAAACTTTCACTTGTGCATTACGGCACACAGAAGTCGCCGGGGGCAGAGCGCGTTGATTGGCGAGCGGTAAGCCATGCCGGCAGGGGCTAAATATTCCGGACACAATCCGCGATTACGGCACGACGATAATGTTAACCACTATATCCATGGACGTAGCCAGAATCAATTTGTATTAGCGGAAAAATTATTAATATATGTTTTTGAAGGAAGAAAAATATTTATGTGCCAAATGTAATAAATCAATGATCTTTGAAAATACAATGGCATAAATTTCTGGTTGGTCATTTGAGTTCCCCAAGTCATTTATAAGTAACTTATGATTTAATTTCGTTTTAGATAAGACCTCACAATTCAATTTTATATTCTCTTATATTAAATAGGTGCTTTAAACACACCGTTGTCAAATAGATACCCACTTCTTAAAGCTATGATTATTAAAATGAAAACTATAAACTACATATAAACAATAAGTTCATACAATTAATAGTGCACGTTTAATAAGAAATGTTCACCTATTAATGGGAAATAGTGTATTGAATTTTTGAATTTTGTCTGACGAATTTAGCTGATCTTCCTTCTGAAAACCAAAACAAGTTAATTTTCCATTCAAAGCTTGGCTCTTAAGGTTTGATCCTCATCGTCAAATGTTAATATCTGCCTTTGATATTTGTATATTTTAAATTCCAAAACTTAGTCTATCTGCGCCCATGATCTGTCTGCAAATGGGCCGTTATATCTGTATCTAACCGTGACAGCTAAATGAGGCTTCAGTTGTTGCTGCTGCGATGCGGCTGCCCTTTTTTCCATCCGCAACTTGCAACTGGTTCACTGGGCCACAAAAACGCAGGCATTGGAAATGGGGACTCAAGTGACTGACTGACTGCTGACCTCTGCGCAGCATCTTGCATCTTGAATCTTGTTTGCATTGTGCTCACCCCTCTCAACACATCTCCAGCCTCGTCTAATCCATCTCAATTTGTTCGTGTTTGACACTCTTTTCCACAGCCTTTGTCTCTGTGTCTGCTGCTACACGATTTGTTTTGATTTGGCTTTGTTTTTATGTTGTTTTTTATGGCCGAAAGACTCGACATGGCTTGTAATTGTCTGCTGGCGTGCTGAGCACACTGGAATGGAGGTCAAGCTGTGGTCGCCTCTTGTGACACATGCCGGGAGATGCCAACAGCTTGGGCAATCGCAATCCAATGGGGTTGACAAAACATCGGTTTCGATAATTAGAAGCGCAATCATCTCAATGCAAATGTTAATTAGTCGGCCACAATTGCAGCTTTGGGATCCATAATACGGCCGCCGACTTGAGCAATATTCAATAAGCGCGGCAGCAGATTTATCATCGCAGGTTGCCGGGACAAAAACCCAAAGCCATTTATCACTAGAAACTGCAGTCGTTTTGCCAATGCCTTAAACTCATATTTCAGTCCGAGATCCCCTTCGTTGGCTTTGCTAAATCCTGTAGCGAAATGTCGCATTGTGAGCCATTCAGAATATCAATGAGAGCGACGGGCATAAATGACATTTAAGCCGTCGCCACGGACCTCGCTACGTATACGTAATATAGTTGGGGAATGCATAAGTAGCCAGCAACACATGCACGGCACAGAACAAGCACATACATCTATTGAAATCTATCTGCATCCCAGTCCATTCGGAGCCATAAATACCAACCGGCAAGTGGAGTGGACTGGGGAGCGAAGTGTGGAGCGGTGGATCGGATCGGATTGGATTGGATTGGATCGGTCGGAGGCCCCCTGAGGGGCTGGCCAAGACAACGTCACGAGCAATTAACTAAAGCGAAACTCCTTGACCACAGCAGCAGTAAACACCACAGGGAATGCAAATAGCACACAGAGAAAAAAGCCTTACAATTTTAAGGAGACAGACAATTGCCATATTTGTTAGTTCTAGTTTCTAAAGCCATGATATCTTATCTGAATGTTCTAATTTACTTTAGACTATTCGAGAAAATAAAGTTTTATGTTTATTGATTTAAGGTCCATGGTGCACAAGTCTTTTTCAATCAAATTTCAAACCAATGAATAGTCTATTACAAATTATTTGTAAACACACTATAAATGAACTCCGAAACAGCAATGAAAATACTTTGTAAACATCGAATTTGTGTAACAGTGGCTCGTCAGTCACATAACTTAGTAGATAAGAGCCATAATAAATCTATTTAATGTATCTATTTTTGAATTTTTAGGGTGACCAAAGTTATAAAAAGTTGATTGTTAGAATTATACTCGCCTAAAAAAATATCCTAACTTTATACGAAATGCAATGAGGAAATGCCTTCTACAGCTAGGTTTTTTTTTTGTGATATTGAATGTATTGTTTAAATTTATATATCAAAGTAAAACAACATTTTTAAACATCGTTTGTATGATTTCCGAATAAATTTGTTTTTTGTTTTCCGTGCAACTGCATCAAACCACGGCAAATATCGAGAACTGCCAAAGCTGGCCAGACGTTATTCAGTTGGTCAGGTTAATTTGCGGCAGTGGCGTCGAACGGTGGCAACTGGCAGTTAGTGTAGGGTTGCCAAAGCGAAATTAATTTTATGGCACGTTACTTATGCCGCTCCCCCAGCTCCCCCCGCTCCCCTTTCCCTGTTTTGGTGGCAAGAAATGCTGAAATTTATTGCCCTCCACGGCGCATGCGCAACGCTTCGTTAGCCGAGGAAAACGCTGCCTGGAAGTGTATTTGTCAACCTTTCGCAGTGCACCCTGTACAGTGGTCCGTGTGGCGGAAGTCTTTGTTTACGGCTACGTGAGAGGCGTCGACCATATTTGGCTAATGTTGTAGTTGGTTGGTTTATGCAATTAGAATGCATGCAAGCAAACATTCTTCTATTAACAACCGCAAATTGCATTGCAGGGGGATGGGGTAGACTTGAGGATGATGTAATGCCACCCATTTTAAAAATGCCTACCGGGGTCTTCCACCCATGTCCAGAGTGATGAGTTCCCTCTGTCAGTGAACTGCTGTTCTTTAGGCACTTGTAATAGCTTTGATTTTCACAATGGATAAGACTCGGTTTTCTGTACTAAAGAATGCATTCTTTTCAATTATTTATAACTTTATGTATACACAGCAATCATTGTGTAAAATAAACATAATTCAAATATTAAGGACTAAAATTATTCAAAATAAATCTGTTAGCCCCTTGTGGCTTTGCAGTTAATCCCAAATAAAAATATATTTTTATACTCTTACCAACTTATGGTAAAGAGAACATTTCAATATTTATTTTCATTGTATTAACCGACATCTGATGAATAAGTTTTCTTAAGTAAGTTATAAAAAATTGTAAAGAGTTTCAATATCAATATGCCTTCGGCGTTAGACCACCATAATTCTATCATCACACTCCGCCTAAAACCCCTCCCTCCGCCAATCGATGGAATTCAGCTTATGATCAAATTAGCCAAGTTTCCAATCAATTATAAACCGATTTCACGCGCATCTCCGCCAGAGATGAGGCGGCCAATCAAGGCGGCCCCGACCGATTTGAATCCAGCGGGCGAGCGGGACGGACTTTCGAAATGGCCAGACGTCGCCGGCGAGTTCAAGCTCAACCAGCACACAGATACGAATTTCAGCAGCCTCCAAAAACAAAACGCAAAGGTGAACAACTTTCGCGGGCCTGCTCATGGGAAATATGACGGAGTAGAAGCGAAACACGAAAAAGCGTACAAAATATTAACCAGACAACTCCAATTGGACTTGGGGCTGGCTTCGACTTCGACCGATCGGCCCGGACCATGGGAAACATAAAAAAAAATGTGGAAAAAACACCGAAAAAACACCTGCTAATTTGGTGCATGGATTCAGATGCGATTCAGATTCGGATACAGGTCGAGCCGCTATGGTAGCCGCCCCTTTTCGGGCATAATTTGTCTGTTGTTTCGATTTATTAATGGGAACACTTGATTTATCCACCGATAGTCGCTTAACCCATTTCTCGATCTGGTTTGGCGGCTTTCCGTTTCGAGTCAAAACAAAGCGAAATCTGGTCAAATCATGGGAAGCTGTGTGAGGTCTGTGCGGTCGTCAGGTGCAATCAAATGTTAAGAATGCACTGATCCGCATTCGATTCGAACTGATTTGCATTTCCCAGTGGCCCAGAAAACCAACCAGGGAAGTCCACTTCGTTTCCAGCTGAGTGGAGCTCTGATTTTCCTCTGATGGTTGCGCAATAGAAATCAAGAGTTTTCCGCCAAGAACAAGCATCCAGTGACCCACAAATGATGCTAGCTGACTTCGGAACGGAGTATCATGAACCATTGAATACCCTGAAAACTGAGCTGTAAAGATGAGGTTTCTAAAGTTGCATCTAATAGATATACCCTCTTATGGGGTGTACAAAACAACTTGGCGTCATGTCCATCGCGTCGACTGTCAGCTTATGACCATATTGGGATGACCAACTGGCAGCTGCACGACCATTGAACAGCTATCGAATGATTCAAGTGGTCAGCGCTTTTTATGTTCCCAGCTTCTATGACTTTGGCTAACTTGGCTGCGCGATCTCGTGCCAGCAGTAATCATAATTTTCAGCTTCCTTATTTGCCAATACAAACGCGGGGACATCGGGAAAGTGGCACTCCTCCTTTCGCTTTCGCAGACCGAGCTATAAACGTTTAATGGCCTCAATTAGCGACTCGTTCGCCGAGTATTGGCTGCCAACGATGTGCGAGCTGGGCCTTGATAGCTCCTCTGGTCCATCCATGGCACAGAGAAAAACTATGAAGGCTTTAATTTGCTATTAACAACATAGAATTTTTAATAAGTAACTGAGATCTCTTCTTTTTTTAATTGGAATAAATATTATGTATATTAAGTTAATAAAAGATTGACTCAGATAACAAATATGACGGCATTAATTTGCTATGAACAATATATTGTAGAATGTTAAATAAGTTACTGATATCTCCTCTTTTTTTACTTAAAACAAAAATTATATTAAGTTAATAAAAGATTAATCTTATTTACGTTAGAATTTTACCAAGGTGTTTGAGTTGCTTGTGAGATTATATTTCTTAGATTTCTGTTTTGATCAGAGGTTATCACAAAACTTGACAGTGGTTTTGAGCTGTATTGGTTTGAATGATTGGATTGGATTTTAAATCTTTAAATCAATCACGTCCAAGATTTAAATTTTTGGTAGCGAGCTTAAATCATCGATCAAAAAATGTAATTCATGTCACAATTTCTAAAGTCGAGGGCCCTGGGGATTTCGATTTACGGATTTTTGGTTAAATGTTAATGTGCTTGTAGTTTGTCCTTACATATAATTTCCTCATTGGCTGCAGATAGACTGGATTTTTTAAATTTTCCTTTTGTACTAGCTTGACTAGGATTTTTTACTTGTGCAGCTGCATCTGCATCCCTGTCCCTCCAGCCTAAGCCCCATTCAGGTTGTAATATTTTCACAGCTGGTCAGCGGCATTCAGCGGAGATTACCGCATGGCTCTTATGCAAGAGACGAGTATGAAATTTGCCTGGGCAGGTTCACAAAGATGTTTGGGGCTGGGTCTTGGCACGTACAAATGTACATATATGTATGTGTATGTGGGGGGCCTTGTGCACACCAGCTCCTCGGCTGTCATGCTCAATTTGCGGAGGGAGTTAAGTATTCCAGACGCAGGTGCACTCGTTGCCATCCAATGCAGAACCAGTCCAAATCCAGGGGGAGTGGATTTAATTATGTGACTGGAGCTGGGCAAATAGATGGGCCACGACGGCGACTGTCACCCGTAATCACTGGCCCACTGATCACGCTCTGATTTCCTCCTTCCAGGCTCCATCCGAACCTCGCTGCTCTCCGGAACGCAGTTCAACGTCACCTGGCATCTGGCCTATGCGCACAAGGTAAGATGAATCTGATGCAATGGGAGCAGACACGCCCCTTTGGCGTTCCTATCGCCGAGGGGTAATTAGCCGAGAATCCATTCTCGAACGATTGCTTCACATGCACGCAGTCAAAGTCAAGCCCTGTGAGACTAGAGATTGCCATGTTTGTGGTTGCACGACATCGCGTCACAAGTTCTCAGTCATTGTTTTGGCGCAACCATAATCATTATCGCAACTTTTCCAGGGCGGCTTTCGGTTGCAACTTTTGGATGTGCTCGACCGACCTGTTTTGGACCTAACCCCACATGTGAATAACTCGGAATTTGTGAGCACGGATGTCACGTAAGTTTAAATATCTAATTTGACTCATATCCTAGATATGCGGGTTTCTTATCTATCATATGGTTTAAAATACCGTTTACAACTAACTGAAAACACTTTCCTTTCTATAGCGCTCAATCGTACCAGGTGAATATACCGAAAGACTTCGAGTGCTTCAACTGCACTCTTAGGCTGCTCCGTCAGGCTGATGAGTGGTCCACCAGCTACCGCTTTTGGTCCTGCGCCGATGTGGATATCAAGTTGCGCAAGGACTTCAAGGAAACCTGTTCCGGCAATGGCAAGTACTTCCCCTCGCGATGCAAGTGCGACAAGAACTTCTACGGCCCGCAGTGCCAGTACAAGGATGAGTGCTCCGTCGACTCCGATTGTGGTGTTCAGGGCAAGTGCGAGGATCTTGGGGGAACCTCGCTGCCCCGGAAACAGTGCTACTGCAACTTTGGCTGGTTCGGAATCGGATGCAACAAGCGATCGCCCTACAAGACCACCAGTCTCGACCTCTCCTCGTATGCAAAAAAGGAGCTCTCGCCCGACTACCACGTTTACTGGAGGCTGCTGGAGGAGCAGAAGGAGATCGAAATGGTGCTCAAGGTCAACAGCACCTCATGGGTAGGATTGGGTTGGAGGCCGCGTGGTATGACTCCGGAGTGCAAAAACTTCCCGCTGGTGCGAGACATTGGAGATCTGACCACAACGGTAGAGGGCCCAGCTCCGGAACCCAAGAGCGAACCAGAACCTAAGAGCGAGCCGGAACCCAAGAGCGAGCCGGAACCGAAGAGCGAGCCGGAACCCAAGAGCGAACCGGAACCCAAAAGCGAACCGGAACCCAAGAGCGAACCGGAACCCAAGAGTGAACCGGAACCCAAGAGCGAGCCGGAACCCAAGAGCGAACCCGAACCCAAGAGTGAACCGGAACCAAAGAGCGAACCGGAACCAAAGAGCGAACCGGAACCCAAGAGTGAGCCGGAACCTAAGAGTGAACCGGAACCCAAGAGTGAGCCGGAGCCCAAAAGTGAACCGGAGCCCAAAAGCGAACCGGAACCTAAGAGCGAACCAGAGCCAAAACGCTTAGCCGAACTAAGAGCGGCACCGGAAACCAAGAGCGAGCCAGAGCCCAAGAGTGAGCCGGAACCAAAGAGTGAACCCGAACCGAAGAGTGAACCGGAACCCAAAAGTGAACCAGAGCCGAAGAGCGAGCCGGAGCCTAAGAGTGAACCGGAACCAAAGAGTGAGCCGGAACCGAAGAGTGAGCCAGAGCCTAAGAGCGAGCCGGAACCGAAGAGTGAGCCAGAGCCCAAGAGCGAACCGGAACCGAAGAGTGAGCCAGAGCCCAAGAGCGAACCGGAACCGAAGAGTGAGCCAGAGCCCAAGAGCGAACCAGAACCAAGCAGTGAACCTGAGCCTACAAGCAAACCGGAGCCGACTACAGCGCCCGAACCCAAGAGCGAACCGGAACCGAAGAGTGAACCGGAGCCAAAAAGCGAACCGGAAGCGCAAAGCACAAACAAGACTAAGAGAGTAGCCGGAGATTTCACCCAAAAGCAAGGAGTCTCCTCCGTTTCCACCAGTGTTTCTTATCGTGTTAGCACCAAAGCAGATCGTCAACGCCGTGATACAGGTGAGGATAATTTATTTTAATAATATCTTGAAAAAAAGGTTAATAAAAAAAAAAATCCTTATCCGATTTCTTTATACTTTTCCACAGAGTCACCCAAATACCGACTTAATCCGTACACACCACGACATGATTTCAACCCAATGGACTGCACGGACATCGTGATTGGAGCAGCTCGAGGAATGGCCAGCAGGGTGGGTGACTACTACTCCCGTGATCGGTCAACGCCTCGCACCGATGAATTCTTCGGTGGCAAGTCTAATCTTGCTTTGGGTACTGGCTTTGAAGAGAACGGCGTGACCACGATCATCTTCCGGAAGAAACTGGTAGCCAATGAGCCCACCGATCACACGCTCGATGATGCCCTGACCCATGTGATTTGGGCCAAGGGCCAGGAACCAAAAGGTTACGTGCACGTGCCAGCCTCCGGTCTGGAAACACAGTCCTCAACCGTCAAGGACTTCTATATGCCAGATGAACTGAAATACCATGGACACCAAATGCAACGAGGTGTCACGCAGATCAATTTCTTTGGTGAGTAATCTAGATTCTGGAACTAAAATCATTCTATTGTTAATACAAAACATATTCTAATCTTTATCTCAAAAAGATAAAAAGTTTGTAAACTGATAAGATTAATTTAATATTTTAGTTTACAAGCTTTACTAAGTTTTAAGAGAAGATAAGATAACTTTAAGATATCCTTAAAAAATAGTATTGATTCCAAACCCTCTTAGTCGTAGATATAAACCATTTGAACTATTCACTTTTATATTGCAATGTTTCGGACTCTTATTTTTTAAAACAGAAAAAGACAAACCAGCCACGAGCACGGACCGTAACGACCTTGGCACCAATGTCCTGGATAACGATTGTTTCGGCCACTGGAAGTATCCGTCCAACTGCTCACCCCAGGAGCATACCTGCGAGTACTATGCCAGCTGGGAGACGGTCGGAAAGGGCGACGAGATGCGTTGGCACATCGAGACGTCAAACACGCAGACCTGGACGGGAATTGGCTTCAGCGAAGACCAGAGAATGTCGCAGACGGACGCGATCATTGGCTGGGTGGACGGACGCAGTGGAAGACCTTTCCTCATGGACACTTGGGTGCTAGGCTACTCTCCTCCGAAGCTGGACGATCGTCAGGACATCTACAACGCCTCCGGACGCATCGAGAAGGGTGTCACCATTCTAGAGTTCAATCGCAAGCGTGTTAGCAATGACGAACAGGATTTGTCCTTCACGGACGACCACTGCCTGTATCTGTTCTTCCCGGTTCTGGGCGGTGCCTTCAATGTGGTCAACAAGAAGATACGTAAGCATGAGCAAGTTCCTCCAATCTCTTCTCAACGTGTCTGCATCAAATCCTGTGGAAAGGGTAAGATATTCAAAAGAAAAAGTAAGAGTTCTCAACTTATTGTGCTATTTAATCTTTCAGAATTAGAGTCAGTTTTTGTGGGCACCAGCACTCCGGCGCCCAGCCGTCTGGTCTACGCCGTGGCCGTAAAGCTGATGAACCTGGGCGAATCTTATGAAGCTCCGAAGCCGGGAACCGTTGAGTTCAACAACCTGGCGGCCACCATATCGGATTCATTCAATGGCATCCTAAGTTCCCAGACTGGTTACTACAAAACGGAGATTCTCGGATTCGAAAAGTGAGTAGGAAGACAACTTTTTGTAATGAACATATGAAACGTTCACAGTTAAACTAGAGTAGTCCTTAAATAGTTGAATTGATCTTAAATCAATTCTGAGGAACAAATTATTTGATAATTTGTTTAAAAAATTTTAGATAATATGTTAAATGTTAAATATATTTCACTGCATAACATACTCAATGATATATATTTGGATTTTCATAAATTAATTATAAATTAATTATTTTCAGGGAGGGCAGTACCATGGTAGCTAAGGTTCAGGCCATGTTCGATAAGGCGGATGTGGAAAAAAAACACGATTTAGAGACCAACACGGTGGATAAAACAAGTGAGGCAGCAGCTCTGGACAACGCTGCTAAAATTCGATCGGCCCTGAAGGATCACATTGCCACCGGACGAGTGGGTTCACTAACGGTGGATCCTCAGTACTTGGACTTCGAGGCATTGGAATGTGAGAATTGTAATAAACACTACCTTGTTTCCATGGGCTAACAAATATATTATTCGTGTAGACAAGAGCTCCTCTGAGCCCAATGCCAAGGAGACACTACTCTCCTTCTTCGACCTCTCTGAGACACGATTGTACATCGTGCTTGGCCTTATTGCGGCCCTGGTCCTCATCGCCTTAATCCAGGCCATCTGCACCATTTGGAAGACGTCACGAAAGAGCAAGAATACCAAGGTGAGTGGATAGAAAACTACACGATCGATTGGGTCAGCATTAGCTAAGCCAACACAGAGAAGAGAGATCAATATTCAAGAAAAATAATAAGTAAATACATACACAAAAAATGTATTGTATAAAAAGATTTATACCGCAGTTCTCAAAATAATCAATATATTGGAGGTGTAACTTCTCTGCGTCGGCGCGGCTTCTTTCATTCCTCTCTTATTAATATTTCCCCCGTGTCGTTCAAAGCTTGTTTACGTAATACCCGAAGAGTGGCGCATGTACCAACAGCGACAGCACCAGCGCTACTATCAGCCCTCTAGCGATCTATAAAACTCACTCTACAAAACCAATTCAGATCAGATATACTATAAAAAATCCCACTGCCCGATACACCTGAAACCCGAGCATCGGCTACAACTGCCTTAAGCATTTACGTTTTATTCTGAACCCATCTTTTAGTTAGTTTAAGTACCGGAAACCTCTTGACAATTGTACTGTATCTGTATCTGCATAGGCGCCGCGTTTATCAAAATTCAATAACTAAATGGGTAATTCAAAACTCTATATTTTCTTGTGGTATCTGTTGTTGTATTAACCCTGTCACCTAACCCAAAAACAATTCACCCACCTTAGCCACTCTGGAAGGTAATCTCTGATCTCCTTTATCCTCTCCTCTTTCTCTGTCTGTCTCTTAACCTTTTTCTGTGTTTCCAGTTCGTTCTAATAACATTCATTCCCATTCCACGTTATTTGTGTGCGGGATCTCCTGGCCAGTCAGCATTTGAAATATGCTAAGTTGAAATTCCCAAAAACTCCCAATCCTATTTTAGATCTCTAGCTCTCTTTCATCTTTACAAAACTTCACCGAATAATATTAACCCGACTGAATCATCATGCTCCGACTGAATCATCCTGCGTTTTATTTTGGTTAGGATTAAAGGAATCGGTTTAAACGCAGGCGCAAGGTACATTGCAGAACAGTAAGGCACAAAAAGATTTATGAAATTCTGATTTCCTATTAAGTCTCAAATAATATTTTGTCTGCGTATAATAGAACAACCCGACAGTTCTTTAGTTCCCAACTCCTAAAGATTTCCACACCAAATGCTGACTGGTTGAGCGCCTTAAAAGAAAACCAAGGATATTTCAACTTAATCATGCTCAAATCTCTTTATGCTTGCAGGAGAAACTGATCCAAAACTCGCCCTGGAAGGAGTTTGCCTCGAACACCAACTACGCCTTTGATCCCTATGGCGAGACGGAGGAGAAGAACAATACCAACAGCACGTCGACTAAGGAGAAGGGACGCCACCGCCACCAGTCGACTACGAGCAGCCAGCAGACCACGCTTCCGATGTCGCATTCACCGACCAGCAAGTCACAGATGTACTACGAGAGTCCTAATGGTCAGGGCAAGAACGGCACCAATGGAAATGGCAGTCGCACCAATGGACGAGCCACCCAGGAGAGCAGCGTTGGCGCAGCAGGCGGAGGAGCACCCTATTCCCGCAGCTCCTATGCGGAGCGAGCTTATTCTCTGCCCCGTCAGGCGCATCACTACCAACAGAGCCCGGCCAGCATGCAGCCGTCGGGTTACTACACCCATGACCGGCGTGCCGCTCGTCAGGGCAGCCGGGATAGGGACCGGGAGCGGGAGAGGGAGGAGGAACGGCGCCGCCAGGACCGCGATCGCGACTCTGGATACGATCGGTCGCGGGATGATCCGCGGCAGAACGGAGGATCCGACACGCCCGACTTCTACTTCATGCCCTCGCAGCGCAAGTATTCCGGGGAGGTAGTACGCGTCTACGTGGACTACAACAAGGATCCGAAGCACTAAAGCTCAAAACACATCTTTTTATTTAAAGCTCGTTTTAAGTTCTACCATCTGTACTCCGTCCATCTGTTTTGCGTCCGTTAAGTCACAGAAAAAGAAATATTTGATACTAGATCATTTTTTTTCAAGATAAGTATATAGGGTCCCAGAGAAATCACTAGGGTTTGAAAGGCGTCTACAAGAGAGAGAATTCTGATGGCTCCACTTTGAAAGACATTTAAATATTTTTTACTGCTTATTTTTGGACACCTTAATAGGTGTTTCAGCCAAGTGATTTTTACGGCAACCACTTGTATTTAAAGTGTTATTTTTGATAATACCAAAATAGTCTTTTCGAACTTAGAATTCAGTTTAATTTAATATTTTTCATATAAACATCGATAATCAATGTTGTTAAACTAAATTCTAATACTATTTTAAAATATAAGTGTTTGACAAAAATTGATTTTAGCTAAAATCAAATTAATTATTCACAGTTCAAATTAATCTAAAATTGATCCAATGGACATCGATCTAATATTTTTCTGTGCACTTTCGTTTCCTCCTCTCTTTAGTTTCGATTTTGCCATAAAGCAGCTCTGCTGCAGCGGCGTTTCCAGGTGCGCAGCTTTACCACAAAACGCACAACGCATAATTCCACAACTTAGTGAATTGTAAATATTTTGCATAGACATTAAAGCAATTACAACAAGAAACAAAACAAAGCCACACAAATCACACAAATTATTAAGCAAACTTTGCAGTTAGGTACGTGCATTCAGAATGTTTTCGCATTGTTTTATTTTATATGTGCAAAGAAACATAGTCACTGTATTTAATCAAATTAAATATACGCATAGTACATATAAATAAAGTTAAGTACATTAAAAAATCCAAGGCCTTTTCTTTAATTAGGCTGGGTGTGAAACTCTGACTTAAAATTGTTTAGATTTTATGGAAAGAAATTTTAGTTGGACAAATTATTTAAATCGACGGTGTTTGCAATCCATTTTGTGTGTCTCATTATATTTGTAACAACGTGCCAACCATTATGTGAGTAACTTACGATACCAAACAAAACGAACCATTCTTTTTCCGAGCCCATAATCCTTTTTCCCAAAATATCGCCAGGATTTCCAAATCGGTGACTATGACTGAGAGATTCCGTTTTCACACAAATTTCATCCGTTTCGACTTCTTTTTGGATTATTCTTGAACATTCGAGGAAACCAATAGATTCAACAAGAACGGCATAAATTTTCACGGGTTCTTGAATTCGCACATAGTCAAATATAGTCAAGGGCAAATTAAGTTCTCCCCTTTGTTGGATTTGTAGGTTCGAAAGCATGCATATCGGTTTTAATCCTTCTGCAAAAGAAGGAACTCAGTGATCGGATAAATAGAGTTGTAGAATAATTAGGTTACCTGTGTGCCTCACCGATCGACTAAGTCTAAGCAAAGCAATATCATATTTTTCGTCTGAAAACTTTTGGTGCTCAAAGACTGCGTCAACTCCGTATTCACCATAGGAGCTCTCTATTCCCATTACAATTACATATCTGTAGAATGGTTAAATATACACTTTAAATATCTAAATCATTCTTATCAAACACGTTGAAATTACTTACAGCGAAGCAACATTTTCCCGCAAGTACCTTGCATTTGTGAGGACAAAACCTAGAAATCAATCGGGACTATTTTAAACAAGTTTTTAAATTAGACCTACAGGTATTTATACTCATGATCAGCTTAAACCGTCGAGTCAATCGGCTTGTCAAAGCGTCTATTTTTACGCAAATAGTCTCTTACTTTTAAAACTGTTTAAATTTACATTTAACAATAGTTTAGTACAATTGGGGCAGGAATGGTTAATCGAGTATTATTAAAATAGACGGAACTTATATGTTTCTAACATAAACCTTGAGATATAAAAATCTTTTAAAAATCATACGACTTTTCCATATAGTCTATATGACAATCTAGGAGAATCAGCATACCTGATTTTATAAGTATAATAATAATTATAACTGGATATACACGTCGAATTGTCGAGTCGATCTTCATTTCCTGTCTAACTTTAAATTTGGGCAAGTGCCTTATCGCAAAACTTTTTATTATAGTCTATATATTTACGTACGGGATGTGATTAGCACGCCCTGGGTACTGAAAGTAGTTCCAAAAATGTTGGCCCGTAAGTTCGATGCAATGGTATCACCACCGCATTCCCTGTACAGCCACATATCTTGAACGTTGTCAAACCTTAGGGGTTCCTCGGGTATGGACTCCTCAACAATTTCTTTGTTTATTGTTTCCTGTATCCAGTCCATATGGCTAGTCACGTCGGTATATACTCCTGGTCCATTGCAATCGGAATTGCCAAAGCTCACGATGCCGACCTGAACTTCGCGATACTTGGTCTTATTAACATTGACTCTGGTGGTCAAAGGACCACCGGAATCGCCAAGACAGGTGTCTCCATTATCGACACCAGCACATATCTGTTCCGAACTGACAACCACATACAAGGTTTTGTTGCACTCGTTTGGATTTAAGTTGTTAAGGGTAATGGTTTGAAGTATTTCGTTTTCCTGGCCTTTGCCGTTTTGGCCCCAGCCAAATGCTGCAAACTTCGGAGCAGCTCTTACAAGACTCTTAATTGTCTTCATCATAATAATGCAGATTGGGTAAATAAATTCTGCGGAGAAAGATATAATATATAGAATGGTGCAGATAAATCAAAACCTTTCATTTACCATTGTAGACAACACTGCCCGAAAGCTTAAGCAGGCCTATATCATTGCCGCGACTGAATTCGTTGTGTAATTGGTGAACTATTTTTTTTTCTACATCGTACTGTGCCGTAGGTTGACTTTTTCTGTAAGCTCCTAATTTCACGAACCTTCAATCAGTCAAAACAGTTTAATTGATTAATTGATAAACATTCCAGATTGAAGTTAATATCAAGTATCGACTGCACATGTCAAATGTGTATTACTTACAGGATATTTTTATGATTTATGCAATGAGCAGCAGTTAAAACAAAGCCTGAAAAAAAATAATTTTATATTATCAATCAATTCTGTCTATGTATTTAAATACGAACGTTTGTGAATCAGAGTTCCGCCACATAGGAAATGGGTGGCATTACTTATAGCTGCCATCCAGGCAGCAGCCTCTTCTCCTGCATTATATCCATTGGCTATTTTGTTTGTATTTAAGCCACCACCACATGGTTCCTCTAAAAACTGGAAAGCCCCAGGGTGGCCAAAAACCAAAATGAGCACAGCAAATAATGCAAAATAGGTATGCATTTCACTCGAGTCAGGAACGGAATGAATCACGAATCGCGATAAGCCTCGGTTAAGAAGCTAAATAAGCTCGAATCTTGCTTTTTAAGAAACGTTATCATTAGCAGAAATGCTTGCTGGTGCTCAAATGATGTCACTAATAAACAAAAAAAAAACTGCAGCTGGGAATTAAACAAAAAAATTCAAATGAGTTTAAAAAGTTAACAAGCAAAACAAAAATTATTCCCAAAACTAGTTCTTTGTAACATGAGAAAGTTAAATTAGTTCAATTTATTTAAAAAAATAAATAAACTAAAAATATTAATTACCTTAAAAATACCTGCAATGTAGCCAGTGGTTAATCAGTTTGTTAGAATCAATTTCTGACGTAGGCTTGCAATGTATGACTGTTTTCATATTGGACAAGAAGGGAAACTTATTAAACATTTATAATTTAAAAAATTATTTTTTTATTAATTCAATTAATTATCCAATAATTTGGATAAAAGTTTTTATTTTTGTATAAATTACTTGGGATAAATAAATTTAAAACCAAATTTCAGAAAATACAAGTAATTACTCTATGCGTATACGTTTAAAAACAGCGAAGTCATGTCCATTGGTTTAATTCCAATTTCAATGGGTCCTCTGCATTTTACGCGATATAAGAAAGAAATAAAACACGGATGTTGAGATAAACTCGTTGCAGCCACTAATGAAGATGCTTAAATCAACCTCTACCCACTTTCGATTCCAGTAAGAGAGCATTCTGATTAACTTGCAATTAAAAAGAAACATGGGAACAGGGAAGTTCTCAGTATTTTGATAAATTTAATGATGTTATGGTAATCGTATATATAACCAACACTGAACGAACATAGGAATCAATAACTCAACGATAATTCATAAAACTCGATCTGAAATGAAAAAGGGAATTTGTTAGTGCTAAGAAATGTCATGAAACTTTTTACCATTACTCACCCTCCGAAGGCTGGTTTCTGGGCATTCGAGTTTCCAGTCTGTGCTAGATTTCCAAAGGATAGGCCGGACTCCTGGCCACCAAGAGTTTCGAATATATTTCCTTCAGCCGGCTTAGGTGCAGCACCAAACGCTGGTGGTGAGGCTACAGGGGTAGCCCCGCCAAAGCCACCAAATCCCTTGGGACTGCCGAAGGTGGGACCTCCCCCAAAGGTGGGACTCGCTCCAAAGGCTGGGGACCCGCCAAAAACGGGTTTGGCTCCAAATCCACCCGGCGCAGGTTGCTGCTGTGGCGTTTGCGGTGATCCAAAGCCGGTCTGGGCCACTGATCCTCCACCGCCCTGAGCAAATCCACCACCAAAGCCTCCCTGAGCTGGTGTTGTCTGCGAGAAGGATCCAAATCCACCAGAGCTGCTGCCACCGCCAAAGATCGAACCGCCAGAGACAGGCGAGGCTGCAGCGGGTGCAGGTGATCCGAATATCGAACTTCCTCCGCCGCCAAAGGCCAAAGCCTGCGGGGTGCCCACTGTATTGGAGAATATGTTTCCACCAGCTGCCGGCGATCCTGCCGCTGACTGACTAAACACACTTTGGCCAAAGATCGAAGCACTTCCAGCAGCTGGAGCGCTTACGGGGCTCTGGGGGTTACTTCCCCCAAAAATAGAACTCGATCCAAATGGTACGTTGGTTGCGCCTCCAAAAATAGATCCTCCGCCGGCTGGTCCTGTTGCTGGCGCCGGTTGACCGAAAACACTCGATTTTGCGGCCTGTCCGAAAATATTACCGCCAGAGGCAGCAGCTCCACTTGGAGGACTGCCGAATGGCGACGGATTGCTTATGGCGGCTGATGCAAAGAGACCCGTGGGTGGTGCAGCTCCTGTTGGTGCAGCCGGTGTATTTGAAGGTGCAACAGAAGCTGCTCCAAAAACGCTGGTTTCCGGTTTAGGTATAGTGCCAAAAATGTTTCCACTCGGTGCGGAACTCTTTGGAGCCGTTTGGAAGGGGCTAACCACCGGAGCCACTGTTGATGTTGATGCTTCGAAGCCACCTCCAAACACTGAAGATGAGGCGTTACTGGCGGTGGATGCGGTGGAGCTGCTCGCAAGTAAAGGAGCAGCAGAAGTGGTACTTGGAGCCGCACCTGGGCCTCCTGCACTGAGGCTGCTGAAAGCGTTCGAGAAGGAGAAAGCGCTGCCGGGAACAGTATTACTAGATGTTACTAGTGCGGTAGTGGATGGCGGGACGGCTGGTGTTGCAGCTGAAGGAACTGTGGTTGCACTTGATGCAGAAGTTGTAGCCACAGTTGGAACTGCCGTTGCTGTTGTTGTGATGGGATCAGTTTTGATTGTGGCATCCGCAACAGTTGTTGCAGGAGTTGTTGTCGTTGCTACTTGGGTAGTGCCGCCAAATAATCCCTTCGAGGCATCTCCACCGTCAAACGAAAAGCTGCCAGAGCCTGAACCGCTGCTAAGACTTCCAAAAATATTGACTGGTTTGGCGGAATCTGTAAAACAACATATGCCAACTTAGTTTTGGTAACTATACTTTTTTATGTTTAAGCGTGTATAGAATTATTTTTTACAAATGTCTATGGGACGTAATCAAACAATTGTGTAACATTGCTTAAAGTGCAAGTGCAAGCATAACAGATATTCGTATAGAAAACACAAGTTACCTGTTGGTGTGTTCGGCTTGCAAATGTTTACAGAGCTGAAAAGTCCGCCGATAGGATCCGAGCTGCTGGTCACACCGCTCGCTGTTTTCTCTGAAGAATCTTCAGCCGCAATAGTCGAACCACTTGCAGGGGTGGGCTTACTGGTGACGGTGGTGGTGGTGGTGCTACTGGTCACTGTGGGTTCACTGGTGGTTGTCTTAGTTAAAGCTGCCGAGAACATGCTAAATGGAGAAGCTGAAGCGGATGTGGCTGCAGCTGCGGTTGTGGCGTTTGATTTGGGGGCTTCAGATTTTGGGACAGCAGGGGCTGCTCCCCCAAAGCCAAGTGATGAGCCCAATCCCCCGAAGCTGAACGGAGAGCTAGAAGCACTTCCCACAGCCCCGCCAGTTCCCGTGAAGCCACCAAAACCAAAGGATTTGTTAGCGACCTCTGCCTTTGGTGTTTGTGGTTGTACTTTTGTAGTCTCTGCTGCCGGTATCACCGGCTTAATTTCTAGCCCTCCTTTCTGCTCTTTGGGCTTAGCTGGCTCTGTTGCAGGCTGATCCTTTCCAACTCCTGCCGAAAGGTTTGGTTTTGGCATTGGAGCCGCTTCCACTGCTGGCGAACCTCCTCCAAATGAGAGCGCCGTCTTGGCACTCCCACCAAAACTAAAGCTGGAACTAGCACTGCCCATTCCGCCGAACATAGAGAGGCCCGGTTTTGCAGCTTCACCAGGGGTCACAGTATTTGTCGTTGGTGTCACAGTGGATGTCTTCACGAACGGGCTGCTCTGGCTGAAGGAGAACGGCGTAGCTGCGGACGTAGTAGGGAGAATAGGGACTGCAGACTTTTCCACAATGAGAGGCTTAGATGGCATTGGCTTTGGCAGCTGAGAAGCCACTGTTGGGAGAGCAAGAGGCATAGGTCCAGCAGCCGGAGCCGGAGTTGGAGGAGGAGCCACTGCTACTTGAGTGAACTTGTTGGCCGTAGTGGGCTTTGCAGCCGTCTTTTTAATCTGCTCTGCCCTACGCTTTGTTTCCAAAATAACCTCTGACTTGAGACCCACGCGATCTGGTCGCTGGGGACATATAATATTGACCTTCTGCAGCTGGACCACCTTACGAATCTTTTGCAGTCTCTGCTGCGTGAGCTTGGCTGCATTAGAGTCCACTACGTGGCTAAGACTCATCGAGAGAATGGAGTCGGCCAAAGTGTCCACTCTATAGTAAAATTATGGGTTAAGGCTTGAGCAGAGAAAAAAAATAACCTACTTACGCTTCGTTGGTGCGAGTGCGACTGTTCTCCTGGTCGAGTAGTGCAGTCTGGAGCAATCCGCGCTCCTTTAGCTTTGCTTTGATGTTGTTTTGTAGGATTCGCTGGTCAGATGTGAGGTTCTGCAGCCTCGTCAGTCGCTGGTAGATACCCTCCAGGCAGGGCATGTGCATGCGAGACTTGGAGTTGCGCCGTACCACATCCTGGAACTGCTCCCACTGCACATCGACATGTTGTTGGGCGAGACGCAGCTGTGCTTCGTTGGCGGCCACATAACTTTGCAAACGGGCTAGCATGCGACGGCCAGCGGGGTCGCAGGAGCTTGAGTTCATCAGCCGTGTAATACTAAAAAAAAGTAGTTCCTTAAAATGTATTTCTAAACAAAAGATTATGCTACCCACTCTGGTTTTCTGTAAATCTCCAGTTTGCCACGGCATTCGGCTACAATGGCATAAGCCTCATTAAGACCCTGTCGTAATCCCTGAACATCCAACTCGAACTCCACATCCTTGGCTTGTTCGTTAAGCTCTTGAAGATCATCCAATCGCTTGGCATACACGCGTAAAGCTGAAGGAGCAGCAATCTGTGAAATGTATAAAACAAAGATATAAACGAGTCAATATATGACTAGGATTGTCTTACGCCTTTGAGCAAATCCTTGGTCTGGTCCTTCTGCTTTTCAATGTCCTGACTGAAGGACTCGATTTGCAGCGCTATCATGTCTTTGATAATGGGCTCCGTGTCATCCGGCCTGAAGGTTTCTACTATGGTGACAGGAGGCGCTGACGCAGTTGGCTTTGTGGCCACCGGTGCAAATGTCGGAGGAACAGTGTACAGAGGTTTATTAACGGGAGCGGCCACATGAGCCGTTGACTCTGGAGCCATTCGTGGCGCCATAGAAACAGCGGCCTGCTTGTTAATAGCCATGCCCCCAAAGGCATTTGCTCCGGGAGCGGAAAACATGGATCCAATTGCCGGAGTAGTTGTTGGAGCTCCAAATCCACCAAACCCGATGGCTGGCTTGGTGGCAGAAACAGTTGAAGCTGCAAACGCTTGCGGGGCAGGAATCGGAGCAGATCCGAAGGACAGCTGTGGTGCAGGAGCTTTGGCTGCAGCGGCTCCAAACCCGGAAAACAGCGATGGCGGCTTATCCTTTGCAGGAGCCGGAGTTGAAGTAACTGTATTCGGTGTGAAGGCGAACGATATGTCTGAAGGAGCGCTTACCGCAGGAGTCTTGGGAGGCGGACTGGCAGCCGCAGCCGGTTGCTCCTCCTCCTCACTGGGAAGCAACGTATTCAATGGCCTGAACTGTCCTGAAGTATCCGCTACTGGTGGAGGTGGCGAGCACACAGATACTGCGTTCGGCAGCATATTCAGAAAATCGAAAGAAAGCAGGTCTCCGTCTGAACCCAAAACGTGCACCATGGGCATGGTCTGGATCTTTTGCTCGTTGATGATTAGTTGATGCGTGGTAGACGTATCGTAGACAAAGCCCAGTGGGAAGGTCTCCTCCTGTGTGGCCTCACTCAGTGGCATCTCAATGCGTGCTTCATCTAGCAAAGTTAGCTGCTGCCAGGCAGGCGTGTCGCCGGCCTCCGAGGTGCCCATGACGCCCACCTCCACACCATTGGCCGAGATAACGAGCAGCAGGTTCCACTGCGGCACATGGTTGAAGAGAAATTGATGATTCCTCGGTCCATTCAGGCTGTAGCAGATGTCATAGTAGTTTATGTAGCTGGGTGTTCCGGCCTTGGGAGCATTAACGATGTACAGAGACGGATTGCAGTCCTCGCCGTGCTGCAGGAAGACCACTGCGAATTGGAACGTTGAAAGCCACTGAATGGCGATGGTGTCGAAGGGGGCGTCGTGCACATTGGGTGGACACATTAGGGTCTTGGCCGGCGTCAAGTCTGGTTTGAACTGCTGCACTTTGCCGCCAGGAAAGCCAAGGACTATCTGCTTGCCCTTGGGCGACCAGCAGCCGCACTTCACCTGCTGGTTCTTGTCCAGCGAGTGCATTTCAAAGTTTCCTCCCTCCTTCAGGGCGTACATCCCGAGGGCTCCGTTGCTCAGAACGACGGCCAGGCTGTTGGGCAGGACGGGATTCCAGAGCAGCTGAACAGCGTGCACATGGTCCTCGGCCGCCAGGCGTATACTATAGACAGGTCGAACATCCGGGGTCATAAACGATGGCACCGTATAGATGCTGAGCAGGCTGGTGCCGTTTTGGGTGTGATTAACGGCCAGCAGGTTGCCATCGGAGCTGCAGGCGATGTAGTTCGGTACACTGGGCAGTGGGACAAGTCGCGCCTGCGGCTGTTGTCCTGTACTTTTGGCATTGGCCAGATCCTTAACGATAATAACTGTAGGGAGGTCCTGGTAAGGAATAGAGTTTTTCTATGATATTTATACGATATTACCCTTGAGTTCCGGATGCGTTGGACTCCCGACGAAGAGCAATCCCCGGCTGCTTGAGATGGCCAGCAATTTCACGTTACTGCGGGGCTCGCCGCATTTTTTGAACGCCACAAATTTGTCGCGCAGTTTAAATTGAAAATCCTGTGACGAATTCATTGTAGTGTTTGACATTTCAGTTTGACGTTATTCATCTTACCTGCGTGTCCCTGCAGGCTGGTGCACTTTGAGCCATTTTTGTTAGTTTTCCCAACTATTTCGTCAAATTCATGCAGTTTGTCAGTTCGCAATTCGAGCCAGCGGTGTGGCTGCAGGTTAAAGACGTATAAACCCTGAGAAACAAAAAGCGCGCCACATCGCATACGGTCACTTTGCGTAAACTCACCATGGTAGAACTCACCAAAATTAGTAAAAAAAAAACAATTCGTTTAAAGCATAGTGTCCACTAATCTGTATTTTGAGATATTGATAACCTTTTTTTAAAAATCAGTCTTCGACATGTCTAATATTTTCTGCTTTCATATAATATTAAACAGATGTTTTGAACATAGTTTAAGCTAGAAATAGCGTATATACTGATATAAACTCAACTCAACACTGTCAAGCCAACAGTATGGAAAACATTTTTATTATGAAACTTCCGGTTTTAAAAAGATAATGTGAAACTACCGGTTAAAAAAAATGAAGTGAAAAAAATGGTGTGACCTGAGCGCTCTAGTTTCTTGATGGTATTTTTTGAGTTGGGATTTTTGTTGTATTATGCCCTAGAACGAAAATTTCTGCACATCGCTAGCGCAGCAGCTTTGTTGTTGTTCGTCTGTCTCTGTCCAGCAAGCGTTTCTTTTTGTTTGCTGAGAATTAAACAAAAGCGATTTGTTCGCGGGCAATGCAGTCGCAAATGTGAGCACAAAACCATCGGCTCTTCCGATTGAAATTGCACAAGACCATGTAGTTGGAACCGAGCTGGCGAGTTGCAATTATCCAGTGGCGACGCAACACGGTGCTAAAAATTGCGTAGCCAAATAATTTCGAAGTCCTCCTCCTCCTTCAATCGCAGTAACCACAAAGAAAAAAGGAATATTCGAGTGATATAAAACGAAGTGAAGTTTATTTCGAAATTGCCTTCAAAGTCTCCCAAATATCATTTTAAACACGGGATAAGTCGAGGGAATTACACGAGTGGGAGCAGGTGATAATTAAGGGTGAGAAGGAAGCAAGGATAACGGAATGGGCCAATGTAATACATACTCCCTGTTTTTCTTTTAGAACTGCTAATCGAAGGCCTTCAAGATGATCAGCAGCTTGTTTTCACGGCTCATAATGTGAGTAATCGCTTACCAGTAATTTCCAAATTCATAGCCCCCGTAAGCGAGCAGATCGTGAGTGCGAGTGAGAGCGCTGCATCTGGCTGACCCCCAAAAAAATAAAAAAAATGTTCAAGCTCGGCCTTCAGAATCGAGAAAAGCACCTCAGAAAGTCACCGTTTTTGATTCCCAATTGTGTGGGCGTCACGCTTCTGATTTTTGTATATTTCCGTGGTTTCTCTGATTGCCAGATTGTTTGTTTATTAATCAGCTGTCGCAGAGTACCGTTCACTCGTGCGCAATTGTGTGATTGTGTGTGTGCGTAACCCTCAATTGCAACGCCTAATTTGGAGTCGCTACTTTTCGAGTTTCCGAGGCCGACGCACTCGACTCGCCCGATATGGGTGCAGAACATGTGGATATAGCTAGCCGGCGACCCGGCGACTCTCTTTGTGACTCCGCGAACAGCGGCTATTGTTGTCAATATTTATAGATCGCGGTCGAATTGGCAACGTTACCTTTGTTCATGTGTATGCCACAGTGGCGGTCAAGTTGATAGCCCATCTTTGTTCAGCCTCTCAGTACAGTGAACTGTTTACATCCCATTACTTTGAGTTAAGGTTTTTGTTTAAAGATTACATTTTTGACTTACCCCAAATGTAACCGACAAATTTCTCACTACAAATTATTTATATTACGTTGGTTTATGTGTGTAACACTCTTGAATCTTCAAAAAAAAATTCCAAACAAAATATATTATTTATAAAAACAGATTATTCATTACACAGATTACACTTTACACAGATAATATATTTTCTATGATTAAACTATTTAAATGCAATAGACTCTTTAAAGTAACAGAATTTTTGGCACAATATAAAAAAAGAAAAGTAAATTAATTTTAAAATACAAATTTTTAGATCTTAAGTCAAAAAGATGTAATGCCAATTTTATTTTAAAACTTTTAATAATTTTAGTAGTCATATAGGGCTTTCAATCGTTTATTATATGCCAATCAATTTTATATCTTATATTGATTCAGTAAACTTTTGGATAACTACCATTTTCAAGTTCATCTGTTTTCACAAATACTTATTTATCAAGAAGATTTGAAGATGTTCAAAAATTGATGTGCTATTTTTTTTAACGCGTCTGTATCTCGGAACTGCGGTACGTTCCTCCGTGTAAACATTGCTGCGGCTGCTTCTATTGCTGCCGCTCTTTAGACCCGATCGTTGGTTTATTAATAGACCCCCGGCTGAGCGTTAGACGCCGGATCTCTGGTCGCAGATCGCTCTTCATGCCCCGGCAGGCAGTCTCTGCTCGGCGTTCTAGCAACCAGGAACGATCTGCGACCTGCGCTGCGGGCAATGCATCCCCGTTGCCATGAGGCCCATCTATCAGCAGGAGCAGCCGCAGCCGCTCTTCTATCAGCGGCCAGCTAATCTTCGACGCCTACGTCATCCGCCGGGCACCGTCTACGGTCGCAGTTATTCGCTCGAGGATCAGCCGGAGGATATTATCCCCGTCTATCCAAAGTTTATTTACGCCCCACAAGCACAGCAACGGGCTCAATATCCATTGTATCACCTGGGCGATTCACTGAGCTCGCTGGACAGCGATTTCCCCGACAATGAGTACAGTGGGACTTACATAGTGGAGCAGCAGGTTCCGCTGGCCACCGCTCCCACTCCCAAAGTGGTACAGAATCTCAATGCCCTGGGCCGAATGCTGGAGCTCCTGCAGCGCTGTCCTCTCCCGTGTCTCTCCTTTAATACGGCCTGCATCTGTTCGCTGATTGTCATATTCCTAGCGCCGCGCACTTGTGCCCAGAGTTTACTGTTTCCCGCTTTCAGATTGTTCTGCGGCACCCTTTACCCGGCCTATGCCTCCTACAAGGCCGTCAGGACCAAGGATGTAAAGGAATATGTAAGTATATCTATATTCTCAATAACGTAACTATCAATCGAGTCGAAGCCCTTCTATAATAATTTATAATCTCTATTTAAAATCATCTCCTATTAATAAATTTAATGGTCATTTCATATAATTTGTATAATAAACCTCGAAATCATATTATTTGTCAGTTTTCATTTAAATACATTACTGGAAATTGCGGGTATCATTAACAAAGAGATTATTTAATAATTTATATACAAATATTCAGATATTTACGTGTGCTTTGTCATGATTTAGGTAAAATGGATGATGTACTGGATTGTCTTTGCATTTTTCACCTGCATTGAAACATTCACGGACATTTTTATCTCCTGGCTGCCGTTCTACTACGAGGTGAAGGTGGCCCTGGTCTTCTGGCTTCTCTCGCCGGCCACAAAGGGCAGTTCAACACTGTATCGGAAATTCGTGCATCCGATGTTGACACGCCACGAACAGGTGGGATCTGAAAACTCATGTATTTATATTTATTCCTCGGTACATCGTACTTTTCTCTTTGCGCAGGAGATCGATGAGTATGTGAATCAGGCCAAAGAGCGTGGCTATTCGGCGGTCCTACAGCTGGGCTCGAAGGGAGTTAACTACGCCACCAATGTCCTCATGCAGACGGCCATTAAGGTAATCCTTCCCACACAATCCACACACAGCCCTCACTGACACACTCACCCACAATCTCGCACACTCACTCGACTCGCTCAACCACATTCATTTGGCCATTTTCGATCGCCTCCAGCGTCGTTGCATAAAATGAGCAGCAAACAAACATCAGCTTCTGCTGTTCTATATTCGAAATATTTGCGCAACACTCTCGCGTGCTCATCTTAATCATCGCCAAACTGGTCAGCGAATCCGCAGCAGCAGGGAGCTCCTCACCAAGAGAATAATCATCGCCTTAATCATCAGCTCGCCTTCTCTTCACATTTACTTTTATTATTATTTAGTTTAAACGTCTAAAATGGAATGCTCTTTTGTGCCATTTGCGTGTTTGTTTCGATTTAGTTTGTAGTGTGTTTCTCTTTGTGTAGCTAGAAGATCACAATATATACTATACGTGATACACGCTAAAAGATAAATCATCATGTTGAAACAATGTAATAAAAACAAAAACTGAACAAACCAAAGCACAAATACCCGTCGGAATTCACAACTGTTTGTAAACAATTCAGATGTGGGCCAAAACACTTGTGGGATTGATTATAATCTGGAGGGCACAGACAACTCAATGATGAACTAATGCAGTCGATAAATAATTGCCCGTTTATGTAGGTCAAAGAATAGAGAAGATATTAGACGAAAATGAAGCGAAATGCAAGGTGCAAGTGCATTTAATTAAATTGATTAAGTTGCACAATGTGGTGGTTAGCTGACAATAAAAGTTTTAACAAAGAAACCGAGTTAGTCACCCGGTTCCTGGAATTCTTAAGGTTCACTCTTTGTTATCAGACAAAGTTATTCATTTATAAGTACTTTAAACGAAAAATGTTTCTCTCTAACTATTATTCTTTTTTTACCTAGTATATTCTTTTTTGTAATACAGCCATACGGTTTATAGATTTGATTGAATTACTTTGCTTGATCATGCAACCCTTATAAACTTAAATATATTTTAAGCTTCACTAATGATGTACCGATAAAACGAATTAATCATCGAAATTCTTGTAGAGAATGGAGCTGCTACCCTTCTTTGTTCCTAGACAAAGAAACTCGTTTGCCCTTGGAACAAAAGATACGTGTACACTTTCAAGTATTTATTCGGGTCCTATAAAAGAGTCTTTTGTGTGCTGTTTATACCTAAGACATCTGCCAGGCACTCCTTGTTTCAACATTTGCATTCCACTGATTTCACGCGGCCAGCGCCATTGTCCCCTTCCCAGTTGCCCAGTTGCACAATTCTAATTCCAATTCGGAATCGCCTCTAGGGTAGGGCATATAAATATAAATAGATACCGGGCATGAGACAATTCTTGGGTGTGTGTGTCTATGTGCTTCATTTGACCCAGCTGCAATTCATTTCAATTTGAGACTTTTGCGTTGCCTATCTTTTAATTAACTTTTTCGTTTCTTCACTTATGTTTCTTTGCATTTAACCCACCAAACAAACAAAACAAAAATCCCAACTAAATGCACCTGCCTGCACCGCTCGATTGCCACTAACCCGCTAACTGCTAGACTTATGCGCTGACCACGGCTCCTTCGGTCCACGGACGTGGCCTGCACGGCTCCCATTCGGCCGATGAGCTGTCCCGGGGTCAGGACACGATGGACAGCACGGACAACTGGCTGCCGAGGGCCAGTTCCTTAAGCAGCATCGACAGCTACACGGAGACAGTCTACGAGCCCAGGGTCGAAACCAGGCGACTGGTTATTCGGGAGGTGTCCGAGGAGGCAGAGCACCAGGATGAGCCCATCGGCGATGCCGGAGCAGCTCGGCTGCGGGATTTGCCCGTCCGAAAATCTCAGCCACGTCGCGCTGCGGCCACCGCAAGAACGGCAGGAAAACGTGGCCAGAGAAACAACGATGTGGAGGCCACCGGCAGTTCCACAAATGTGATCCGCTCGCGTCGCAAGCTGCGCGATCCCACGCCCGATGTTGACGTGGAGGGCTTTTGAAGATGGTCAACAGCCCACATCAGATACTCAGCGAGCAATCGAATTTTAAACACTCAGCGATACACACAACCGTCATCACCTTAACCCTGTCGCCCACTTGCAGTTTTAATTTTTTCCACACATGTATTATTGCTATGCTTACACCTAAGATTTTGATTAGTTTTAGTTAAAATTAAATTATTCAAATGCCAACTCTTGTACTCTACTCCACCAACCACGACCACTTTAATCCATTGGTCCATTGAAGGGCGGTGGCAATCTGGTGCAGACGATCAAGCGGAGCTACAGCCTCAGCGATCTGAGCGAACCGGATATGCATCGCACGCAGGACGAGCTGGACGACGTGATGATGTCCTCGATGGCTTCGTCGGCAGTGGTCATGCGTTCACCGCCCACGGGTGCTCGTCTCCTAAGGCCAAGAAATCAGACGCCTGTGGGCCGATCTGGAAGCGGAACACGCCACTCCACGGGCATGTATTTTACGGAGGTGGATGTGACCGCCAAAAATGCAGGCGATTTCAAGTGAGTATTTTATCTTAAAAACATGCCAAGGGCACCACGATAACAACAAACCAAAAATAATTCTTAAAAAGCTTAGAGGCTTTCCTTGATAACTAGTTCTTTTTTGCTTTTCCATCGACCTTTGAAAACTTGCCACCATTTTTCAGAAGAAATGACAGTTTCTTAATAAAAGAATAAGGAAATAATATAAAAATATATATATTATAAAATCTTCTCGAATTTGGATGACTCAATCAGTGTACAGTTTTCGAGTTGCTTGAATCACAAACATGAGAAACACCGCTGATTCATTTAGGGCTCTATTTTCTATACATTTCCATAGTCAAGCAAATCAGCTGAAGTACTACTTCGTGGTACTTATATTGATATTCTTATCTTATTTATTGGTTTCCCACCCCTTCCAGCTACAACATTCGCAGCCAGGATGACATCAGCTCCGGCTATTCAAGTGCCGAACCAGTGAGCGGTCTTAGTCGCACCTCCTCCATGACGAATGCTTCCAAGGGTCGGGTCAAGTCCAAACGCAATGAGGTATGCATAATGTCTATTTTTCCATCTGCAACTATCTTAATCCATTCAGAGATTGGTGTTGGCTAGCAGTTCCTGGAAGAGATGAGGGACGAAGTCTACTTAGAAAACCAGCTTTACTTTCAAGGTGTGCGAGGGGAGAAATCGGTTCCAGTGGCCCAAGAACTAAAGATTGTGGAGAGTTTTGAAAGAATCCCAATTCAGGATGAGGAAAATGTAGTGAGGGAGGAGATAACGGATTATGCAGAAGACGATGACTTTTATGAGGCGTTGCCTTTAATAGAAGAGGACATAAATGAAGTGGAAATTGTAGAGGGAAAGCAGGAAGAGTTATCTTCTCAATATCCAAAGGAAAATTCTATAACAGAGGAAGAGTTTAAAGATGCATTATATGAAGAACCAAAGAAAATATTTTCGGACGAAGTGGATGCCAAACGAAATAACGATTCCTTCGAGGAGGTACATAAGAATAATTCACAAAATCAGAGTATGATTGAATCGGTTGAAACTTATGCACCTGCACCTCCCCAATGCAAGCCATTTGTATCACCACCAATAGACCCCTTTGTGTTGGTCTTAAGCACTTCTGCATCCGCACCAGATCCTTTTCTACCCGAACGACCACGACCAATGTCGCCTCGAGAAATGCGGGCCACCCTGGAGGAGATTAAGCATAGTTTCCGTGCCCAGCTGGAACCAGAGTCCTCCTCATCGGCCTCACCATCGCCGTCCTTGCGGCCAAGGGCAAACCATGGCAAGGGCCGTGCTCCACCTCCGCCCCTTCCACCGAAGAGGCACTCATTGAGTCCCCAACCGGACACCATTAGCCAGACATCGACGGGCAGCGTGGAACGAAAGTCAGGTATCGGCCAACTGTTCAAGCATATCAAAGCTAATGTGCTGCGTAACAAAGCTAATCCCAGCCAGCGGCCGGAGGATGAGCAGCTGGCGGCCAGAGAGACGCAGATTTGAAGTAAGCCCAGCCGCAAGCCCGTTATCGAAGCTCTCATCATCCCAGTGTTATGTTTCGCTCACCGCCGGGCGACGTCAGCTCCGCCTCTAACTTTCATGGCCCCAAATATGGCATTATCCCCTTTGTACAGTTGCGTTACTAACCCCCAGATTTAAGGATTTGCAGCATGTTGTTTGGACAGTGTTTAGTAAAATTATAGTTTAACCTTTTGCTTTACCTTCTTTATTTATTGCAGGACAAATTCATGTCTGCTAGTTGCACCACTTTACCCCGCTCGAGCAGCCGGAAATCGGACAGATCCCAGGTGGGTGGAACTGCCACTGGTCAGGCCAAAACGCGCAACAAGTCGGAGAAGTAGTGGGGCATCGATCTTCGGCCATCCACCTTCAACAGGACGTTGATTTAGGTGGTACTGATGGACATGAAGTAGAATCCATAGAACCAGAACCTCATGTTTTAGTTTAAATTGTAACTTAATACGGATGTCGATACAGATTATGATAATATTAGCTATATATGCATATGCATTGTGTACTTTGTTTGTGATTCTATAAGAGCTCCAGGTGCAGTACGTACCTGGCTGCTATCGGTACTCATTTCGTGACTAGTTTAGCGTTAAGCGAGTCTCTTAGCCTCTGCCCAAAGGTTCTCCAAAAGCCGTACTAACCAAAAATGAAACCAGAAGAAACCTATCAATTGTGTAGCATAAATTCCTGATATTGTAATTGAGCATTAAATAAAAGAATCTATACCATTGAACTGAACGTCCAGTGTTGAAATTAATGACATCTTCAGGAAATAGAGATTTAATACGGATTAAGGATTTTAATGATTATTCGTTTACACAAGTCGACATAGAGTAGTGATATTAATTTCCAATCCAGGATTATTATTCAGCCTCCACTTCGGGCGCCTTTTGGGTGTCTCCAGCACCGCCTTGTGAAGCCCTGGTCTTCTCTGGCGTTTCTTCACACTCCTCCTCTTCAAGTGGCTCCGAGTCGGAATCATTTTCGTTGAAGTAAAGAATTTTCCGTATGTAGCGAGCAACTAGCACCTGCGGTCGCTTCTCCCATTTGGCCAAAACCTCATGCGGTGTTTTAATCTACATTGGGTTTTAGTTCGTAATAAAAAGTTAAGGTTTGCGCATGTAAGGGAAAAATATCTATTCAGCCTACCAAGCAGAAAATAATGTTTGAATAATTATGATAAAAATTAGTTATATTACAGTTTTTCAAATGATTGTATTGATCAATTGTATTTTACATTGATCCAAAACATCTAGACTCTCACCTGATCTCCATTGAGGCGATTTAGTATAGCCACGCAGACCACTGCGCTCCTTATATTGGCCCGACTGGTGAGGGCGGCAAAGGCCAGGCTCTCCATTTCGATGTTTTTGACCTGCTGGTTCTGCAGCTCCTCCAAGTAGGTCTTTTTCGCTTCGAGTGTGTATTCGCAAAAGGCGCCATCCAATCGAGCCTGACCCTCGTAGAAGTCCTGGGTACACAGCGTTCGACCGATGATGACTTCATGGTTGTCCGTGCAGGGATCGTGACACGACTTGATTTCTTCAGCCAGACCCTCGTCCAGCTGGCTAGCATGTTGGACACTGATGCCCTGTACCAGAATCTCGTGGGCGGGATTGAGCCGACCATCCACCGCCTCGGAGGAGATGACCACGGTTCCGGGATCGACGCCAATGCCACCGCAGGTTCCAATTCGGATGAAGACGGGATCCTGGCACTTGGCGTGATGCATTGTCTTGATAAGTTCGTGCAGCAGGATGGAGATTGAGGGACAGCCCATTCCATGGCTGGCGCAGAGCACAGGTCCCACCTTGAACATGGAGAATCGCCTGCCCCCCTCAGCCATGTCCCGTAGCTTGGTTGCTGCATTTATCTTAAGGCCGATCTCCTGCATCAAGTAGTAGGCAAAATTCTCCATCCGCCCCGGTGTACCCCCCATGCAAACGAACTAGTTATAGAAAATAATATTTTTTAAATATTTTAGAAATATGGTAATATGACTTTAACAAAAATTTAGTAAGCTCATGGTTTTAGGGCTAACCTTATAAAGTTACAAAATCATATATTTAGTTTTCTAATGTTATAGTCATTTCAGTTATCTGAGTCCCCAATAATAGACAAAAATCAAGGGTCTTAGTTTTTAAGGAGTATATTCGAAATATGGTACAGACTTACCCGGACATCGCCGAACACCTTGGGAAAATCAGTGGTCTCCGTGTCAAGCCCCAGGTGATAAAGTATGTCGGGCTGCAAGCACTTCAGACAAGGATTCAGGCCGCACAGAGTGGATTCTTTGGGCTCCTCATCCTTTCGGCATCCATCCTTCAACTGTCGGACCAACTTGGAGAGCGTCTTGCTCTGGGCATTCACAACAGCTAAGGGATTCGGTCTGCATGAAAATGGATCTCAGGGAATTCTTATTTTTTTAATCGATACCTTTTAGCAGGCACACCTCTTTGGCCAAACGACACGTGCAGTCAGAACCCTTACTATTAGGCATATTTATATTTTTTTTTACAAATAGAAATTTTGTAGAAAATGCTTCCAAAAGCAGTTTTGGTTCAGATTTATATTTTGTAATAGAAAAGTCAAAAGTTGTCAAATGTATTGAATTTTATAGAAAAGCTTTTTGACAAAAATACTGTTACTTATAATAATATTGTAAAACCAACCCTAAATAATATTTGCATTTTTCTTGTGTCTTTTGGTTAATAATTTTATTTGTTTCCAAACTATCTTTATTCCCAAGCTATCTTTAATTCAGTACTTAAAACTTATAAATGTATGAAAATATAAATGCAATTTTGTTTTATTTATAAGATTCCAATTTTTAGCTAAGCTCTAACATAATATACATACTTTGGGTACTTAGAAGTAGTAACTATAAAATTGACTAGTTGAAAACTAATAGTTTTCCCTACTAAATGCGACCAAAGTTGGCAATCGTTTTCAGAACATGTGAAACTCCCCTCGTAGGCCTAAGTAAATGCAGCGATTATTTTATAAGGCCCGCGATCGGACCGCAATAAAATATAGTGAACCGCGAAAAAGAGGACAAACCGGCTTGCGAACCGCCGAAACCACTTCGCGATCTGGTCTTCTTGCAGCTCCAGAAACAGAAACTTGGAGCGCAGCTTTCGCGGAGCCCCGCCGTCGACGTCACACATGCGCGCAGCAGCTGATGCGCGAGCGCTGACCTTGACCCTCAATTGGAGTCGATTGTCGACTTGTTGCCAAGTGCAACCGGCGGAGTTTGTAAGTTGCCACCCCAACCCGCCTTCTCTCTCTCTCTTGCTCTCTCTGCCTTATTTCGCACAGCCAGTTTTCACCATTAGCGGCGACTGTACTTTGCGGCGATATACATGTATGTATGTTTTCACTTACCGCGTGTGTATGTATGTGAATTGCACACAGGGCAGGAGCGCAAAGAAAGCGGCATACACATACACACAAACAGGGAAGACAATGGCAGATTTTGCGGGCAGAGAGAGAGAGAGAGCCCCATCAGCTGCCTGCGCCATGTGTTCGCAGCTGCAGTTGCCGGTAAACTGGTTGGAAGAGGGAGGGAGAAAGATGGATCGCTCTCTCCTGGTCAGGGGCGGATCTACTAAAATAAAAGCAGGGGGTAACTCCTTGAGTGAATTCAATTAAACGATGTATTAATATTGCTTTTAATGGGCCCCACTGGTTTTATGTACACACTTTTTGTTAAATGCGGCAAGCTCGTGGAACAGATTATGTTTTTATGTATTTTTTGTTTAAAATCTTGGCGGAACTAGTACACCCTCTCCCTCATACAAAATAGACACGGCAGAGGATTATTTTTTTTGTCTCAAATCAGCAGCTCCAGCATTTTAATTTACAATTAAAAAACAATCACAGTGATATTTGAATTTTCATTTTCTTCATCGTACGTAGGTTTCGCATCTTTTGTGTCCCGTCCAACTGAACTGAAGGTGTGTGTGTGCTGTTGTCTTCTTCTTTCCCACTGAGTTCTGAGTGCTGCTTGTTCTTCTTCTGCTTTAACCGCTTAGCTCATCCTCTCCAGCGTTGCGTTCCGTTTTCATAGTCGTCGTATCGTATGTCTACCATTGTTGATGTTCTCTTCTTGTTCTTTGTCTGCTTCTCTGTTCTTGTTTGCTGCCCCCTTTGGCTCCACAGCAATGCGCTACATAGCTAGCTACCCCGCTCGAGAGATCTTGCCGGGCGTCTTGGATAATGGGTGTGTGGTATAGTATGGATGGATGTGGGGTGGGTGGGTGGTGGTGGGATAATGGGTAGACAGTCGTACATCCTGTAGAATTCCCAAGGCTCGCCGGCAGCAGCTGGATGGAGTCGAGTCGTAACGTCTTCTCGCCGCCTCTGCTTCTTTGCTTTTTCATTGGTTTTTAATCATTTTTATTTACGCTTTTTCTTTCGGTTGATTCTGGCTGTGGAACTCCTACTAGGCTCATTTATATAGTATTTTAAGGTATTTTTTTCTTTATATAATCTTATATAGTTTCATTCCATTCGTTATAATGTAATTAGTAAATTCAAACACTTTTTGCAGCATAATCATATAGGTATAATTATAGTAAAGTGGTTTGCTTGGTGAATTCTCTTGTTGCTGTTGCGGTTTAGTCTCATCTTACAAATTGGGTCGTCGTGTCTTCCTCATCTTCATCTTCATCCTCTTCCTCTTCGTCGGCGTCATCTGCTCTCTCGGCTGCACAGCTGCCGTTGGCTATCGTCTTCTTGTTCTTCGTACCACAGCTCGAAGAGCCTTTCTTCCTTCTTGGCCACTGATTCTTCTGGCTTTCCTCCCCGGAAAGCTAATTCTTCTTCTCTTCTCTCAGTTCTAGGGACGTTGGCACCGCGCTGCAGGCTCGGCTTTTGGAATCAGAGATGGTTTACTGGATAATTTTCTGGATTAGATTATAGTATCTGCATGTGTTAATGGGGGGATGTGTTTTGGAGGGGTTGATCATGACTTGGGTGCTGCTATCGCTTCTTGTTGTTGTTGCTGTCGGCTGGCTTTTGTGAATGTTGTAGCAAATTGATTTTTCGTTTTTTATGTTTTTTCTTTATCTTCTTCGGGTTGTTCTTCGTGTGTTGAAATATTACTCATTCCTCCTTCGATGATTACATTTGTGAGGTGGTGCCACGGCCTAGTTCCGTCCGCCCTTCTCGTCGCACTCGCGCCTCAGATGTCCACTCTTGCCGCAGCCGTAGCAAGTCTTCGAGGTCTCCGGGCAGTTCTTGGAGATGTGTCCGGTGCGGTTGCACTTGTAGCACGACACATTGGCCGGCCCGCGCTCGTTGACGGCCTCCGGGCAGTTGCGAACCCAGTGTCCGGTCTTGTTGCACCGATAGCAGGTCGGATTGTCCGCCTGGGTGCAGTCCTTCGAGATGTGCCCGATGCCGTTGCAGCGGTAGCAGCGCTCGGCCTCCTCGGGGCAGGCACGTGCGAAGTGCCCGAACTGGTTGCATTTGTAGCACTTCTCGCGGTTGCGACGCATGCCGCCGCCATCGCTGCCGCGCATACCGCCGCCGCCGCCCCCGCCGCCACCACCACCTCCAACGCCGCCCGGCCCGCCGCCGCCTCCGAGACTGCAGTCCCGGGCAAAGTGGCCCGGCCGGTTGCACTTGTAGCACGTGGCAGACATCGACATCTTCGCTCTTGGTTAGATTCCGGATCGGTTTCTTCTCAACTTCTCAACTTCCTCGCACACTCACTGGTTCCACGGGCCCTCGAGCACTACACACTGCTTGCGCTGGATGCGAAAAAACCACACAGACGAACAGGATCTCCGGCTTCCTCAGATTTCCTCGCCGTATTTTCGACGCCAAAAGTTAAAATGGCTGCCGCTGAGCGAGCGAGTACTAAATCGGTGAGGTATCGACTACTCGTCAGAGTTGCTTCGGTTGCGATTAAATGCAACACTGGCCCTCCACGCGGTGCACATTGGTTCGGGGTTCGTCGATTCAGTGTCGAAATAACAGACTGAGGGGGTGTAACAATGCCGTGGTCTTACTACTCCTACTGGGCCTGCTGCATTTAACAGAATTCAAATTTTCATTTTCCATTCAAACATTTTGCTTTTAACAGCACAAGACGATGTTCGACACCTAGCGGTCACTACATAACCCAATTTGGTTCGACACAATTTTGTGTTTTTTCTCCATGCGTAACCAGTGTGCCCGTGGTGATGGCAAAATTCTTATCGGCTTAGGCGTTAGAGATATCCCTAGGCGTAAGGTTATCGAAATAAGTCTGTGTAAAAAATTAAGTAATTTTTGTAATAGTTTATACTTTTAAATTTAGATTCTGCTATTGAAAATGACAACTCGTCGAAATTCGCTAACTACAGGCATCGATTACCGATTGACACATTAGGGGTGCGCTTAAAAATGCCGGATATTAAAAAGTTGATAATGAAAGCCCCTTTTATTTATTACTCATGTCCATACTAGCTTTAAACAAAATAAAACAAGTACCAAATAAATTACTCAAAAAATAGAGAGCTATTGTAATAAGACAAATTATCGATTTCTTCAATAAGGGTTAATTGCTAATACATAACAAAAAAATTTTATTTTTAAGGCTGTTAAATATTTAGATGCATTTATTTACTTAACTAAAAATTAAATGCATTAAATACCTTCTAAAAACATATTAAATTTACCAAGCAATTAACTAACGACAGTACAAATAATCGGTTTATGTAACAAGGGTATTCCCTAAAAACAGAAATACTAATGTATAAAAATGTTAAAATATAATTATTCAAATATAATTATTCAAAGATAGAAGACTTTTGTAAAAAAATAAACATATTTTTTAAAGTTTTCTCACTGCTGGGCATTTTTCGATACCTTGGATAGTTTCGCCTCGGCCGATAGCATCGCCAGACCGGGACCTTCGACGGCTGGTCCATCACTAGCGCCATAAGATATTAGTTTGTTTTTTTTTGCAACAAACATTTACATTAGTTATGCGTGCGTGGCCAAAATGCTAATCGTTTGGTTAGTGCTTGCCGCCACACTGAGCCGCTTCATCCGAGCCAGCACCACGATATCGATACCGATCACAACGCAGGACATAATAGCGGGTGACGTGTTTTTTGAAATCCTGTCGCCTTCGGACTTGGAATACACGTACCGGCTACGTCCAGCCAAGGACTTCGGATCCGCCTTCTCGGAGCGGCTAGAGGGCGTGCCGCTGGTGCTCACAGATCCGCCTGGCGCCTGCCAGGAGATTCGGAATGCACGGGACATCAATGGGGGCGTCGCACTCATCGATAGAGGGTAAGAGCCGCTAGAATAGCTAGAACTTTATAGGGCTTATCTTCAGTGATGGCAGGAGTCTAGGAGATGGTGCCCCTGTGCATACCTAGGTACTTCTTATCAGCACTTTTTACCCTACTTATGCCAAGAAAGCTTTTTACCTAAACTGTCAATCTAACAATCCGTTTTCCGTCGCGTTCCGTCTTTTAATACTTATCATGAGTAGTCAAACAATCTAGTTACGTGCCTCGCAGGTGACCATCGAAGTATCTGAAGATTCTTTATAATTTAACCTTTTATTTAGATCGCTTTGTATATCTGTTTTCCAAAAATAATGTATGTAACACATAACAACCTTGTAGACAGTGGTTTATTTTTAATGTTCACATAACATTTTACCTGGAATGAAGCTACCCTTAACAAGAATTAATGGTTGTAGCTAAACTGTGGATAAATTTTGTTTTAAATAATATTAACATAATAAATTAAATATTTTGTTTTCAAATGGGATTTTTATCACGATTTTATTTAAAATTTGTGCCTTTGCCAAGTACTGAGATATTGGACTGCTTTTTATATAACCATGATTTACAGATGTTTAAAAAATATTGGGAAAAGGGCAATATTAATATATATACCTACAGGTTTCTGTTTAATTATTTCTAACTGACTATTACTTTACAGGGATTGCTCCTTTGTCACAAAGACACTGCAGGCGGAAGCAGCGGGTGCATTGGCCGCAATCATTACCGAGTACAATCCCAGCTCGCCAGAGTTTGAGCACTACATCGAGATGATACATGACAACTCCCAACGGGACGCCAACATACCGGCCGGCTTTCTGCTCGGGAAGAACGGAGTCATCATTCGGTCGACGCTGCACAGACTGAAAAGGGTGCACGCCCTAATTAACATACCCGTTAACCTCACCTTCATCCCGCCCTCCAAGATCAACCATCCGCCGTGGCTGGGGTGGTGACGGGAGCAGGATTGCAGCAAGGAATAAGGACTTGTGTGGAGGAGGCTCATACGATCTGAAACCAAAGTGCATACTCGAAGGCAGAGAAATCGAGACCGGAAATGAGACTAAACTTTAGAGTACCAATAAGTAGCTAATTCGTAGACGGAAGCCATAAATTGTAAATAAATTGCGTAGCAGCCGGTCAGTCAGGTCGCAAAGTTGTAAGCTAGACAAATACTATAAGTGTTTATTATTATATGCGAATGCGTACTTGTACTTGGTTATATTTTGCCCAGGGCGTTGAGATTCAGGCACATGCCCAGCGTGAGGATCACAATGACCACTACGAGGATGGCAAAGCACAGGTAGTTGGGCTGGATGGGCATTCGGAAGAGTTTGGCGGACATGTCCAGCGAGGCGGCGAACAATAGCGTCGAGTTGAGATCCTCCGCTGAGGTATTGTGGTATACGAAAGGTCTAACTCGTATCTGATGACCATTCGCCTGGGCATTTTGGCACACACGAGTCACTGATGAGGCCACGAAAAAGGGCAGCAGTCCTAGAAACAGCCACAACATCACATTGGCAATGTTAAGTAGGACGAGCTTTAGCGCGCAGTAGTGGAAATCAAAGTCCTTGAAGAGGTACACTAGTCCCGCGAAGGCGTATGCCAGATTCATTACAATTAGGAAGCACACCGGGATAGACACGTGCTGATTAAGCCGCTCTAGCAGCTTGCGGAACTCGAGCACTTCCCTCATCCAATCTAGGGAATCGATGGAGTGCATAAGTAGCTTGTGCGATAACGTTTCTAGATGCATCCTCAGCAAATAACACTCGATATAGTAGTTGCTCAGTATGATGATCTCCACGAGATCTTGAAGAAGTATGGTCACTAGCAGGCCCACACGCAGCCACGTCTCCCAGTCGCTTAGGGCTTTTGCCAGCCAAAACACCTTCACGATCTGGGTGGGCTGCATTATTACCACACAACAGGCGTAGCCAAAGAGCAAAATCAGCAGGGCTAGTGCCACCCCCAGAAAGAGCCATAACATCCGGCAGAGTCTTTTCGGTTTGGCGGACATCAGGAACACCCTTTCGATGAGGTTTTGCAGCTGCTCGTGGTCGATAACCTTGCACACGAGCACTGCGGATATGAAAGCCATTAGGTTGAAGCCACTGGGCACTATGAACCCAAAGAGTAGTTCTCCTATGGTGTTTGGAGTAACTGCTCCGCCATCTGTTCCGTTGGTGATGGGCCGAATATCTCGGTAGCTAGTGAAGCCACGATCGCCTCTGCAATAGAAATTGTTTAGATGATAAGATATAATTTGAAAAGCACATCGTTATTTAGATAAAAAATAGATTCTTCGCTTGGGCTTTAACATTATCAATTTATTTTGATGACTAATTAAAACAAAGACATGTTCATAGTTCCTAAAAATATCAGAATTCTCCATAAAACAAATACAAATTATTATTAAATCTAATATTAATTTGATTACAAAATTTATATATATGTAAAATAATGACAAATTGTCGAGAAAAGTAATATGTTTTACTATTTTTTTCTAAAACGGATTTTTTATTATTTTTTTTTGTTTAATTATGAATGAAAATAATATCATATAAAAAACGTGTTGAAAATATTATAACAATCAACATTTCTGGGGATGTTTACGTTGTGTTAAACTTGTTTACATTTGTTTTATTGTTGTGTTATACAATCCGTTTCTAAAAATCGTAATATTTGTTTATTTTTATAATTGTTATGAATAGTTGAGTTGTGGCTTATTACTGTTTTTGTTTAAAAGCTGGTAAGGTTTTTCTGTTTTTGTAAAACAATTGATAAGAAAACGTATGTACACATGATCGCGTTTAAATGTCGTTTGCTTACATGATGCGATAAACTGGTTGCAATGATTTTCTCTTTGGTTGGTTCACTTTCTTTGTAATGATTGAAATATTTACCACTTGGTAAATGACTTGGGAATTAATATTTTTGGACAGAATTGATATGCAATGTTGTGTCTCAGTGTATCATAGTACTTAGTAGTGGTCCCAAAAACTCACCTATAGCCGCATATGTACCGCAACAAGTATCCCACCAGTAGGACGAATAGCACCATCAGCGCCTGGACGTAGCTGCAGCAGGCCCGGACGTTGCTCATATCCGTGGAGATGGGGTTGAGGCCCACCAGCGTCAGGATGGCCACATATGGTCGGAGGAACTGTTTTGCGAGACGTTGGTCAGTTCCCACGATTCGGGTGGTGTTAAGTAATCAATGAGCGGTCATCGCACCACACCCACACCCACCTTCCGTTTACAGTAGTCCAAAAGAGCGGAAGTGGGCTCGTGCTCTCCCGGTTGCTGCAGTTCATCATTGGCATTCCCGTTCAGGCGATTGATGAAACAGAAAGAGCTCTCCGCATTATTTCGATACATGACGGACAAAGAACGCACGGTGAGGGAGAGAGTGGAAAGTAACAGTTACAAAAACAGTTGACGGGGCTCTCATTCACAGCAAAAACTCATTGCGTGGGTGGGGAGAGAAAGTTACGGTTTCGGGAGAGAGCACATTTAACGGGACAGAGAGACCGATCGCGGCTGGCGGTCCAGCCACAACTGAGGCCCCAAACTTACAAGTTCGTCGTGCAGCCAGGATGAGCCGATTGATGTGGCTCGGCTGCGGCTTCGACTGCGGCTCCCGCTCCGGCTGCTCCACGGGTCCGCTTCGGCTGTTTGTTCGACGGCGCTCATCAAGTGCAACTGTAACGGTAACGGTAAATTGACTAAATTGAAACTCAAGCCGCAAAGAGAGCGAAAACAATAACAATAAGTGTGCTGAAGCTTTCCTGCGTGAAGCTCTCTTTTTTTGAGCTTTGTGTTCTTGCCGACCCCTATTCACCACCCCCCACCCTCCACAACCCAAAACCCTCCCCCCTTATCAATCAATTTTATCTCGGGACCCAACGGGAATCGCGGTTCTCGAGTCTGCTGGGCACCTGTTACAGTTTAGATAGGAATCAGCCCTGTTATCGTCGAGCACTATCTCCCGGTGTTCAAATTTGCATATATACATATGTGTATGCTTAGATCCATATCGGACATGTGTAAACTCCCTATGACATGTACATACATATGTATAGGCTTTGTTATTATCGCGTGTCTGGTGGGGCTTTTCTTTGTCATGGTTTCGGTGATCGCACTCTCTCCCCCAATCACTCTCTCTTTTATTCTCTCAGCTCTTAATGGAGATGCTGATTATGCTTTCTGAGCTATGTATATTCCCCTCTTCCTTCATTAAATTCTTTGAGTTGCCTTTAAAACCCTGATAAGAAAACATATGAGCTTGACATTGCAGACTGCAAATGTACATATGTAAGTACATACATACATATGTAGACGAATCTAACATTTATAGAAAATTATCAAATGCATGTCGGGGATATTGTTTATTTCCTAGCTAAATAATAGAGAAACTATTGTGAGCTTGACTTTCTATTAGATAATGCAAGCTGGTGAAACACACGACTTTGGCGAGTCATTTTTCAAGTGTTGTCATTTTTATTTATTGATCTTTTTTGTACTCAGTAGGTTTTTTTTTTGGTAAAATGATGTGCACGCAAAACTTTTCGCTGTAAATTATTCCCACCTTGACATGCCTGCTCTTTTGAGAGCTTTGCTTGTAAATTTAATATTTTAAGCGCCTTAACCCATTTTTACAACAGAGAAGCTAACTAGTAAGTTCAGCCAATTTGTTTATGATAATATTGCTCAAGTTTAAAATGTATATATTTATATTTAAGTGAGTTGGGTCTAAATATTCTATTATTTGTATAGGTTATTCCTTATTTGGCCCCCATTTCCTCAAACAATTATTTGTAGTATTTAAAAAGAAACTATAAAGCGAAATTTGTAAGTTAATTTAGTAAATGGCAGACAGAGGGTTAACACAAACTTGTACTCCTCCCGCATCGATAATAAAGTTTCGAAATTTACGTCAAAGTAATTAAATGAAAATGAATGCAAGTCGAAAGCGGTTTAAACTTTTTGGGCACTTAAAATGCTGTTCAACGATTTGGCAACGAGGCCAGGGACAGATTCAGTTCCAGTTTTAGTCCAGTCCCAGATCCAGGTCCATATCCATGACCAGGCCGCAGAAAGAAGCCGCAGACAGAAGCCGCAGGCTGTCGGGATGTGAGATACGAGTATCAGCTCCTGTCAGTCCAGTCCCCCAACTCCCATTACCCCCTGTTTGAACGCTCATGTAAATTAGCTGCGTTGTCTGATTTGTTGTTGCTACACTGGCATGCTAATAAAAGCGGAATGCACACCCCCAATCCCCTTGTCAATATGTCAGCCTGACCAACGCTCGTCACTTGACAGTGCCACTATCTCACTCTAACTAGGCGTGCGGCAGCGTTTTGTTTAAAAATCAAATCAAATATTACGAGAAAATTTCAATGTGGTCGAATGCATAGGAAATTTTATGCCCGCCGCAGCCGCAAAAACGCAAATGTTCACTACGCAGGACGGCAGCTGGAACCCGTCGAGATGAAGCCGGACGGATACGGATACTGACACAGCCACACATCGTTCAGATACGGATCCTGGCCACCGGGAATGCAATCGACGGGTCGTGTCACCAGCCTCTTTAAGTAGGGCTTAAAGGGGCTTTTGCGCGAATACGTTGGGAAAGTTGTATGTTAATAGCTCTGAAGTGGCACACCCAGTGTAAAATTATAAAAAAAAATTATTTCTATTATTCACTTTTCAATAATAACATACAAATAAAAACTCGGCTGTTAATAGTTTTTTTTCCATTTATCTTAGCCACGATTTTCTCGAAACATAATTTTTTACTATTAAATAAGTGGTTTAGTCTAAGTTTTGGAATTGTTTAATTTTTCTGGGCTTAGTTTGACCACTATACCATTAAATATCAGGAACGTAAATAATCGTCATTTGAGTCTTTGGGTAAAAAGAGTTTTTAATGTTAATATTACGACAGTACTTTAAAAATAAAAGTCTCTCGAATATGTCTCCCGTTATAAGCTTCTGATCAAAATTATTAGGGTATATAAGCTGTTATTTTCGGTATAAGCTTTTAGATATAATTATTTGAAAAAATTCTAACGTTCTGAAATGTAGCATTTAAATTCTCAAAATAAAAATGTCCTCTTTTTAAAAAAATCAAACATTGGCAATTCAAAGTTTACGTAGTCTTCACATTATTTTCCTCTACGAGTTACGAGTATAAATCAGAATATGAATACTAAAATCAGGTTTCATAAAAATAGGACACACCGTGTTTAACGTTTGTTATTAACATGATAAATGTTTTAAATATAAGTATCCACTTACTTAAACCTGACTAAAACAATATTCATATTGTTGGGTTTCATTTTATATTTCTGTATTAATTATGAGTTCGCTAGCTTTCGATTCGAGAAGTGAAAGTTTTCTATTAATTCTTAATTTTAGTGATGATCGGTAGTTCCTATAGCGAGACTTATTTACCACAAATAATATAATTTTTTCTTGAACTTAGTACATTACATTTTTTCTCATTTTAAAAATTAAATGTTAATTATTAATAAATCCGTAGTAGGCTAATAGAAGGTTGCACTATTTTAAGTTACCGATAATTTTATCGAAGCTATGTTAAATAACATAAGTTTGCAAGCAAGCTGTTTGTGAATCATTCTGGTTGGAAGAGTGAAATGGAGTGGTCGTGTTCCAATTGAAGTCAGTTCGTGTATACACGTATACGTATACGTTATAAATACAACCATATAAAAATTTACTCAATTTGGGTTTTTTTTTCTTTAAATGTATACTTAAGTTGAAAAAATTAAACTTAAAGAAAGTTTTTTTTTTGTTTTGTACTCGGTTATCTATAACTTGTATACCCTTGCAGACGGTATTATAATTTCAGTCAAAAGTTTGCAACGCAGTAAAGAAGACATTTCCGACCCTATATAGTATATATATTCTTGATAAGCATCACCAGGAGAGTCAATCTGAAATCTGAAAATATTCCTTTGAGATTTAGTAATTAATTACTATATAAGAATTACGCTTTAAGTTTTGTCAAAATCGGACAACAATATCATATAGCTGCCATTAAAATGATGGCAAAATTCATCGCAAAATCGTCACAGCTTCATTGTTTTTAGTACTATATGCATAGAAATCGATAGAAATCGCTTTGTAATAACTGCAAGGGTATATAAACTTCGGCTATCCGAAGTTTGCTTCCTTTCTTGTTAAAATTTGTTTTATGTATAATATTTCCCACATTCATTTCTATTATTATACTGTATTTCATTTTAAATCAAGAAATTTAAGCTTACTTTGCTGATAAGGACGGATCTTATCACTAGATGTTTCATTCGTTTCGAGATTCCCCTGAAATGAAGACTTCATTCGCTTGGATTCCTTTGCTGACTTTGCTCCTTAGCCACGTGGCTTCGGATGCGGATGCCTTTCCGTTTCTGGAGGAACCTTGTGGAAATACTAATCAAGCAGCTCCCTGGATGGCAGCCATAACAAATTATACTCATTTTTTGTGTGGCGGGACGCTGATTAATAAAGGTTCGTAGAATTGTAAAAATAAAAAATTTGTTGATAACATGAAATAGTTTTTCAGAATTTGTTTTGGCTGCTGCTCATTGCATGGTAGACCATGGAGACCTGTAAGTATTCCGAAAATAAATATTTTTCCTTACATTAAATTATTTACTAGAAGAAAAACATTTTTCTATTAACTATTTAATCAATTTTGATCACGATTCGGAACCTCGCACAAGAATAGTGAACAAAAATATATCCAATAATAAACTTAAAATTAAAAATATTTGATTTCACTTGGAACTACAGTCAAGATTGATAATTACATACAGTGACAAACTTAATTATTGGCACAGCAAGCATGTTAAACTTTGAGGCTATTTTTCTTCTTATAATATGCTGATATTAAAATAAAACAAAATATTTTTAGATAGAATCATTAATTTTTTGTTAAATACAAGTGACTTCATTAATTTATCTTTTATAAATAATTTATTAAAAATAAAAAACCAAAGAATGGACCAAATTTGCCTGAACAAAATTATTGGCACACTTGGGTTTTAATTAACTATTTTATTAAAACTTTATCGATTTGCCCACTTTTTTTTTAATTATCACATTTGCCTCTATAATCTTAATGGTATAATGATTAATTTTATAGCAAAAATTGTTTTAGTGCCTTAAAATAAAGGAAAAGTTGTTTGACTTTACAAGGTAAAAATAAAATCAACCGCATGTGTCCAAAAATTAAAATTTAATAAGCAGGATCAATGCAAATCGAAAGTAAACATTGGGGAAAGGATGCCCAGAAGCCATTTTTCCCATTCGGAGTCCTTTGCCGCATTTAAAGGACCCACGCAGTTGCAAAATGCAGGGCACACTGGCTAATCCATGGCTTTGAGAGGCCAGGAAAGCGTAAGGATCGTATAAAAGGACAATGTCAACCCCCAGATCTCCTCAACACGTATCGAAGTTGATGATAAGAAGGACTTTGGTAAGGATATTCACCCAACAGCCTTTTTTCAGGCCCTGCATGATGGTTTCTACAAACGAATTGAACCTAGAAAAAATCAATAGATTTTAAAAGTCAAAAACAACCTTTTAGTGCAGGGAAATTTATATCTGAGTATGCCAATCGACTTTTGGGTCCTTTCAACCTTCTCGTATGATTTAATAATCCTTTCCCCAAGCAAAGAGCTTATGTTAGAACCCCTTTTAAGCCGATGGATTTTTTCTAGGAGCAATTCATTTGTAGAAACCATCATGCAGGGCCTGAAAAAGGCTGTTGGGTGAATATTCTTACCAAAGTCCTTCTTATCATCAACTTCGATACGTGTTGAGGAGATCTGGGGGTTGACATTGTCCTTTTATACGATCCTTACGCTTTCCTGGCCTCTCAAAGCCATGGATTAGCCAGTGTGCCCTGCATTTTGCAACTGCGTGGGTCCTTTAAATGCGGCAAAGGACTCCGAATGGGAAAAATGGCTTCTGGGCATCCTTTCCCCAATGTTTACTTTCGATTTGCATTGATCCTGCTTATTAAATTTTAATTTTTGGACACATGCGGTTGATTTTATTTTTACCTTGTAAAGTCAAACAACTTTTCCTTTATTTTAAGGCACTAAAACAATTTTTGCTATAAAATTAATCATTATACCATTAAGATTATAGAGGCAAATGTGATAATTAAAAAAAAAGTGGGCAAATCGATAAAGTTTTAATAAAATAGTTAATTAAAACCCAAGTGTGCCAATAATTTTGTTCAGGCAAATTTGGTCCATTCTTTGGTTTTTTATTTTTAATAAATTATTTATAAAAGATAAATTAATGAAGTCACTTGTATTTAACAAAAAATTAATGATTCTATCTAAAAATATTTTGTTTTATTTTAATATCAGCATATTATAAGAAGAAAAATAGCCTCAAAGTTTAACATGCTTGCTGTGCCAATAATTAAGTTTGTCACTGTATCTCATTGAACTCAAATATCAAAATCATATTTAGTGAATTAAATTTTGACAAGCAACATAAAAAAACACACAAAAAAACAAGAAAGGAAAGCTAACTTCGGGCGGAGCCGAAGTTGATATACCCTTGCAGAATATTCATATGATGCATTCTTAATACTCATAACAAGTCCCAACTTCCTAACTTTAAAAACACCAAAGTTATGACATTTCCAATCGTTCAGTTATATGGCAGCTATAAGATATAGTCGGCCGATCCTTATGAAATTTGGTAGGTCGGATTGATTGGGCATAAATAAAACCCATAGAAAATCTCAACTTCCTAACTTTACGAACACCAAAGCTATGGCATTTCCAATCAATCAGTTTTATTGCGGCTATAGGATATAGTCGTCCGATCCTTATGAAATTCGGTAGGTCGGATTGATTAGCCAAAAATAAAACCCATAGAAAATCCCAACTTCCTACAGAAGGACAGACGGACGGACAGACGGACGGACAGACGGACGGACAGACGGACGGACAGACGGACATGGCTAGATCGACTCTCCTGGTGGTGCTGATCAAGAATATATACACTTTATAGGGTCGGAAATGTCTCCTTCTCTGCGTTGCAAACTTTTGACTGAAATTATAATACCCTCTGCAAGGGTATAAAAACGCGAAAAACTAATACCGAATTCATTACTTATTCATATTCATTACTCATTAGGTTATTTATCAATTAAATTTCGGAAAAAACCCAAGAAAAAAGAATCGAAAAACTAAGACCAAATTTATTATTTGATTAGTCAGAGCGTTCTCATACATACTTGTATATGTATATGTATTTTGAAACATTGCGTTTTTTACAACCAATGTATTTGCTTAAGATTTGTGATAAAGACATACATTTTTCAGACTTAGATTTTCGTTTACAAAAAATACATATATTCTTTTTTTAATTTCCTTCTTTTTAAAATGTAAAGGCGTTTTAAAAAGAATTTTATAATTAGAATTACAAATTTTAAAATGACTGACAATAAAATACAATTTTTTAAGTTTATTTGATATTTTGCATTTATATTTAAACCCAATCTTTAGAAATTGAATTTAAAAAAACAATAGTTTGCACAAGAAATAATATTACCTCTAATCCACTTAAACGGTACATGAAATATTATTTATACCTTTTAAAGAATTGTGGCATTGGGAGCAAGTAACCAATTACTGTCAAAGGAAACGTATAGAGTCATCTTGGCCGTGATACATAACTCGTACGAAGCCGACGGTAACCGGAATGATATAGGCCTGCTTAAGCTGTCGCGTCCAGTGGTCTACAATGGTTTGTGAATAGTTTGATCGCTTAACAAAAATTTATAACATTTTTTTCTTCGCAGTCCACATTAGTCCAATCTGCATTATTTTGGATAAGACAATGAATAATCAAATAAGCTACGAAAATAATTTGAAAGCATTTGCCTGGGACCTGATAAGCAAAACACTTCAAAACATCACCATTAATCGGATTGATCGATCATATTGCTATTCGATTGTCCGCGGGTATCCCAATTTGAAACAGATCTGTGCGGTTAGTTCAGATAACGAAATCTGTGATTCCGAAACTGGTCCTTTGACCATACCTATTCGATATCACAATGAAGTGAAAACTGTCATCGTGGGTCATGGCAAAATAAGCTGTTCCAGGCAGGGAGTTTATACCGATGTAACAAGCTATGTCGACTGGATTAAGACAACGGTAAAGGCTTTTGCAACATTGGAAAGTCCAAAACCAAAAATTTGGTTGTATAATGACTGCAGTGGTAGTACCTTACAATCCAAATTACGAGCACAAATTTATGCACCTAACTTCATGGGACAGGGTGTGTTTATCACAGACAGTGCGTATCTATTCCAACGATTCAAATCAAATTTCAAGGAATCGGAAATTTCATTTTAAAAATTCGTAACAATATGAAAACCGATTCCCCCAATTTGCTTCTTTTTTTTACCAGCAATAATCCGTTTTAATTTGTAGGATTTATTATCACGAATTCCAGAGGCCTACCAGAAGATGCCGACTCTCTGTAAGTAGTATTAAAGTGATCGAAAGTAATTTGTATACAAATTAAATAATTTATATTTACAGAGATGTGGGCTTGGCAGGAACATCACGAATCCATAACGAATTCAGAGTTGATGCGATCTTTAAGCACCCAGAGTCTTATGATTTCAAAAATGATGTAGCATTACTCAAACTGAGGCAATCCGTCAAGATAGGTAACCAATTTATTCCACGGTTCTAGAATTTTTAATAATGTTCTTTATGTTTTGCAGACGGCTTCAAACCGATATGTATGCTTGCAAGAAAATATAGTCAGCCTTCTCTTTTTACTACATTTGACTATGTGCAAACTGAAGAGCACGTTCATATTTATCGATACACCGTTGAACTTTTTAATAACCAAATATGTTCAACCGAAATTGGGAGAGCAATCAAACTAGATCAAGTTTGTGTAAGAACACCGGCTGGAGTAAGTAAAAATTATGGAAAACTTGGCGATGTTTTGGGAAAAGAGGTTATGTATTTGGAAAAGGAATGGCTCGTCCTTCTGGGTATCGTCAGTTATTTATCCAATGGATTACAAGTTTTCACAAATCTTATGGCGCATACAGACTGGATTGCGAATGTCGTTAACTCAAACCAATTTTAATAACCAACTTTGAGTGTACAAGGTCTCACCTTTAACTGAGAAACGAGTCTATCGACAGAATTATCAATAAGATCAGTGGAAGGCTCTCATAAAATGAGGCCATTTGCTTAATATACATTATTTATGCGCACGTTTTGTTTTTATTTTCCTATGATTAAGGCAAAACAATTATGGGCACAAAAAAATTTTTAAGTGTGGTTGATGATGATAAATATCTTTATAGGCCGTTCACTGCTTAATAAATTTCAGTTTTGCTTCTTAGAAGAAGCGCCCTACTCAACAATTTTAAGATACACATATAGAAAATTATGAAATTATAGGGCGACATAAATGATTACCACTGTTTTAATGACTTTATAAAAGCATCTAGATACACATGTTTTAATATCAATATCGGATTTCCCCATTTGTGGTTCCACTCCCATTAAATTGCTGGTTTGTACTCTGTGTTTTATGCGCCAGCGTGTCAACAAGAGATCAGAGATTGTGGGACGTGTCAAGTGTCCGAAATTCAATTAGACTTCATTAGCATTACCAGCCGGTGGCAGTTAGTGACCCCCCTCCCCCACACCCTTGTGGTTTTGTCTGTCTGTGTGCGTGAACAGATTCGAGCGTTTGCAGATTAGCATAAATGAGATCATTAAAATGCGCTTACGTTTGTGTGGGTGGCTGGTTGTTCTGGGGTTCAGGGGGTCAGTTGAGGTGCGGGGTCACGACCTGTTCCTTTCGCACGTTTCTCTGGGACTGCCTCAGCCTGCAAATTGCCAGGGTCCTGAGTCCTGAGTCCCCGTTTTCATCCTTGTTTTCTCGCCTGCCCAACGAAGGTGTCACTGCTGCTGTGGGTTCGAGTCCCGGCTAGACGTGCCAAATTGAAATTTGCATAATTATTGCAGCATCTTTTGGATGTGATGTCGTCCTCAGCTGTCCTCCAAATAGTTTTCCCACCGACCAGCTCCCCCTAATTTGCTCATTAAGTTTAGTGTGATGAGGCAGTTAGGATAAAAAACAGAAGGATAGTCGGGCAAAAAGCGGAACTTCACTTTAAAGTTGCTTTTCACTGTGCTACAGATATAAATGTTATTAGACCTTTGTATTTTTTCAATATTGTTAAATATGACTTAAAGGTATGAAATGTATTTGTATATATTATTGATCAGAATAACGTGTAGAGTAGACGTTAACAGATGGAAAACGACTTTCTACAATATGTACATATTTACATATTTTAAAATAAAATAAATAGATTTTCTTTTCGGTAAAACTTAAAACGAAATGATTTTATAGTAAGGGTTTTTGCTATGTTCCAATTTTATACGTCATTCTCTTTAATTAGGTCATTCTTTATTTTGTTCACAAGTGCTTCATTAAGCTCATTTAGTTCATTTTGAATTCAGTCAAGTTAATTGGACTGTCATATACCTGTTGCTCTGTGAACTTTACCCAGTCCTGACCCGACCTTTCCAGCGGAAGTTTGCACATGCATTTAAAATGCCACATGAGCTCATTGGGCTGTGGGACTGGAACTGCTCCCACCTCAGCAGCCGTCCCGTCAAACAAGCTAATTTTTGATGATATCCACAGTCGGGAGTCGTAGGATGTGCATGGGAATGGGTGTGGCCATGGGTGTGGGATGGGTGGTGGTGCACTGGGGAGTGCACTAAAAGCCTGTCGCTGGCTGCAAATTGAATCAGTCGTCCAGTGTTTCCTCCTCGTCCGTGTGCGAGTGAAGGTCCTCCTGGGGCGAGTTTTAGTGTCCAGCGGGCGGCGTGCCCGCTCTCATGAAATGTGACCGCAATTGCGGTTCGTTAGCTGCATTTCAGCTAGTCCGCATCCGTGTCAGGGCGTTGTGATGCAGCAGCCGCACCCGGAGCTCCACCTGCACGTGCTGCCGCCAAAAAAGCAACCCCACAGAGTCGGTTGAAGGAGGGGGGAGGGGGATTGGGTTTAAGGGTAGTAGCCAGCATGGCTAAAGCGCTGTGCTTAAGTGGTCCAAGCGACCAAAAGCACTTTGACCATGCGGTGGGAAAACCCCCGGCGGACTGTCTCCATCGCCGTTCTCCCCCAGCTCTACACAGGGAATAAATTCATCAGTAGCTCCAATGATATCATAATCTAGCTAACAAAACCGGATAAACATAGCTTTAAACTACTAATAAATACTCCAAAATGAATGATTAGTGTTGATAAGGAAACCCCTGGAGGGCTGTCTCAAGTCCACAACTCTATTTTACGGCCTACACACAGGGAATAAATACAGAGAACATCCATGGCTTCAAAGATAGTTTGCTAAATACACCAGTAAGAAAATACATCTGATTAAGCATATCAAAAGCACACAAATCAATGTGAGTCAAATAGTCCCTTTTGAAAATTTACTTTCGGTTACTTACATTTATCATTCTTGATACGATAAATACAATAATTAATAAAATTCATTAAAAGGCAAATTTGTTATGTGTAGCTTTACATAAAAACAGTTCTAATTTTTATAATACAACTTCTCAACTGGTTTGGTTCTTCTACAAGCTTTACATAGTTACAATATGAATGTATCAAAATGACCACAAGACCTTCGCCATTCTAATAGGTAGTTTCAAAGTTAGACATTTCTATTTTAAGCGTTCCACAAGCCCCAATCGTTCAATTTGTCACTGTGCAAGCTCGGAGCTCTGTGAGCATCATGCCCCAAGCCAAACAGCCAACTGACTGGGATTATTTATGTTGAAATATCAAACGTTTGAGGATTGCCCAGGCACTTAACGGCAATTAGCTTCAGGGCCACACACACCCACCTGTGGATTCAGTTCGTCCATTGGGAAGTGGGGGTGGAAACTCCACCTGCGTCCGCAATCACAGCTCAATGCTCTGGCCTGCTCGACGGGATTTGCGCATCATCAAATGACCAACTTGAGGTAATTACCAACAAAGAGCAGGGGACACGCACGCAGATATCCAGCAGCCCAGCATCCTAGCAGCCGGGCATCCCCATCCCTTCATCTCCGGAGGTCCTGCCAGGACAATCTGTCCGGGCACGAAGTGAAAAAACTTCTGGCCCCCGTTTGGTGTCTCCTTTCAGCGCCGGACAACGTGACAAGCATGCGGAATAAGCCGGAGACCAAGATGCAGACCGAGTTCGGGACCGTAGTTCGTCCGAGGAAAAGCTCAACAATTTAAACGGATCTCGTCCTGGATTTCAAGGATATGTCGCATTAACAATGCCCTGACCTACTGATGAGTGCCAAATGAGTTGTTAGGGGGTGAGTGGCAAGGGGGCGGGAACACAAGCCTCCCATTCCTTTTTGGGGCACGGTGTGTGTGTGTGTGTGTGTGTGTGTGTGTGGGTCCTTTGGGGTGTGAGCCTGCGACTTTTGTTGCCAAACTAAATATTGTTAGGCAAAGTAAACGATGTTGTAGACTTTAAGCGAATAGAGGTTGCCAGTGGCGTAGGCAAAAAGGTGTAACGGTGTGGAAAAAAATACAAGGTTTAATGGTCTCGAGTGGTTTAAAGCTTGAAAATGTATTTTATAAGTTAGTAGTTAGTTAGTTTAATATAAGTTAAGTTTATTCTTGGTCTATAAACGAGCATATTTTTGAACCCGACTATTTCCCATTTTCATGTTTAGGACATGTTTATTGTTTATTGCACAAAAAAAAATTCTTAGAATTTACGAAGCTCTCTATTTTGAAATACATTTGCCTTTTATTCAACCGTAGAGATTTCAATCGAAATTTTTATTGTAGAACCTACTGCAGCATTCCTAAAAGGCATTTAACACGGCTTTCACAATTGAAATATAAAATATTTTAATACGAGAATATTTTTATTTTAATACAAAAGTAGCTGTTTATATTTCCAACATTATCAACAAGCGCTATAAATATGTTTGAGAACAAAAACCATTTAGACACTCTATCCAGGTTCGTAAAATAAATTATATACTTCTAATAGAAACCCTAATAGCTCAAAGGAAGATCAGCTTCCTCATTTTTCGCATTTCACGGAATTTGCCTCTGCATTTTCCCCCCTTGGCTGGGAGTCTCTGCTTTCGGTGTGCTTTTTCCAAGGACCTGGCCGAGTGCCTCACGTCTATTACCGTTAACCGAAACCCAATGCCATTGCGGCCATTCAAGTCGACATCCTATCAGAGCGGCTGCTCCTTAAGGGGCATCTGCAGCCCCCCCGCCTCCGCCTGTCTCCCTCCATTGGAGATTTCCTTCCTCATTTTCCTGCCATTTTTGTGTGTGGGTGCGTTTATTTTTCTTCTGCTTTTCCTTTTTCCCACCATTATGAAACTGAAGCCAGGCTATAGAGAGGATGATGCAGTCAGGAGCGGACGCACCTTGGATTCCCTGCAGCACACCCACACACATCCATGCCGAGGGATATCCTGGCGCACGGTCCTAGCTCATTGTTGACGCAACTTGCTCATTAATTTTTTACGCTTAATGTGCGCTTATAATGATTTTTAAATTGAGTCTCCGATTTCACGGATTTTTCCCGGCTTTCTACCTCTGACTTTGGACAGTAAACAGCATTGACGTCAGAAGCGGCTCATTAGTGGCCAATGTCAGATGGAAAAAGAATCATTCATTAATGCCTGCATTCATTTGCTGAATCATTGATACATCGGAGTTATTCATTTATTTATTCATATTTGCAAGCAAATATGGAGAGAAGGCGGCCGTAAGGATAAACAATGAGTTTACTGAATGCAGTGATTAAAATGCAATAAGCCAGTGCCCCCATCACACTGCTCACACAAACTCCTTTGCAGTTCATCGCATCACGCATACGCAACGTTGTGCAGTTGGTAGGTCACAAAGTGCCGAACGTTTTGTCCGGCTGACAAATTTAATTACTGCCTGGGCGGTGGGGCTCTGTGCTCAGTGCTCTTCTCTGGCTCTGTGCTGTTTGTCTCGTCACTGATATGGCCCAGACACATGGCCGGAGGTCCTTGCCGGGCTGCCCCGTTGTCCTTTCGCCCGGACGAAGTCACTTCATTTGATGCGTCAATCAGCACAATCAAAAACTGCAGCCATGAAAATCAATTAAAAACCCGTTGACACACTGGCCCGGGCCAAGGAAACAACACTGAGAAAAATATATTAGGAAATTAAAGTTTTTTATTTAAATTATTTGTATCGAAATCTTGAACTTTTTAAAAAGTCCTTTTCAAGTTATTAGTTTTGAACATATTCCCATTAACCAAAATACAAAAACCTAAGATTTATTTTTAAAAAATTAAAAAAAATGTATATAAATGCTAATAAGAGATAAGATCTGCAAATAGCTTATAATCCTTGATAGTACTTATATTAAACTTTGAACTCGAGGGAACTTAGCAAACAAATAAATAAATATCAATTAAAAATTATGTATATTTTGTTGAATTAAAAAATTAATTTAAGAGTTTTATAAATTTTGTCGCTGTGCAGCATTTTGCGAGGGAGCTGTGTGCCAGGTCCTGTGTCCTGTGTCCCGCATTCTGTGCCTGTTTCGGGACCTGGACTTGGGTTGTGTGCATCCGTTGGTTGTCAACAACGTTGAACGTTTTGCAATTGACGCCGCCAGGATTAACATTTATATTTCAGTTGGCTAAAAGGGATCGACCATCGGGGGGTTGAGGCAATGGCAGGACCTATGATATTTTTGCTTGTTTCATGCTCGTTACAATTCATTTGATATGCAAATGCTCTTTTGTAGCGGATATAAGTAACACATTCACACAGTCTTGCCAAACAAATCAAAGGTGGGGACATGACTCTCCGGATTTTCCGATGCCCGTTTTACCGCCGATCGGTATCGGTTACACCGGTGACGTCAGCAGGTTGTTGCATAGTTAATTGGTGCGGCGCTGAATTGCGAAAATCGGGTGAGGGAAAGGCAAACTGCCGAAAGACTCGCCCACTTAATAAATGAAATGTCATTGAGGCATGCGGCAATCAGCGCCGCACAAAACTCAAATGAAAACACAATTCAACACGCAGCAAATGACGTCGGTGAAGGGGAGTGAATGGGAGGGGGGCTTCCGTGGATCCCTACTAACTGACTGAAGTACTGAGGGACTGACTGACTGACTGAGTGACTGACTGGCTAACTGACAGCGTCCAGGCGAGCCTCGCTTTATCTGCCCCTTCAGAGTTTCACACAGCCAACAGCGGAGATGGTGGCAGAGTGGGTGAAAGGCGGTGAATTGGAGGGATGGAAAGTCACACCCACTTGTCCACTTGTCATAGACACCACGCCCGCATCCCACAGAAGCATCTATCCTGTTAACTGATCTCGACTTTTGGAGTATCCGGGAAGTTATCGCCAAATGAAAACAGTTAGCTTTAAAAAGTTTAATGCTTATTTGGTTACTTTCGAGTTATTTGTAATTATGAAATATCAACCTTAAATTATGAAATAGAAAAAGAAAATAACTTGGTATTAATATTACATCACAGAAGCATAACATATTTATTTCACATAAATAAAATATTTGAAGTCGAATTCAAAATGATGTAAAAGTGTAAATTTTCTTTCAATAATTCCTTTAATTCCTAGATAAAATATAATAATAATTTAACTGATTAAGTGACCAATTAACTAATTTGAAAAACCCAGTCTGCCTCAACGGAATATCAAAATAAATTAAATCAAAATATATAGTACACATTTATAGAGTTAAGTTAAGTTCTAAAATGTCATTGAAATTTTGTTATGTGTAACTGTAGTTTTGAAGCACAATTAAAACTTATTAGTTCTACCAATATGGATCATGGCTATTTTTGCAGTTCGTAGCCGAAAATGTTTAAAAAATTTAAAAAGTGCTGGCATGCCGTCTGCTACCCTTTTATTTCCTACCAACGCGATTTAAGAGAGCCCCTAAAAAAACAAGCGATGCGAGTGGGACTGCACAAGTTGACTCCCTGCAATTCTGCTGCAACTGCTACTGCCACTGCTGATTTCCACTGTTGCTATATCTGCTACATCTGCTCTATCTGCCATATAGCTGCTGCTGCGTCAGCTGCAACTGATGACATTGTCAGCCATCAAGGCGGCTCTCCAGCAACTAACGGGCCTGACAGTTACTCAGCGTCAGAGATCGGAATCCTTCTGCTCCTACACTGCTTAAAACACAAATGAATTTAAAATGTATATAGTGAAATGTAATATTTCTTATCTATCTTAACCTTTGCTTTTCACCTTCACAAGCCTTCTCAATGAATATTTTAAAACAAATTTGTTTTCTTCGGAGAAAAAATCAATATCAAATTTGAAATAATTGTTTAAATGTAAACACAATTTCAATAATTGTCAAAATAATATAAAAAGAGCATGAATAACATTTCAAAATACATTTTAAGTACAAAATACTCAACAAAAATAATATCATCCCAAGGATATCATTGTGGACTTATTTAAGCAAAAGTTGGTGAATGATTTTACATTTTCCAATGGGCATTTGTTAAGAAAATATTTGTATTTTATTTTAAGCCAACAGATATATATTTAACAATTTATTTTTTTATTTCAGTGAGTCTTAGGAGTACGGGATGTTAGTGGATGCCTCGGGCAAATTAAAACTTGGGCCACACACTTGACACGTGCTTAGTTGGTGCTGCACTCGCCGCTGCACTTCCGCTTCCCATCCTCCCATCCGCCCCCTTTTCCACGCCCCTGTTACCCCTTTTTTTTGGCTTTGCATGTTTGCGGCTTCTGCGGGCTGAGTTTGTTCTGGCCAGCTGCTTTTTTCTCTGGTTTTGCGAGGTTTGCCTTCTTTTTTCGCCGGTTTTAGCTGGGATAATTTATGAGATCGCTTCACAAGCTTCAACTGGCGTGCTGATGCATAAACTTGTTGCACACATTGCGGCGCCTCAGGTGAGGGGTCAATTTCGCTGTGGGGCTGATTTTTGTTTATGTGAATTTTAAATTTATGTGGCAACTATAACTTATTTATCAAGTTAAGTGGATGGAATTAACGGTAATTAGTTTTGTTGGAAAAATCGAAATTTTGAATTTGGAACTGAGAAATAAGACAAATAACATAAAATAAACTAATTAAACAGCTGAATTGTTCGCATTAATCATTGATGAAAACAGATTTATTCCGATTGGTTAATTTACTAATCCAGGGAAATGGAAAATCTAAAATGATTAAGAATTAAGGCAAATATTAGTATAGCTTTAAATTAATTGTTTATTAATACAATAGCAATAATATTACCCTCAATTAAATGTTGAAATTGGCATTGAAATGGCGCTATTCCATAAAATAGTTCTTAAGGGAAAATCTGCAATAATAAAATATAGATAAATAAGTTATTTATGAGTATTATAAAACTATATATGTCTCATTTGATTTTCTTCCTACAAATTTGGTTAACTTTACAATATTCTACGATTTGCAGTTTCCTTTTGTGTTTGCAGAAATTAATTATTTTTGTTTTGCAGGCCAAAAGCAAAGATGAAACTTGCAACTGTTGCACAAAATGGCTGCTGCAGCTGCAACTAAATATTGTTATTATTTTAAATGGCATTTTTTGTAACTTACGAACATATGTTTGCTAGCTAAAAATTGAATCAAATAGTAATTTATGGCCTGGTAAATTTCTGCCAACTATGCAAAATTTTCAAATGTTTTTAAGGACCTTTTTGGTGGGCCTACACACATGACATTGCATAATTTTAGTCATAATTTTTTTTAAACAAACTAGAGGAAGTTTCGGGAGGTTGGCGGTGGGTGGGTGCACGTGGTTTTGGATGTGCTGTAGTATAAACAATCCACTCAACCCATTTTGGTTGCGTTTTCTGCTCTTTTTTGAGACCAACATGTTAGGCATAAATGTTTTTTTTTCGCGACCATTCAAAAAGGAAGAGGGGATGGTTGTCAACAAAAATATCACTTGTTTGCATGAAAAATCTCTGCCCGCGGGTTTCAAGAGGGGGTGTGTCAGTGATACAACGCAACAAAGCCTGGTAAAAAAAGAATAACAACGTAAACCAGCAAACGCCAGCGGAATTGAGCAATTTTTATGAATAGCAATAGTCACAGAAAATAGAGGCTCACTGGATCCCTGTTTCATGGGGAATGAGACCTAGTTCATCTGTCTTCTTTGAAGTGGGTGGTAGAAAACAAAAAAAGTTGGATGGGGGCTGGGTGCTTGACAGTTTGACGCCCCGTAATTCATGCCATGATGAACGTCGACTGTAAAAAACCTTTTTTTTGCCCGCCACTCGCATGACATCTCACTTGACTTATGGAACAGCTGTTAGAGATTAGCATTTAACATGGGCTCCGCCGGCCGTTTAAACCCTTCATCGGGCCTTAAATGAGTTAAAATGGGAAACATTAAAAAAATAAACACATTTGTCGCTAATTCGATTTGTCTGTCGCAACTGCAATGGCGGTTGCCGATCGGAAAAGTTGCCAAGCGGGTTGGGGGTCATAATTTATTACCTCCAGTTGGGCCAACTTAATTATATACGTTTAATACAATTTACAGGAAGCGAAAAATCGAAGCAAAGGGCAGAGGGAATGATGTGAGAGACGAGGCAAATTAAAAATAAAAATTGAAAACACCAAAAGTAAATGCAGCCGCAGCAGATGGCGCTTTGCAAAATTTGTTCGCCATTCATGAAAGTTAATAATTGAGTTGGCTGAGCTATGTAATTATACCTGGACTTAATGGAACTTTTTCGATTATTTTTTTGCACCCTAAGGATCCATACTGTGACGTCAGATAACCATTATGCATTTCTATCCCAGTAGATACGCTCGAGGACTAGCATTGGATCCTCTAAAACATTCACAAGATAGATATCTTGATCATTATTATTTGCAATTTCATTGGATCCAACTGTTCGGGATGCATTGTCTGTCGCAAGAATATTATCGTCTGTTAGATCGATAACTGCTATCGGAGTCCTTGAATCATGTACAAAGATGGGATCATCATTATCCATATTATTATCATTTTCTTTTTCTTTAGCTATTTCCATCAGAGTTTCCTTTGGCTTGCGTTTATACTTCCTTTTGGTAGGGGTGTGGGATGCCACTTCCCGGTTACGCAAGGTCTTGAATATGGGCTCCATTTATATGTAAAATATATATGTTAGAGGTATTTTAAATATTACCTTTGGGGAAATGTTTATGTTTATGTTGGCAGAAAAGGGGTTACTGTTTCGATTCGGGAAAGCTACAGTTCCGATTAAGCTCTATGGATCTCTGGCTGAGTATCGCTCATTCCAGTTGTCTCTTTCCCACTATCGCTTTTCCATTACCATTTCCAATTTGGTGTGCGACTGCAACTGCCCGTTCAACACTAATTTAATTAATTGAATTCATTTTGGCGCCGCTGTCGTCTGTGTGTGTAACGGCAAATTAACGGTGGTGCCGTGCTAGTGTGAGTCTCTCTCTCTCTCTCTCTCTGCGAGTGCATGTGTGTTGAGCGTGGTAGAGTGCATTTTCGGTTTCGGTTTTTGAGGTTTCAACGGTTTAAGCCCTCTGCCTTTTCCTGAATATCATACCCGGTACTGGTAGACTGCAGGGGTATACTAAGTTTACTTTAATAAATGTAAACAAAAAAGAAAAACATAGTCAATAATAATTATAATACAGCAGAATAAAAGTATAGGTATTCATTTAATAATAAATATAATAAAACCATAAACCCTATCGTTTCTAAGACGACGAGTCTCAAATTGGAATGTTTGACTTTGTTAGTTAAAAAAGTTTGTGTTTCGTTTAAGCGGGTGTTCAAAGTTTACTTGTTTCAGTACTTGTCCACTTAACTGCTCAATTTCAGGTTCACTCACTTACTTGCTTACTCACATATTCATTTTCTTACTCACTCACACATTCATTTTCTTACTCACTCACTGGTTCACTTAGTTCTTCACTCACTTGTTCACTAATTTCATCACTCACTTGTTCACATCTTCAGTTTATCACTTGTTTTGTATATGCTACATATTTAAATGAAACAATAACTGATGGTTATCCAGCAGTCGCGACAAAATTCAAAAATTGCTGTCTGGATTTCTTACCCAGGGCTGCAGGACAATTATCACAGGCACGAGATTTTTGAGGACATCAACTTTGAGTGAACCCTCAAGTCGCAAGTCTCGATGTCTAATCGACTCTAATTCGATTTTTGCTGGCCCAATCAATTACGTTAGCGATTTAATGTTTCAATTGAGTCGCAATTACGTCCACCTCCGGACCTAGCCCTGAAAATAATTGCAATCAATGGCCGGCAGCCAGACGACGCTGGGAAAATGCCTTTGTGGCATTTCAAATTAGCGCATCGCTTGCAACCGATTCCACCGATTCTACGGCATCCCGCGCTGCTGCGTGGTAATTCAAATTCAAATTCAGATTCAGATTCTGTTGCAGAAATATGCCAAATGGTCGGAACAAATCTGCAGTTAGCCCGGCGCCATTTACAAACTGCTCGCTATCAGCCCGCAATTATGCGAGTGAGGGCGTGTCATTGTGCGCGTAATTGTGCGCTCTTTCAACTGGAAAATGTTTCGGCTAGCATAAACAAAAGGCCTCCTGGCCGTAGTTTTCGGGGCTCGAGTTTTAATTATCATATAACCGCACTTCACCATCGCTCGGTGGCGCACAGGCATATATGTATGTGCAATGTCAACTTGATTATAAATTCAATGGAGAAACAGGCTTTGTTTTAGACACTGAATAGATGACGGGATGCAGCCCCAACTGAAATGCGTTGGTTCTGAAATGCGGAAATGCTGTCAATTAGCACGAGATGTGCTTGGAAACGAGTGTATTTCTTGCGAGAACCTGTGTCTGAGCACCCGGAAGTCCGACTACGAAATCGATCCTGCAGCTTCTCAATCTAAGATTGACGGTTTCCGTGGTTACCTGGCTGTCAAAACGGGTGTCTATTCATTTGTGTTTGTCCTCAATGCTATTGAAATCAGAGGTAATATGGCTTAGAGGTAAGAAACTTCTCACATTCTCACATATAAATCAATATTGGCTATCGTTAAATTACTAAAGTTTTAATGATAACTGGCCTTGATTGTTAAAATTGTTGCCAAATAAAAACTGATGAATGGGATTGGCTACCCTTTCAAATAATTTTACTTACTAGTTTCCCATCTCATTTTATTTGGTCTCTAGTGTATTAAAATAATTGGTAATATGTCGTTGAGGTAATCTCTTGAAATCAACTTTTTACATTCGCATGTGTAATAAATAATGATTTGTCATCGGTAAATTAGAAAAGTTTTAATGAGTACTCATCTCTATTGCTATTTTTCGGCTTGCTTAAACTTTGCGATTTTAATTTGTTATGATTTTAAGAAGCAAACTGAAACCTTAAGTTCCTCTTTTATCAATGCCCCATTAACACAGGATATAATAATTTTGTGTCAAATATGGTTATTTACCTTTAAGACCTTTGAGATTCTGTGTGCCGACTAAAGTCTTGGCCCAGACGAGCTCAACTCAATTTGCGCCAACTGTTTTAATGCTTAATGCTATTCCTACACTTTCGGGCCACCTCTCGAACCCCCCTCCCCCCACCTTTTTGATTCGACTAATGAGCTTTGGGTACCTTTTGGCTTTTGTCATTGCCCTTTGACATGTGCTCTGCGGGTCCCAAGCGTGTCTTTTGTAAGCATGATTTTGCATTTGGCCTGAGACCCAGGCTCAGTTGGAATTTGCAATGAGAGTGACTCTTGGCCTGGGGAATGGGAATGTGTTGGGTGGCTGGGAAGCCTTAACCAACTGCTTGGCATGTGAACATTGTAGCCCTACTGCTGCAATTTATGAAGTTCAGCTGTAATGCGCTTTTAACCTGCAGCAGGAGCATCCAGAGAGCAGCGTTTGTGGCATTGCAACTACAACTGCAACGACTCGAATGCCGCTTATTATTATGCGGAGCACGTGGCCGAAAACTAAACACACGACCACCACGAATCACCAGACGGTGTGCACTGCGCGGAAATCGACTTTCGAATGTTTTGCTGGAATTGTTTTCCTTCATCGTTAAGCTCAAAAGATATTCTTTTTAAATTACAAAATTATTGGGTAATAATCGCTTTAAAATTGTATTTAGAAACATAAAAGCTCCAAATATAGTCCATTGATTCTGTGAATTCCATATTCGCACAAATACATATTTTGTTCATTTTATTTTACTTGAAAATTCTTTAGTGCCAATTTCCAATTTGGAAATGAAAACATGCTTTTAATCTTTGAATTATTATAAATTTTATATTAAATAATTTTCTTAGATAAGCATACCCCCAGGATTCCAGATATATCCATTTAAGTAAATAATGTTATAACATAATAATGATGTTTCGAAAGATTAAAAAGCTTCGTTTATCTTATTATACCTCGAATGTTTTACAAGTACTTGTTTTAATATTAAGTGCCTAAAATTAATAGACTTTTTTAATTTTCGCTCGCCCTTTTCTAGGTTATTATAATTTAAACGCTATTGGTACTTCTCGCTTTGACTATTATTGGCGTTTTATCCGCTTCTAGCTCTGATGCTCCTCAAATTGAATTCTTATTGCCCTATTTAATCATGATTTTTGCAAGTGCAGTCGGCAGCATAAATTCCTCACTCACACACTCGTACATCCAGCTCACACATCCCATTCACACAAATAAGTCTGGGCAAACATAAAATGTAACATGCGAGCGCCGCATGTGCCATGCACAATAAATACGCGATACCTCGGGAGGCGGCTGCGGCAAGGGGGCGTGGCACGAGGTGGTTACTGTCAAATGGCATGGTCAAGTAGTTTGGCTAAAAACTGCAAACTGCAGGGGAAAAAGGGGGAGGGGTCGAAGGGGAAAGTGACTACCAGATCATGTTTCTTGGCACGCACACAGATGCACATTAATATCAAACATGGCTAATGGCAATGAAAAGGGTGGTTTTTGGGTGGAGGAAAGGGGGGAGGGTGTGTGTGAAAAGAGGTCCTTGAGAAGGGCTCCCTTAGTGTGAGAGGTCAAACTTTGACAAGGCCCAAAGCCACTAAAGTCATTGGCACAATTAAAACTAAACAACAAAAATGACCAGGCCCACTGAGGCGTGAAAGTGTTCTACCCTCCCCCGATTTTCAACCACTTTCCACTGCTTTTCCTGGCTCTTGAAAGTATGCACAAATATTTTGACAAAGCAAATATTTATCAACTTTTGTGCTCTCCTGGCCTTTGGACCTCTGCATCCAAGGCAAAGTGATATGCTCCGACAGTATGGACATCATATGGGGTGTTTGCCAGTGCTGGCCAGAAAATTCAAAGTCAGAGTTGTTTGCTCAGTTATATATGGACTATATGAGCGGATAGTTCTCGGACAGCCTTTGGATCTGAGTGGTGTGTAGGTGAAGGGAAGTCTCTTTTTCGGGCACTATATTGTACATATATTAAACCATAGTTGACGTTGATAGTTGCTCAAATGTGTGTTTAGCTGGTGTAGGGCTGGCATTTTTGAAAGCTCGAATACAAATATATCATTGGCAATTGGCTTTCTACCTTATGAAAGTCAAGAGCTATTGAAAAGAAAAATTGGAAGATTTGCTTTCAATATTTGTAATTATAGTTCGACAGAGAATGCTGCATAAGCTATATACATATTTGTATTTTAATATAAAAATCTCTAAAGTGATATGAAGGCACTTTTATTAATTTTTGTTAAGTTTTTAAAATAAAGTATTCGCTTTTTGAAAATAGATAATTAAAAAAAAAATTTTATTGATTGCTTTATAATTGAATTGCTATTGTAATAACTATAAACAATTATTTATAAATTGTGTTGGTCAACCCTGAAAATACAAAAAAAATAAAAGATTTTAAAAACTTTGCTATTCTGTTTCCCTTCCCTTAAAATTCCCAAGAATTCATCTCATCCATCTTTCTATTTTAAAGACATATCTCTAAGTAAACGCCTTAATTTGCAACATACTTCATATTTCCTGCTCTGTGCCTGCAACCAGCAATTTACCCGCTGCTGTTGTTGTTGTTGCTGTCGCAGCATCCTTAGAAGCTCAGAAGTGCAATGGGTGTTGCAAAAGGACACCGAGGCTGGGGTGTGGGAAGTGTCTGGACGAGTGTGTGAAAACCCAATAACCCAAAGCTCAAGGTGGCAATG